CTTTGGAAAGCGCCTGTCCACAGCATGAGTATAAACAGTATAACACACAACAAAAACAGAACGTTTCTGGCAATGGTAAGCATGCATTGATTTTTGGCACTCTCTGGGAGCCGGCCTGCGTCGTCTTCTGCCCCGAAATCTGCAGTGGTCAGGTTGAATTCCTCACAAGGTTTGTCTGGACATACGACCGTCGTGCCTTGCATCGCCCATGCCCAACAGCACAATCCAACGCAACTATACCAGTTACCCCACTGACTCCTAGCTCCCTCATAAGGACATAGGGCAGGAGGTGCCCGCAAGGTCAACAATGCTTCTGTCTTGCGCCGAAGGACCAAGACCCCTTCGGGAAAGACGAGGCGGCTCGAGCCGCCATGTCCAACGAGCTCCACTTGATGCAGCGTCGTGAGATTGTTTCTCACATACAGTGTGGTCCGGTACCTGCACCAACGTCGGAGTCAACGGGCAAACGACGGGCAGGTGGGTACATGTTTGAAGAGATAGAATTCGTGAAGTACACTTCGTGTAGCAATGTGGAGAACGCACGTGAATTCTACTTCACAGGGAGATACAGGACTCGTATCTGAGCCTGGGAGTTGAAATCTCGGAGCCAGCCATAAAACATGAAGAGTCAAAGTGCTGCCAACAGCGATCGGGCACTGCGCATGCTGGAAGGGCTCGAATATTATGGGACCAACGGAGGCTTCACCGAGAGGTTCCACGTGCCAAACCTTCCGGCGATTCCACAGCATGTGACTCTTGCATGTACTTGTAACAGATTGTAACATGCCATGCTTGGCTTTCGGACAATGCAAAGAAGGGCTTAAGTTCTGGACCTTTCCGTCGCTCTCGGCTCCAAGGCGGAAGGCCCTGCCACCAGCGCAGTCCGCAGCCAGGGAAGAGCCTTCCTGCCGAACGTCCACGGCTGGAGCAACAGGCAGTGGGAGACCCTTGAGGAGTTGGAGCTTGCCTGCGCCAGCGATGTTGTAGAGGTCTGCGTGTGGTTGTCTCCACTTCCACGAGACTTCGTGGCCTTAAACCGTCCGTTCCTCTAAGATCCTCTTGGCTTCTGAACCTGCCTAGCCTCCGTTGCGCTACAGTGCTGCTACATGCGCTGCAGCATCGACTCAGTTGCAGCCGCTGAGGCGACCACAGAGCAAACGGGGAACACGAGCTGCAGAGCCTTGATTCATGAAATCTTAATATTTTAGGATCCGTCACTGCAAAAAACGTTTCAACTCAAGGTTGCACAACCTTGGATCGACGTCGGGGTGAAGCGCCCTCCCGCTCTGTCAGCCACAACCAAAAACATGCCCTACCCTACCCCAAAGCCCAACGCACAGCAGACCATGTGGACTTGCCGCCAGGTAGCGAGAGGGGACTCCGATGGGTTCTGAACCAGCAACCAGCCTTGTCAAGCGACCGACAAAACTTCTGCTCTAGTCACCGTGAGCCCTGAATTGTTGACTTGGAGGTATCAGACCTTCTATGTTCCTGGTCTTCAACATGCCGTCGCTCCCTGCCACCCTTGCTGCATATGTGTGTAGCATTTGTTTGCGCAAGTAGACTTTGACCATGCCGCTGTGGATAGCACGATTTTCACTCGTTCTGCTGTTTGTCAGAGTGCACAGGGTGGCAAAGGTTTTCGCCAAGCAAGACCGTCTTGCTGTCTTAGACGAGACATAGAAACCTCATCGTTCCATCAGCTGGCTCCATTGACCAGTGCATCCAGCCGCACAGTCGCTGGAGCCTCCCTTTCGATAGGCCCAAAACACCATCTCGGACACGACGAATCCGACGGTCCGACTGTGCCATGGTGCGATGCTTCGAAGCCGCCCTGCTTGACCGAGCGACTGAGTCGATGTCAGCACGAACCCCGCAACATTTGCCTAAAACTCGACTGCCGCAAGAAGACAAAACCTGGGACCTGGGAAGCCATGCCCAAAGATTCGGGAGAGCGGATGATCATGGCATCTGCCGTGGCACAGCAAATCACATCAAGGCCCGGGGCATCCGTACGCTTGTAAACCCCACCCTAATGCCTGGTGACCTAGTCCTTTTACCCGGTAATCGTTGTGAAAGGCAGCCGCACAGAACACGGGAAACCGAAGCCTTGCGGGATTTACTCCGTATCCGACCCCTAGCTTTACGAGGCTGACGCAACACGCATCTGCACAATTGAACCGGTGAAATCTTGGGAGCACATTGACGTTAAAGGTTTGCAGCTGACAGCTTGCCTCAAGCATCGGCTCGGTTGCGATTCGAGATCTAGTCTCCCTGCTTCTGGGGTTTCCGCCAAGCCACCCTCTTGAACCCTACATCTTCTCATGGCTCGAACCAAACCAAGGGCCACATCGCTGGAAGAGTTAAGTCATTAGAACTGTAAAGTTCACGATCGAAAACGGAATCGCAGCACCTGAAAAAGCAGCAGACGGTCCCTGGGCCAGCGTGGAGGGGACTCGAGAGGCCGGCAGCATCTGTCTGAACAAATCCAAACCATAACCCAAAGCCCCGGAAACCTCAACAAGACAATGCTGACTAGCGCCTAGCACAGTGCCACAGTGCACGACCTTTGTGCCACATTTTTATATGCTGATAGTCGCAGGTGGGCCATCCCGTCTGCCACCCTCAACATTTGAAGCCAAGCGTCGAGTCTTGGAAGCACCCACTTGAGTCAGGTCGAAGGACAACAGTGGCTCAAACAGTGAGTGCGCTTGCATCAGAGATGCCTGTACCTGGATGATTGGACATCATGCAAAGGGCCGAAACGCACAATGTTTTCTGCAAATCCCGCTCCAGCTCACAGAAGAATGCTTTCAACATCGTTTAACTATCTCGTCAACGACGACCACATACGTGCAGTCAAGGTGCAGTCAAGGTGGCTCCAGCAACTATGTTCGTATCGAATATTAGGGTGGCTTCGATCTCTGAAGTGCCTCTACCTGACACAAGATCACCAGTGCAAGCAGGCGCTGTGACAGTCAATGATGAACCGCAACATGACTCCCTCGCTGCCAAGTGGCCATTGGAGTTTGTGACTGACTTCTGGCGGGCCATCCACTTTTCCAGAAAATCCAGTCTTGGTTGGTACAAGTCTGCAAAGAAAGCAATCCGAAGGCTTCTCCGTCATCGGCTTGCTCTAGCTGCTGCAGCGAGTGCCGTCTCGCACTCGCATTCTTGCACAACTGCCCTTCATGCCCATCTGTGCACCGCCATGTCTTGGGATGTCTTGGGTGGATCGTGTGGAGATGCGAGCTTATGGCGTGGGCCGTGCTTGAGGCATCATGCCAAACATCTGCCGAATCACGTCAATGGGTGATTCCACGAAACAGCTTCGCCCGAAACTGAAGCGGCCAACGCTCCACGCGAGGCGTCCTGCAGGGCAGTAAACAGACCTGACCCAAAACGTAGCCTCTCACCTTGCAAGCAGCTTCTCCCGAAGCACCCTAGGCCCTAACATGCTTTTGCAAAGCTTGAGCGGGAAGAGCCTCGGCTGATGCTGCACCTCGCAGAGGATGCGTTGAGTTGTTCAAACTGTCTTACATGATGCCACTATAGTTTTTACTGATACTGGTTGCACCGGTTCGTTGACAGCCCTTTGGTGTTTCGACGCACAGGCATGGACTCAGGTCCCCTTTTGCGCTTAAGGAACTTGGCCAGGCGTCACGAGAGGCTCACAGCTGACCAAAGTGCTGTCGGGGAACCGTGTGGCGGCCCAAGCGAAGCTGCCTGCATTCTTTGCGCGTCGTGTCCGTGCTCGAACGGTCCAGCTCTACCTACCGTGCCACCCCACCCCAAACAAACCGAACAAGCGCCTTTGCCGGATCGTAGTAGACCCGTACCTGAGCCAAACAGCAGGCTGTCTTTCGAAAGGGCCTTGTCTCGCTGATTCTTGCTACACCTGCAGGCAGGTTGCAACCTCGGTCCGAGCCAAAGGTTTCAAAGTCTTGGTCAGGAGCTCTGGAGTGATCCGGCTGTCGGTGGAACGAACTGCCAAACAGAAATTCATGGCGCAGCTGAAGGGGCAAAGAAAGCAGATCTGAGAAACGGCATGCAACTAATAGAACCCCTCAGACCTGCCGAAGGACATATAACATATACTACAAACCACCAGACCTATTCTGGCCAGGCCCACCCGTGCTTTACATGAATTCCTTTTCAAAGGCAAGCGCGCGACAGTGTTCTTTATACTCTACGAACAGAAAGTCTGAAATGTCATGATGAAAACGATGGCTTTTGCAGAGGGGTTTTCGTTCTTGCATGGGTAGAAGTCCCAAACAGAAAGGTGTTGCATTTGTTGCTCCGACATGTCCTGCGTGTCCTGCTCTACTTCTGGCGCAGTGGTTGCACCAATGCGCTGATCATGTTGATGATGAGCTGTGGTGGTGGTGGTGGTGGTGGTGGTGGTGGTGGTGGTGGTGGTGGTGGTGGTGGTGGTGGTGGTGGTGGTGGTGGTGGTGGTGGCGGCGGGGGTGGTGGTGGTGGTGGTGGTGGTGGTGGTGGTGGTGGTGGTGGTGGTGGTGGTGGTGGTGGTGGTGGTGGTGGTGGTGGTGGTGCTGGTGGTGGTGGTGGTGGTGGTGGTGGTGGTGGTGGTGGTGGTGGTGGTGGTGGTGGTGGTGGTAGCGGGGGTGGGGGTGGTGGTGGGGGTGGTTGTGGTGGTGGCGGTGGCCGAAACAGACGGTGGCACTGACGACCATGATGAGCATGCCGTGTTGCAACGATGGTGGTGATGCTGATTGCAATCATGATAACAATGCTCTGACACTGGCGCTGGCGATGAGAAGGCCCAGAATTATATCGACTGCTGTGATGGCGATGACGCTGGAGTTGCTGCTGAAGCTGGCGGTGGTCTTGGAGCAGCGAAGAAGCCGAAATGGGCCAAGCACAATCTCAAAATCCTTAGCAGATGATCCCGCTCCTGCATTGAGCTGCAGCGGCTGCTCGAAGGTAGACCGGGCTGCAACGACGCGACTCTGCACCTCCGTCTAAACGGCTCAAGCACGAAGCGTCATGCTCAGACTGCCTGCCTGCCCCGGAAACGACGCTTCGAAGCGTAGGCTGGCAGGTGAGAAACTGAGGCTGCCCAGGACACTCTCGTACCTGGACAAGGGCGAGCGCTCGCCTTTCCAGATGCTGCTCGGAACAGAAACACCCCGTGTCACCGGCGATCACCCCCACCTCATGCGCAAGACGATCTTCTCGCCACGCTTGGTAACCAAGGTTACACTGGCGTTCCTTAGCTGCCCCGCGACTGAGCCCCCTTCCTCTCCGAAGACCACCAAGCCCCTGGCACTGGCGGTGCACTCGCAGTCGTTGGCTCCTGCAGTGCTTGCAAATTTACCGCTACAACTTATGGCGGCACGTTCTCTCAGCTGTACCTCTGTCAAATCGGCACTCCTGCGCTAGCACTTCAAGAGCCAAGGCTAAGCGATGACCAGCTTGCAGTGTCAGCACCTTGACTTGGCATGTGCTCAACTGGCCGCATGCCTAATTTCAATCGCAACCTCCATCTTGAGAATTCGCTTGGCCAATCTCTGGTTCTTTGCCAGGCTGCCTTTTTGGTGTGAGACTGCCTGGGTATCGGCCTCGATGATCGCACCTGCTGTCCCTGGCGGCAGTCAGGCATCATATCATCAAACACTTCGTGATTCTCGAGGCTCGAGGGGTCAGACATGCTCACACGAGACGTACTTTAAGAGCAGCAAGCCCTGCCATGACCCCCCTCTGCTTCCTGCAACCACCCCGGTGCTGCCTCAGGGGTGTAGATGCCGTCCATGTGGAGGCTGATGCTAGGATGGCTGAAGCTGAAGCTCTCGATGGTCACATTGACCGGATTGGGGTTCCTGAGCCCCCAACTAGCGCGCAAACAAGTTGAAAAACTGTGCAAGGATTTACTGGCAAGAGTTTGCAAACCTGACACCGGATGCCATCTGATGGAAGGCTGCGCAACTCAACGCTTTTCTGCATCCGAATGGCGAGATGTTGATTCCTCGGCAACACGCAATCCAAGAATTTCGGAAAAGATGTCGAACCAGCCTCTCAATCTAGGGTCTTCTTGGCAGCGCGCAGGGACAGACAACTGCAAAATCCGGGTCTCCGGACAACCGCATATGTTTTCCTCAACCCGCTTGGAACCTCACAGACCCTTCCCCACAGATGCCGAGGATCGGGATCGTCGGACCTCTGAGACGCTCAAGAGGCCCATGTCCAAGTCCTTCCAGTTGGCTCGGAAAGTCTGATACCGACAGCAACTACACTACACCCAGTCTGACTATTACAGAGTAGTGGGCGTGCATCCCTGATCTGGGTCGGCAGGGCACTCACGACTCCACATCTGGAAGGTGGCGGGAACAGCCACAAACCAAGGACTTAACGAGGCCGCTGCACTCAGACGGAGATGTCGCTACAGTGTGCCCGCCATTGTACGGTCTTCGTGCGGCTCAGATTCGAGGCTGCTTGCCGCCATACCACACTCCTGCACCTCGCCAAGCTCTACCTGACATTGGCTCGGCAACGATGATTTCCCTTCTGCACCATCTCTAGGCTGCCTAAAGCCCAGTTCCCGGCCTGGCAGTGCAGCTTGCCGTGGTAGACTTGCAAGGGGATCTTCATGGCCTGTCGGCTGCGGGACTGGTAGGCAAGTGCACGAGTCGAAGCTCTGCTTGGGGCCCTCGCCGTTACGTTTGTAGCCAACTCCAAGTCTCTTGTGCAGAGAATCTGAGCACAGGCCGGGACTGTTCTCATGGGCAGAGTGTTGACACGCATGCTTCTTCTCAGTTTGTGGCACTAGTTCCATTGGAGGTATACTCCAGGTGCATGAGGGACGTCGCCTGGCAAAGATGTGCCAGTCCCCTACATAATTCCGGAGCGTTCACGACTCCTGCCTCCCCCGGCTGCAAGACAATATCTGCTTGGAAATGAGAAATTTTGAAGCTGGGATCCTGGCGCCATGCAGCTCATCTTCTCTCTTACGGCAATCCAGTGTTCGACAAGCTAAAGCCCAGATGCCTCAATCTTCGCAGACTTGATTTGAATTGGAACCTCAGCCCCGGTGTTGATCATGCATCCTTCTCATGAGTGTCCTAAACTGAGACCCATCACAAACGCCTTCCAAGGCTCGGAAAAATTGTTGGAAACCATGATTGCCCGCATCGTGGATGTGACTCTTCCTGGTGTAGACAGAAACTTGGTCTTGTCGTTCATGAAACCTCAGCTTACATGAAAAGAATCTCACAGTGACACTCACTCCCTACTACTCTGGACGCTGCAAGAAGCTTCCTGCGGCAGCCCTCGGAGTGCGCATGCTTGCGGGCAGGTTGCCTAAGGAGCCATATAACACCTCAGAGACCAGTCAAGGTGCTACCTTTCCTGGGTAAAATTCTCCTTTAAATTTAGACTGTGAGACATGTGGTCAGAAGGCCGTGCCCAATCGAGTACTGGCGCGACTCAACCCCAAGGTGGTCAAGCATTGGAAATTGCAATCGGACTCTGCATGGGGACATGGCCGCACGGCGCAGCACTCTTCGCACTCAACTGTTGGAACCCGGTAGTGTGTGCCACACAGATCGGGACAAAAGAAAAACATTCATGGTGATGGTGGGTGTGGTCGCAAAAACTCGAGAAATGCAATTATGACACCGGTCCCCCGCGAAGGAACACAGGCAAGCGGCGTTGGCTTTGTAAGGCACGTCCATGGTTGCCGAAACCGCATCTGTATCGTTGACGATGAGCTGGAGCTTGCCTAGGTGTTGGGCGGCTCTTCATCGCCCGGATTTTCCCTCTCTCTCGTGAATCTGAGTCAGTTCGGGGGTTTGGATGCTTGGAGTCTCTGGTCAACCCAAGACCAAGACCTCAAAAGCACTGAGAAGAGTGAAACCAGACCGCCACATCTGACCCCACACTACTGATGCCGCCAGTATTGCTCACTGCCGGAGCCCTGATTCGACCCCTGGCCCTCCAACATCCACTCGCTCCGTATATCCGCATCTGCTGGTCTTCGCAGGAGTCGCTTAGACAGTGTCTCATCCAACTTGCTTCCCCATCATGTGTGTGTGTGTGTGAGACACATGCGTGCATGGATGGATGGATGGATGGATGGAAATCTCTGCGCTGGCAGCAGATGCCGCAACTCTACGGATTGCGGACCCGATAATTCCTTGAGCTCTGTACAGTCGTTGTTTCACAAGTGCAAAGTTCCTTAACTCCACATTCATAGTTATCCGTAGTTCCAACCATATTTCATGATCCCATAGAGTATGCTGGTTTCCGCAGAATTGGCTAGTTGAATGGTGGAATTACGGAGTTGACGAACATAGGATTGTGGACCTGTTTGCGCGCAGAGGTATACTGTGATACTGTGGAATGCTGGAAGCGCGGAAATATGTGCCCATGGCTCTGGAAGTACGGATTTACTGGTAGTAGTGCTACTGGTCCCCAACATTACGGAGCTATTTGCATGTGTTTTTGGAGGGCCCTTGCGCTCTTATCTAGGTTGCCGTGCAAATCTTATTTGCTCTGGTACTTCGTGAATGTAAACTACGACATTCAACAAGCAAAGACTTTCAACGAGGAGATTATATCGAAGGGAATGTAAAGGAGGTTCGTAATGTGCATAAGGAATGTGGACGTATGTTCAGATAATTCGACCGAACCTCGGGGAACCATGGTCTCGCAAGATGCCGGAAACGTGGCTAAACATCCTGTTGCTTAACTAAGGCTGCGGAACCATCCTCCCAGGTTTCGGACATGTACTTGGCTGGAGTAGGCACGATGTGCGCAACTAGCGAACTTGAAGCCAACAGTCTGGCTTTGCTCCCCACATCAGAAAAGTATCGTATGTGAATCATGTCGCCCACACTGAAGCGACAGTGGTGTGAGCGAGAGAGAGACAAGGCCAGAGACGACTCAGATCTATGTATGCGCGTCTACGATATATGCATAAATATATGAATGTATCCTGTACACGCATTTTTGCATGTGTGTGAGTAGCGATGTGACTCGTGCTGCGACGGAACAGCCATAGCATTTCTGTATATTCCTGTTAGCATGGCATGCAAGTCCAAGCGGCCCTGAACTTGTCCTTCTCTGGAGCCATGGTAAGTCACTTTGGCGAAGCGCACTTGTGATCCAGAAGCCACACTAATGCCTCCCGAAGGGGGGGTCTAAAGCTCTCAAAGCCGGCAGTGCCTGCGTCAGTCCACACCTTTCTTGTGGTCGAAGCCGGAAATTTGCAGGTTCGGATTCCTGGCTGCACTGGAGCTTATGCTGAGCCAGACAGCTTGGAAAGCTCTACAGATCTCACTAATAGCGGAAAGATTCTGCGTCGGATCGAACAGAGACAGCAGTTGAATAGGCTGCGGGTTCAGGTTCGTCACAGAAAGCCAAATAGATCCTCGGCTATGCTGGTGCTGCTTTCGTGGTGCGAGACAGAAAACAGCTCACAGATCCCTAACAGAAGACCATGCCATGAATGTGCAACGGTATCTGCAGTCCGGTAACTAGCTTGGATCGAGGAAACCAAGGTCTGGAAGTCGACTATGTCAGGCGATATCCTGAGTGGTTCTGCTTTAAGATGCAATGGCAATCGAAGAAGCAAGATGCAAAAAATGTGACAAGGAGTTAATTCGTCCCTGCTAGACTCGAGCTAGTCCATTCTTTGACTTCGAGCGGCTTGATACCTGACGATCTGACAACCCCCAGGGTCACAGGCACCACAATGCGTGGCACTTCCGAGTCCATCTTCATTTCGATGAAGCCTTACCGATTTTTGAGGCTGACAGGATTTGATAGTGCTTTGTCGATGTTTCCTCTAAGAGCGGCAGCGGGGCAGAAAGTAAAAGCAGAAAGCGACAAGTGCGCACGTGGGGCCAACCTTCGCGTTGACTCAGACGCAGTCAGAAACGAGGACACACACATACATACATATGTAATCATACTCACATGCGCTCGTACATGCATACATTCACACCTGCCTACGTGCATGCTTGCGCACCCACGTTCAGATATACATACCCAGACACGCATACACACCTATATACTCACATGCTTATACAACTTGTACAACTACATAGTAGCTACATACACCAACTGCAATAACAATGATTGAAACACATTGCACGCAGTACTCAAAGTACATTCCATCGCTCTGTGCATACAGGCATGCTATTCAAAACTTTGCGAGAGCTGGCTGGTCGCTTCTTGCAACAAAGCGTCCTTGGTAGTGGCCTGGGTCTGGTCACAGATGTCATGACTGTCAAGTCAGCGTTCCCATTCGCATTAATTGAAGTGCATAGTTGATGGCAAGCATCCTTGCTGCAATGCGAACTTCGCATAGCCCACCACGCGTTGCTCCTCTGGCGGAATTGTCCAGTCCTGGAGAACCCAATGCCCGTGCAGCTAATTGAGTGCACAGTGCGCACATATCCAAGAGGTTCAAGAAGCCAAATCCTGACTGAGCATGCAAAACGGATTTAAGATGCAGGCGGGTGGCGCTACCGGCAAGCTCGGCTAAAATGGAGCCGCTGCCCGTCGGGCTGCTCTTGTGGCCAATCTCACGGCAAGTCACGTGAGAGTGAGCCATGTGCATGCAGAGTGGGGGCCACGAAATGCGAGCAACAATATACACAACAGAGGTTCATTCTCATTGATGACAGTACCCCTGGTTTTTATGAAGTTCATAATTACTTGTTTGTAAACAGCGTATCGAGTTACTAGGCTCATATGAAGGTAACCGTCAGTCACTGGTGTGAAGTTTCACAACCAAGACACCTGACGAAGTTCATCAGGTGCCAGCAGCTGAATAAAGGACTCGTTCGTGGATACCTGCGCAGCAGGGCGCTCAAGCATTGCTGGCTGCTGGGACCACGGGATACGAGCAAAGGCGGTGCCGGCAAAGCTGCCTACCTGGCTGATCTGCAAAGTCTCTTTCCAGGGATTGAAGATCGACAGCGGATGGTGCACAAGCTCGCCGGCCCCAACCTGACAGTCTAAAGCAAAACACTAATGACAATTTGCATCAGGCCGATGCGCCGCACTGCTTCATCCTTCGGGTAACCATGCTACCGCCACGGTAGTAACTTACTATTATCTTGGCTCATCTTACTGGTCGATTCATCTTGAGAGAAGGCGACCCGGCCTTCAAGTTGTGAATCGCTTCAGCTTTGTATGGATTGGGGGCGGAGTAGCCCTGCACCGGATAGTGCACTAAGCCTCAGGCCGGGAAGAGGTTCAGCACAGTGCAGCATGCTCAGCGCGTTACAGCTATTATGATTCTCTCTCTCTCTCTCTTTCTTTCGCCAGGGCTATGGTCTCTCTCTCTCTCTCTGCCGTGCCATCATCAAGTGTCTCGCAATGCAAGGGCACGACAAAAGCAGGCCAGAATATCAGGAAGCGTAGCGCGAACGCTGAACCTCCTTCATCCTTCGAGCTATTATGATTATGTTATTGTATTAGTATTTTAGTGTTATAGTATTGTTGTATTATGGGAGGAAGGTCTGGAGAAACTAATGCAACCGCGGCTCCTGCACTGGTCTTCACAGAGATTCGCCCTCTCACTTCCCCCGGCTGAGTGGCCAGGAACATAACATACATGACGCCCTCAGTGCGTGGGCTCTGGATGAGCTCCTGACCCTTTGGTCATGCACAAGCTTGAAAGTTGCAGTTTGCTGGCGAATCTGGGAAGTAAGTGGCCAACGATGGTCGGCGATTTTCCTTTCTTTTTGGTCTGCTTTCCGGTCTTTGGCACCAGCGCCGGATAGACCGCGTCCATGTCAGAAGTGACAGAATCCTCCGAAAAGCAGGTGCTGGCAATTTGTTAGATGGAGGGCATTGTCGCTTGACGCTTGAGTGCAGACCAGGCTTCTACTGAAATTATGGCATGGCAGCCATCGCAATAGATGCGAACTTGCGAGTGATGAGGAACACACGTCAACTCCTGAGAAAGGAAGTGCAGAGGGCGCCCCTTCAGCATGCTCGGGTGGGCCCTGGAAAGAATCTGACAGTGATGCCACGAGGACTGTCAGCAACCACTCGCGACCAAGAGTCATCAGAGAACTCTAGTTCGGGCGGGTCAAAACGCATCGAGCCCAGCTTGACTCCTGATGGATGTCTGCTCATGCTGGCCGTACGACAAACCCAGAGACGTGAGATCTGTCGGCCCACGACCTTCTTCTTTCATGGATCTTCTATAGGGTGGAGGAAACACTAAATTACGAGTACCATCGAAGAGACCCTCTGTGCAAAGTTGGCGCAAAGAACCTTCAAAACTCCAAGCCCTGGAGCCCTAGACTCTGCGGCCTGGAGCGTGTTGCGATCCTGGAGGAGGCGGCTCCACTACGCCGGTGGAGAAAACCATGCCAGGGGCGCACAAGAGCAGCATCAGAGCAAGAGCCTGATTCTCATCTCGTCTTTCTGGCAATGAAAGCTGCGCTTGATACTGCAGGCACCATTCATGATCATCGTTTTGCTGTGCCATGGCCGCGATTGTTCCCAAAAGCAACAGGTTATTATGTGCGTTTCAAGCCTTGTGTTGCATGCCCCTGCCTGAAAGAATTTTCATGGAGCTCTTTGCGAGCCAAGGGGCTCTGCATCGCCGCTCGTGTGCAGCCATCAGCTACTGCACTTGGTCTCTATCCCCGACTAGCTGGAGGATCGCTGGGTCACTAAAAAGCCACAGCACTGCGGAGATCTGCAGAGTCACCGTGGCAACATTCACGTACGAAAAATGGCTGGAACGGTCTTTAGCGTGCAGGGACGCGCAAGTGCCAAAACCACTCAGAGCCTGAGCAAATCTTCCTTCGAACCCTCTGCCTGTTGTCGCACCTGTCCTGCTCTTCGTGGACCACCGATAACACAGGTCGCTGTCCCTGGTGAGCACTAATATGGCTCAGTCTTCCATGGTGACGTGCAAGATCAGCCCCACATGACAACGCACAAAGCCGTCGGCAACATCGCATTGTCTTTCAATCAGCTGCATTTTGGCGAGCACCGCCTGCACTCGCGGATGTCAACGAATGGAACTGCGAACCAGGCCTCCCCACCCGCCCTTTCAAAAGAGTGTGAAACGCTTCTTAGGAGGTTTTGGGGGGCCACTCACAGAACTTCGACGCTTCCCATGCTCCTCTTGGCATAGATAGGTGAGGCATGCGAATCTTGAGAATCAATCCAGAAGCACTGCTTCAGTCAATGGCAACTGAGCGTAAGTAGGCAGAGTTGCATTTTGCAACTCAACGCGCCGTCGTATGGCAGGCAGCTTGGCTAGAGAAGAGGGCGCAACCATTCTGCTTCGACTCCTAACCCCGTCACCTTTCGAATCACCTTCAGAAACCCTCGTCTTGCAGCCACCCCCCGCGACAGGTAAGCAATCTTTGAGGAAATCTGTCTTCTCACGTCTGCGCGGCTGAGAGAGGGCACCAATAACTTTTGGCACCGGCAAGCACCAGCGACTGGACGGCTGTCAGGACAGAGACATTTAATAAGTTTCTCCGTGCAGGGTTCAAACATCCTGCGTCCAAAAGAGCTGACTTTGCTAGTGGAGCTCGCAGTTCACGCCAGCACCTGTCAGGAGTTGCAAGTTGTAGCTGTCCATATGAAACTTCGATTCCACTGGCCTGCAAGAGAGCCATTGCAGCAGCAACCGCGCTGGCCAGCTGCAGCACTGGAGAGTGCGATCTGTCCTTCGTATTCGGCGGGAGCGAGTAGACAAAAGCAGAACTTGCAGAACAAGCCAAGGTACCTCAGGCTCTTCTGTCGTAGTCGTTGCATTGGAGCTGTTGCCACCGGTCTTGTTGCCATTCCTGGTATGTGAAGTGCCGACAAAGGGATCAAAAGATTCACCCTTGACGCTAGGACTATCGCTGGGCTATTTTAACAAATGCGGCCGTATTGCGTGGTATATGCTGACCCGGATGCAGAGTCTAAAGCTTGTACCTCAGACTCACGCTTGTCATTGCGTCGCCTGTTGCACGCGAAACTCCGTGCCGAATTGTGCCAGCATACGTTGTGATGGCTGATGTTGTCCGGGAGCTTCGTGGGCACCACAGGGACGACCGACCGCAGGTCGATGGGCATGTGATAACCTTAGGAGACGTCTTGCTGGTAAGACAATTCGAGGCAAGAACGCATACTGTACCGGCAGCGTCACCAGCATGCGCAGCTGATGCTGCCAAACTACGCTCTTCCAGTCCGCAGGGAGAGCATCCGAGCATGTGATCCTGTATCGCAGCAGCCCAGGATTGGTAACACAATGCCGGTGGCACTGACTGGTTCGTGTAGCTACTTCGTCCCATCTCCTGGAAGAAAGATCCCAGCCACACCTGCGACACCCGCATCCACTCGGGCAGCCTTTCCCACCTCGAGCTTGCACCCCACAACCCACAAGCAAGGTCAGAGAAACTGCGACATGGCACAGGTCTGCTTGGTTCCTGAGAGCTCGGCCAGAGATTTGTCAGATGTTCTCCGTTCTGGTGGAAAACAATATCCTGCACCGTGAACCGTAATTCTCTCAAGCATAAGCCGAAGCCCATCTCACGGGCTGAGCAGCGTCCTGGTGCAGGCTTCTGGTGTCTCCGTGGTACATGTCGATGGGGATAAGCAGACAACCGGCCTGCCAGTGAAAGAAGTCTCCCGTCCGTTCTGCTACGACCCCCTGGGCGCCTCTCGGTTGGCCCACTCTGCAGCGGCCCCACACCAGGTAGAGTCCACACCCCAATCGACGCCCAGAGTTCTCTGCTCCATGATGATTCCAGTCTCCACCTTGTTCAAGTCCATGCAATGCAATGCATTTCAGAATGGAAAAGACTCGGCTCCGCTGCAGTCTGTTGCAGGTGCTTTCAGGCAGGCTGAGCTGCCGACAACTCTTCGAAGATACCTGAGTCGGTAGCGCATGCTGTGTTGTTGGAAGGCTGGTTCGGAAAAACTGTTGCCAACCAGTGCTTCCGAGAAACCACGTCGCAAAGCTTCCCCTCAGCATGGCGAACCTCGCTCCAGGCATGGAGCTAAGGTACTTTATATCAGCTGGGTACAGCAGACATGTCCGTCTCCAAGCGGCCACTGTTCGACCAAGTCTGTTTCAACGAATCGAATCCTGTAGGGAGACTCGCTGCAGCTAAAGCATCTCTGCAAGAGCGCATGATGCAGGAACACGTCCGTCTGTCCAGCCGTCCTGTTCCTATTGCAACGCGTCCACCAATCTGCTTTCAGTGGGTAGAACGGAGATCGGTTCCGGACCTTGGGTTCTTCGCTTCATGTGGCACTTATTATGAAGACCATGGCATGCTAAAATCACTGACAGCTCCTTTTCCTTTTCGCCGCCATGCCACAGATCCAGTGACTGGAGCGAACCCCCACTTGGAAGCATAATCTTCATATCTTCGAAAATAATCCGCCCATGGGAATGTCGATAACCCCATGTCCTCAGAAGCGCTGAACCTTCCCCAAGGCCGTTTGCCTGTAACACGCACCGCGCCCCAAGCCAAGGCACAGCATCGAACACCATGAGGTAATCATAATTTGCAAACTGCTCCACATCTTCTGTGTAATAAACCTGCAGTCATTCTGTCTGTATTTCAGGCGAAAGAAGCCGCAGAATCCAAGCATTCCAAGCTCAAAGCCCACTTCGAGAATCTGCCAGGAGATACTCCTGAGATGAAACAAGCTTGTCTGGCAGAGCAGATGCAAGCGGCGCCCTGCTTCCGTTGTTCAGCTTGCGCTGGATTCGATTTTCTGAGTGCAAAGCGGTAGAACATGCGCACGTTCGGCTGCCGCAGCTCAAGGAAGCTCTCCAGGCCAGGGCAGTTGCCATCTTCCGACACGTCTGCGATGATGACCTGCACGGTGCCGCCAACAACCCCACTCTGTCGCTGTGCGGAATCCTCCCCATCAAGAATGTTATTTGCTGGGACCAACCCGTTGGCGCATCATTGCAATTCTACGACGAGGAGCATAAACAGCCCATGTAAAGTTGTATGGCGTCATTGCGCGAATTGAGGCGGCAATGGAGCGGCTCTCTCCATCGAAGCCAGTGTTGTTTCGACAGACCAGCGTAGTCATGGCAAGGAAGGACGACCTCAGGCTGAACAACCAGTTACTGCCACAGGTACATCCGTAGATCGAAGATGTATGAACACTTTCACAGCCCTACATGGCCCTACATGACTAAGTGCTTGGATGCAAGCAAAACCAATTTGCGCATGTGAACGGACTTACGCACAACGATGAAAGCGCATCTATGCATTCCTCCGTGCCATGTCAACATGCGCTCATGTATGAGTGTGTTTAAGGGTTTATATAGGTGTATGTGTATGCAAGCTTGCGGACATAAAAACCCGAGCAAACCCCAACAGGCACAAACATTCGCCTCCATGGCCGCCACTTCCCTACATAGGCAACCAACACTGACCTGTGTAGGCCGCAGGCATGTGCCTGTGCATGGTGTATTAAGGTTTAGGAATTTTTATCCGTGAAAAAGATAACTGTGTTTCGTGGGCGCGAACTGATTACTGGACAGGATGCTTCACAAGTCTTTCCGGAGTCCCGAAAGCTGGGCTGGGCGGGAGCAGTCGCCCACGATGGCGCTGCATGAAATTTGTCTGCCACGCGACCTGGATGGCACAGGACATGTCTGTGCGCGAGGCTTCTACCACTTCTACACTTACGGCTGGCAGCTGTCAAAACGTCGATCCTTTGCAGTTGCCAAGTCGCGCTGGAAACGGCATACCACTCGGAGGAGTTGGACATGACGTGAACGGTAGTCGGGAACTCCAACAAGTTGAAGTAGAAATGTGTGCTGGTGTACACCGTGCCTGGCAAAAGCTGGCAGGGCTGCGGGAGGCTTGCGGGACAGGTTGGATCAAGGGCGCTTGCAACCTTTAGCTTGGTCTGCATTGGTCTGATACGTCTGATCATGCGACCCGGCAAACTACAACTGTACTCTGCTTGTCAGCTACGACCGGTGCAGTAAGCCTTGTAATTGCCAGATATTGCGAGATGTTCGGAATGACTGCTACCGTATATCGGAAATCCTGTGTTTCACAGAACGGTGATTTTGATGTGTCTGTAGCTTGTTTGTTGACATCTCGGCCTTCAGTAAGTGCACCAAAGAGAAGACCTTCTGCCTGGCAGGTGTCATGCGTCATGCCGGTCAGGTGCTGCCGATGCACCGCACGATATCACAGCACAAAAACTCATTGCCTGCAGTGACCCAGCTCCAGGGAGCCAGGGTTTTCGCTGAAAGTGCCCGCTCGCCTTGGAAGAGACTCTGTGGCAGCCGACTTCTGCCGCTGGCAGTCCACAATGCCGAAAGTCAGAACGGCAAAGGTACGTCGGCGCGGTTAGGCCGGGATACATATCGATCCAGAAGCTGCGCCATGCCTGACCTTACACAGCGATGCTCCTGTTTTGAGTATAAGTCCCCAATCCTGACTAATCATCTGACCCAGTGAACAAGACATGGTTTGCTGGGCCGAGTGCTCAGCAATCAAATAGGACCTAGGCCCGAACTGGCATCGTCAAGGTTTGGACTTGGCACTGCATTGCCGCACAGTGAAGTCAGGCCGCCCGGTGCCATCGAAATGCGGCTCCCGTGGCTGGAAGATTGTCCCGGCACTGGCCAGCTGTAAAATCGCCTCGACCAGGCCGAGATTTTCGCACATCATCGCACCACGCCTGCTAGGCAACCGCCTTCGTGCTCACAGTGGACATCTGCAAAGCTGACCAACCTGTGGGCAAACATCAAGCCACCGCCAACGCCAACACATACATATACATTTGTACATATATGTATATAGTATATGATATAATGTAAACATATATGAGTATATATATATATATACACACACATATAAGTAATGTGCTGCAATTCCAGGACAAGCGCAAAGAAACCTGTTCCCGAGGCAGGGACCAGCCGGCGCCTGCTCGATCAGTTTGTCTAGATCCCGCCCAAACTCTGGATAGATTTCGACATCGTCCTTGGAGGTAATCGCAGCGCGTGAAGTCGAAGTACTCACTTTCGATCACCCGCAGTACAGAGGCCTCCATGATGAGCGCCAACGGAGGTGTGCCTGCAATCGGTGCGACTGAACCCCACTACAGTACACTTCGCGGAATCGCTTGCATGTCCTCAAGATCCTCAAGAATCTAAATTCCTAGCTGGCCTTGGCTCGAGGCCAGCTTCATCGCACGCAAATGCGAGAGGCTGCAGGCCATCTCGGTGTAGAGCAGCTCGCCCCTGGTGCTCAAGCGCTGCAACATGCCCCTTCGCCACGCGTCACTCCCTGGCCTGGAATGATGCTCCGGGCATGCCTCCGAACAGGCATCGATCAGCTTTGCTTCGACGACGACCGTGCCGTTCGCCTGCATCGCCTCCCATGCGATCACTTCATCACAGAACACTGCCTAGCACAGAATGCCCCACCTTGACCTCCTGCGTGGTCACTGCGGGCACACGCGTCACCTGGAGAGTCAACGTCGACGGCTTGGTTTCGCCTGGCTGCAGCCACCGTCACTAGCATCACGTTCGAAATCCGGGTGCATCCATGCTAAGAGACCAGCCAAGCTTTGCAAACATCTTCTCCATGGCATCACGACGATCTTTCGAAGAGTCCAGGTTGATCCAATAAATCTGTCAGTGCCACCAGTGATTCAGCTATAGCAGAAGCACGGAACTGCCAAAATTCTATTCATGCTGTCCGCCTGCAGTGTCCTTGCAACCTTGTGCGAGGGAGGTGCAGGATCTTTGACTGCCTGAGCTGTTCGTGACTTTGGGGCGATTTGATTGTTTCATGTATCTCCACTCGTGCTTTAACAATGTAAAAACGAGTGGCGAAGCGATCCGGCAGCGGCGTCGCTTCGGATGAGAGGGCGCCGCCCTTGCCAGCATGGTTGGCAGCAGCCTGCGGCTAGCGACAGGCTTTGCAAGTTAAAACCCCAAGCGGACACAAGAAACCGCACGATAAAATCAGAGGATCAGTCCAAAGTTCAGAGAAGGTTATGATGTAGGACGGTGCGCGGAACACCGAGAACTGAAGAGAATGTGCCTTCTTATCCGCCACATGCGAAACGTTCGGCTTGCTCACGGCTCCACGATCGGAGTACCTTGAAGAACGGGCTTCTGCTCGAGTTCGAACCCTTCTAATACGCCGGCGAACTCAACAAGGCGAGCAGCTTATCTGCCAGACGTTGGCTCCAGCATTTTGTTTGCGCTATCTTCTTCCCGTACACAACATGCCTGCGCAGTGGGATGCTTGACGACTGCTATCAGCAGTGCTTCGACTTCTTCAGTAGAGCTGCGATTCTACTGGCACAAAATCGCCAGGAATTCTCGCAACCGGCGGGCAAGTAGCCCAGCGGTCGTACAGGTACTGCTGGAATGAGCATAACGAACCATCCATGTCCTTGGGCAGCATGACATGCCTGAGGATGCCTGAAGTGATCAGCACACTGCAACTGCATCATTCAATGCTTTAAACAGCCAGCTGAAGTGTGATGCCCTGTCGCAACAGCGGCCCACACTGGGCCCGCAAGCTTGCAACGACTAAGGCCGCGGCCCTGTTTGCCTTGGAGCCAGCACAGTTTGGCTATCCGACCCCGTCTTGGAAGGCTCACAAGATAAAGCCTGCCACTCTCTCCTGCTTTCGGGCAGCAAATTTCTCCTGCAAATAGGGATTGTCGAAGTTCTTCACCATCCAGTCTAGATCACCTCAGCTCTCACTTTGTGCCCAACCAAGACAAAGCTATAGATGAAGGTAACCATAAAGACAGAGATAGAGACAAACATTATTGTTACTGTAAGATCCAGATAAGACGAAAGATGAGATAAGATATGGAAATGGTGCGTGCACGCGCATGTATATATGTACACTGTGCGTGCATACATAGATACACACGTATACACATGTGCATATACATACACACTTGCAGAGGTATGTATGTGCATATGTCGCAGAAATATTTACTGTGCGTACTATATGTGTGATATGTATGATGTGCACAATAGTCTTTCAGAGGTATGGCATGCATCATATGGGTACCTTTTAGGCATAAGCGAACATCCAATATAATACAGAATACAGACATCAACACACGGGAAAAGGTGCTCATGCATGTATATGCATACGTTCCACATACTTTGGTAAAGAACATGCAAAACCACCTAGTGCCGTACAATGTAATGCCTTGCGGTATGCGTAAGAATCAATCCAGCCTATCTACTACCAACTGATGCATATACCAGGCATCAAACGGGATATAGTGTACATATATATGCACGGTATGTAATGCAGAATAAAAACCAGAATAAACACCAAAAAACATGACATTGGGCATGATGTAACATACTACATATAATATGTACATTCTAGCATGTAATGTGTGTTCAATACTATACTGCTACGAAAAGCAATTAGGTTACTAGAGCTAGCTACTACGATGTGTATATGTAGATACAGGGCAGAACATCAAGTGAAATGCATGTTTTCCAATGTATACAATTCAACAGATAGCATCTCCCCCAGTACATACCGAATCATGTGAAACATAGGTATCATGCAACATATACCTTATACTACATTCTTAATTCTTAATACTATATCCTATCTACTTGTATGTATGTCGCCTGTAGCTCATGCTCTGCAACCTGCATGGTATGATATGCAAAATTCAAGATACAAGACTTACAATAATAATAAACCCTAAACTATATTACTATACAAGACTTACTATCGAACTGAGCGGATCGCGGCCTCTGTTTTCCTCTGAGCGGCTCTCGCAGTCTGGATAAAGCTCTTCCAGCCAGGCTTGTGAAGGCTCCTGGGCGGGCGTCTATCCCTATGCAGTTGTTTGCGTTTGACTCACTACTGATGTCTCACTTGAAATACTCACAACCCTAAGTTGTATTCTGTGCGTGTGTGTACAGCTATAGATGTGATACTTGCTGTGCCTGCGGACGTGCACAGCCGCAGTTGGCGAGCCAAACAGGCCAAGGCACGGTGGCATTGCTGACGCACGAAAACTCGCTTTTGATTTCGCCTTTGGATGTCAAGATTCCGTAGTACCTTTCACTGGGTCCTGGGAGCGCAGGCACTTCGGAACATGCAATTTTGGACCACAAGCTTGTGTTCGCTGCCGCCACTACCAGAACCGCTCTGCTGTCTGAAATGCGCCGGGATTCGGGTGCCCTTGGTTTCCTCGTCGAAAGCAGTGAACAGCTGGCCCGATACGATGCGCCCGTCGGACAGGCTAGACTCCATCCTTGGAATATGTCGCCCGGTCGTTTCAGCGACCAGCTCCGGCCTCCCTAAACCTAAGAAACCCTGAACGTTCTGGCGGGCCAGGTGTCCAACGGGCCACGTTTCGGACGAAGCGGTTTGCATGGTCGAGTGTGGCATAGGCATATGGAAAGGCACGGGCAGCCCCACATGTGGGCCATCCTGTCTCACCTGAGTAATTAACTTTCGTGATTGCAGGCTGATCACTGACGCTCTGACTACAGCAATGCAAGACTCGCACGCTTATTTGCTGTTGGTCATACGAATCATACCCGAATCAGTTTTACATGAGCACACCACATGGGAGCAAGCGGCCAATCGCAAGGGGCAGGTTGTTATGTGGGAAATCACGATCCAGAGCAATACCTCGGCGAGAAGCTGCTCAAAGGCTCTCCTGCTCTGCTAAACCCGAGTTTCGGAGCTTCGAAAGACTGGGCCTGGAATCTACAGTAGCTGAGCAGCGGAGTGCAGAGATCTGGTCGTTCAGGAAATGCATCTCCGGGCCAGTCAGATTTTCCATCGCTACCCCTCGAACCCCACAGCTCAAGAAGGGATAAATATTGATCGTGAAGTAGTCCAACAGGGGCAGGACATCTTTGTACCTGAAGCCGCCGCATGCTCGCGACAACCCGGTGTGATACTTGGTCCATGCCTGTCCCTCTGCTGGCAAGACACTTTTCGATGAACTCAGCTTCCAATTTTGACTTTTGCACGGGATGACTTCTGTGCATAATCGAATATGCGAACGGCACGGTCACCTAGGCGAATGACTCGCAGCAGGCATGAACGGCTTGCTTGTGTTCAGTCTCAAGGAGGAGGAAGTTCCCCACTTGTCCATGTTAAGCGCAGGTGCTTGCGCTTCCGGGATTTCTGCTCTTATGGCCTTGATCACTTCGATCACGCGATCCTGGGAACGTGAGAAACCGTGAGACTGAGTCAATCTCATTCTCCGCTGCGCAGATCGAACCATCTATCTGCTCTAGCTGTGGCAGTGTCCGAGTGGACACCACTTCGATCCGGCTCATTGCCAATCGCAATGTGAAGGGAGCCTGCCATCCCGAGTCACAACATCTGTCAAGCCGTGGGAATCACTTCCATTCCTCTGCCTTTAAAGTCATCAGCAACACTTCGGAGCCAGTCCATGTCCACGAACGGAAGTTCCTCCAACTCCAGCGCTTGGTGCATCAGACTTACTGCCGGCAGTTGTGCAATTTTTGCTTGGAGGTTTCGCATGCAGCAGACAAGTTCTTGCTACCGCAAGGCATTCTGGACTTTCCAAACCATGGGCGAATGCTCTCTCGTAAGGCGGAAGGTCATGCAAAAGAGGTGCAGTGCTCCTTGTTGCCAATGCCGATCACAAGTTCCTTGATGTCCACAATGTTCGAGCCATCTGTCTTGCTAGATTGCCGCACGAGCTCCTGGGCGAGATCTCACTGACTACCTTCGAATTCGAGATATGGGACCGGCACAACCTACAACTACGTCCTACTTGGAAAATGCTCCTCAACAATCTCGCGATTGGATGGTGCAAGGTCGTAAGTCTTGACCTGAACACAGGACACCATCGGGCACGGATCTGCACACTATATATAGCTACACAGCGATATGCAGCTCCGCGCCCTTCTTGACTTGCGTTGTGTTACACCTGGGCTTCCGACACGCTCGATGGGGCGCAACAGACCCAAATGCTCCTGCGATGCGACACACATTGCCGCGCTAAATCTGCAAACAATCCACTGCTCAGTTCTTGAACATCGATGCTCTGGGCTAATCCGCCCTTTCCTGTCCTGTATCCGGGGTATAGCAGCAATGGCCTACACCAGCCGTGGAGTTCATTAGCGGCTAGCGGTCTAGCGGAAGTCCAAAGCCAACCCCGGCGAAATGACATGCTTGGCAGCCATGCCTGACTGACAGGCAGAGGCTGCTTCATCCACTTGACGGACAAGTTGATACCTACCTGGTCCACAGGGTTGACTTGATGCTCCCGCTCGCATGCCTTTATGGGTCTTAGGCTTCCCGAAACACAATGCAAGGTGCCTTGCTTGTGGCAGTCTTAGCCTCAGAATCAGAAGCCCACGAAAGTTCATCCGACTCGGCTCAGCATGACTGCACCCGAATCTTCTGAACTGCCCAGCAGTACAGTAGGGCCCTAGCCTGTCTAGAAGGCTTGCCGCTCTCGTCACTGACCGGCTGTTTGGGCCGGGCCAGGGCCTCCTCCTCTACCCGCGAGTCGCCCTGCAAGCGTCACAATCCGCGACTCAAAACTCAAACTGCCTACCATAACGGTCTTGAGACTAGGGTTCTGGGCATTTACTACGATAATGATAGTAAGGAGCCCCCAACATTGATCTCAGTGGAGCGAACCAACCCATTGGCTGAAATGTCGCTGACAAACGAAAATACGGTAGTATCCCCGTTCCATCGCAGTGTCCGAATTAGATTATTGCGCGCCTGCGAATCAATGCGAACTACTCTTCGGGAGGCATCTGTTTGCAGGAGGCCGGAAGCCTGGACAGGCACTGACGCATCGCAGCTCTGCAAACTTTGGCGCTCACAGACTCGTAGACTCTGCCTCGTGTCGATAGGCATCTTTCACGGCTGCACACCGTGAGTCTGCCTGACAGACGCGCGCGCGCGCAGACTTGGTGCCTCACAGGGTCCTACATTGCACACTCATATCGCTCAGTCCTCGCAGGCATCTTGCCCTCTTGCTACAAGCAAGAAGAGGGCCAACGCCTGGTAGCTGCATGTACTCAAGAAACACTCAAGAGTCCTCGGCAGCGCTGTGCTGAGTGCCCGGCACAAGGCCGCCAACCATGGAACATATCACGCATCTGCGTAAAGAAATCCTTTGGCAAGAAAGAGTACAAGTATCAAATGGAGGCGAGCAGGAAAGGTTTGACACCTGCTCTGAGCCTGAAGTGGCGGCAGGAACGGATATGGCAGCCCGAGCCCCGTGAAGCATCCCCAACACCGCACGACCATGTCCAGAAACTGAACGCTTCAGAGATCTTCAGAGTGCACTCGGTGTGCCTCTCCACGATGGCTCTGGCCACCAAACCTTCGCTTTGCAGGCTGTTCGACAGTTTGGCTGTGTCGGACATGGTGCTTCAAGGAACACTGGCATCCTCTTTTCCCGCAGCACTCAACTGAAATACTGTACAAGCTCATTGAGACTCCGGTGTCTTAGTCGCGGTTTTAGCCGATATACACATCGCAGCATCTGCGTGCAAGTAGATCAATGATCTAGTGTCTTGATCTGAATCAAAAACAGCTGCCCGATCCGCGCAAATCTAGGCCAAAGCTCCTGGCGGCCTCTGCGAGCTTGGCGATTCTTCTGGCACGCAGGATACAGCCTCATCAAGTACTCGGCTTGTGCATGTTTAATCCCAGTTCTGAGTTTCAGGCAGCTGTTGAAGGGGACGAGTGAAACTTGGTGAAACGTTACAGTCCAAGGTGTCGAGCAAGAGTCGCTTCTCGCCCTGGTCACAACTCGTTTGAAATCGAAGAAAGATTCAGCAATGATATGATAACTTGTGCAGGAGATCGTAAGTCAAAGGTCATCGCAACCTCAGTAGGAGTCGCTGCCTGCCCAGTCAGCTCCGGCCTGGCATCAACAGATTTGCAAGACGTCTCACAGCCTGGGACTGCCGTCTGAGCACAGTTCGTGATAACAACGACATTTCGCCTTGCGACAAGCTGCCATCACAAACAACAACTAACTTTGCATCCGAGCAGCATTGATATAGTACACCTGCCCTTGGCAACAGGCAAGTGCTTGGCAAGGCAACCAGTGGAGCGCTGCGACAGCAAACTTGCCAAAATCCAAAAGTGTTTTGCTGCTTGGGACCAGGTGACGATTTCGACTCACGGGAGGCAGCGTTGGCGATGGTGGGCTCACCAGCTCGGTGCCCAGAAGGGGGAGAAGCCTGCAATCCCTTCTTCTTACTCAGACCTAAACAATGATACGGTCACTCATCACACGGTGCCTTTCGTGGCCAGTCTCATCGTCCCTTGCAAACCGCCACGCATCGCTGCCATGAGGCGGCCCAACCAATCCAACGGCCATCTCGTAACCTGAAAGAGGCGCACCCTACATAAGGTCGCAAAAACAACATCTTGGCTGCGCAAGCAAAAAACAAACATCTTCGCTGGCTGAAATGTTCTTGTGCTCGACTCCAATCGCCAGAGAAGCCTTCCTGCTGGTGTTAGCTCTTGCTTACACAGGGGCTCGCGAGGGCGTGAAGAGCCCATAATGATCCCCTCATATCCCCTCCATCTTCTCTGAAATCTTGTGGAACTGACCACCGGCACGCAGCCGGCCAACTGGTTCTGTTGGCCTGCCATGGCCTGCCTTCACAGCATCTTGAATACTTGGTGATGCCGCAGTACATCCGATCCCTCCATAGCATCGGCTTCCTATAGCCCTGTGAACCAAACATGTTTCTGTGTCTGCAGTCAGGCAGCTGTAGGCTGTGACTTCAAAACGCTGGACGTCTGCTTCAGTTCCATCCATATGGCGGACATGTGCGAAGCTTTGAGAAGTCTTGTCGAAGGCCACCTGCAGTTGTGGATCGAGCTGCCACTACATGCGTGCTGCTTACTGCGTCGCTTCACATACCATCGACTTGTCTATGCAGCTGCAGTTATTTTGAATCCAACATTTAGACCCAGACCCAGCACTTGTCTGGCACAGCAACAGAAGCGACATTGTCACTGGGCAGCACAAATGTGGAAACCTCTAAACCGCACTGTGCAGAAGAGGATACATCGGCGAACGCATACGCAGAAGATCAAACCAGTGCTGTAGCGAACATCTGCATGAGAAAACGAGCGACACAGAATGCATTTGGAGAAACGGAGTGCTGCGACTCCTGCTGTGGCTTTAGTCTAGCGGCAATGGCTCCTTCTAGTGCATCCTCCAAGCCAGCCAGCGGAACGCTTGTACGGCCAGTGCGGAAAGCAGCTTCCAAGCGCTCTCCGGCTTCCTTTTTGAAGACTTGGACTTCCTTTGCGCATCGAAGCAAAGGACGCGAACCAGGGAGGCTAGGGCGGTACAGTGTGAGGCCATCAATTGCAGTCAAGAAGTCGCCAGTGTCCCGATCAAGCGCCAACCAGACCTGTCACGTGAAGCGACACAAATCCAGACCATGAGACAGGCAGACGGACAAACAGGAACGAGGACATGCTCGGGATTGGATGTTAGGACGCCCTGCGAATTCTGAGGAGATGATGCGAGGCTAAGTGATAGCACCATCCGTTCCATTTTGCAAGAGATCCGAAAGTAGAGATGATGAAATCTCGATGTGCCTGGTTTACTTGTACCTCACCTTGCTTCGGCATTCCAGAAGTGTCCATGACTGCCTCGTCGTTGTTATCACATGGAGCTTCTAGCATTCCGTCTCACACCCAAAAAAAGGAAACTCTGGATGTTGAACAGGCTTCTACTACTATTGACAAATATCTCCTTCTAGCGCACCGTACAGTATACTTTGAGACGTTTCGCATTCGTCTACGGGGCATATGACGAAACCAGTTCATCACGCTCCCTGGTTTAGGCCTACACGATGCGTACTTGCAACCTGGTACTCCTGGAAGCGCACACACACACAGACACACACACACACACACACAGAGGCTGCCCTGAGGCATGGGCAGCTCGCGTCTCCCCGCGGCTGGCCGCCCCCTTCAGAAAGCTCCTCATGGCGCGCTTGTGGGGCGGAGTCTCCTGGGATCACGAACAAAAGCAAAGAAGAGAAAAAAGGATCAAATGCAGATCGTTAGTGCAAGTCGCGTCTGCCCGGGCTGTTCGGGGAGTGTCGGTGCTGATCGGCTGAATCGGGCCCTGGCCCTCATGCCTGAAAGGAGACAAATCTCGTGGGACTGGACTGCAAGAAAGCTACACGTACTTCGCCCTGGCCTTGCGGGCTTGCTGCCCTCGACCCCTTCCCTGGAGTCCTCACCATTCCAGCAGTGATTCTGAAGCTATGGATCTAGCAGGGAGACTGGGACAAGAGGGCGGCCAAGGATCTCGTGGGACGCTGGACGCCCGCTTTCCGCCCGTTGGTGGAAGACCGGGCCTTGAATGCTCAGCTCCAAGGCCCCGAAAGGCCCCGAACCGCGACGCGCTGATTCGATGCCATGCGGTGCTCATCCCTTCCGGTGTCGTTTAAAGCCCATGTCGCGCAGAACTGCAACTTCAAGCTCAACGGGACCAGGCCTGTCATACGTATCAATCACAAGTTACCTGACATCCGCAACTTCGCAGAAACGAACTCTTACCTGACACCACCCACTACATGGATACTGCATCCGCAACTTCGCAGAAACGAACTCTTACCTGACATCACCCACTACATGGATACTGCATCCGCAACTTCGCAGAAACGAACTCGCCGCGCATCGACTCGGCAGGAATGTGCTCCCCAAGCGACTGTGTGACAGGCTGCTGTGACAAGCTGGGTATTTTGGTAGGTGGTTTTTTTACTCCCGTGTGAGCAGAGCGAGGGTGTTTTGACCGTCTGTTGCCTCTCGCGGTAATTGCTGTCCCAATGCCTGTTTTTGGTGGAGCCTCAGTGGGCCAAGCATCTGTATCGTTGCGCATATTATACGCACTACGTGTAGCTGAGCGAAGTGCTATAAGAGAGTCCTATTTCGGCCGGGAGACCGGAGGCGCACTCGCGGCACCCGTCTGAAGCCCTCGCGACGATCATCGCTCGGCCAGGTCTGCAACCCAACATCGGCAGAGCTGGCCTTAGCAAAGCACACCCGGGCCGCTGACACTGAACTCTGCTATGCTATGCAGCAGCCAGGGAGCCCTAGTCGAAGCACTGGCACTCCGCAACAGCTTGGGCTTCCTTGTCCCCTGCTCGGGGGAGTTGTTCACATCGAACTCGATCTTGCGCGGCGAGAGCGCGTGAATGTAGACCTGCCGAGACAGAACCCAAACTTCAAACAGCTCTCGGAGCGGAGTCTGTACCTCATGCTGGTTCTTACTGCTATCAAGACTACTACTATGATTATTCCTATTATCTTTTTCTTGCCATTATTTATTATTACTATTATTGTTATTCTTATTAGTATCATTAGGTACTATTATGGCTCTTATCTTTCTATTGTCATTATATGTCATCTTTGTTATTAACCCTGGCCTGGTTCAGGACGAGATCTTCCACAGTCAGCTCCCGGAGCTCGTCTGGGTGGCCCAAGCCCTCCCAAGGATCCCTTGGGTCGGCGCTTTCGCGGCAGATTTTCGCGAAGTTGCTCTTGAAGGAAAGCTCGAACTTCTGAGTTTCTTCGACGGGAGCTGGTTTCATCACCACTTCCACGGGCTTAGATGGCGTGCTAATGCTACACTCACGTAGCTTCTGCAGGTCACTGCCGCAGCGACGCAAGTCTTTCTCGGTCACAACGATCTGCTCAGCCTTCTTTGGAGGCACAGGCGGACGCTTGTTCCCATATCCCTTGGCCGCTGGCTCTATGCGAGTCGTGCGCACAAGGTGTGGCGTGTGCTCTCTGGCGCCCTGAGTGGCAGGTGTGCTAACAGAGTAGAGCGAAGCTCCTTCTCTGCGAACATCTTTCTGAGGTGGGCGTGTCCACTCCAAAGGCTGCCAACTTGGCCCATGCTCTGCTTCGACTGCTCCAGGCGTGCTTGGAGGATTCAGTGACGCTTCCCTTGAAAGCGATCGCTGCAGCTTGCCCTCACGAGTCCCCTTCAGGGACACTCGTCCTTGTGACGCTGGCCTGTCTTTGGAAGTGCTGCGGCTCAATGAGTTCAGTGTTTCCTTCTGGAAACCCCTTTGGCTCTGGTTGCTGCCTGGCCGTAAAGAAGTTCTGCTGGGTCTTGGCCCTGAGACCTCAAAGCCCTTCTCATCTAGTTTCAGTGTTGGGCGCCGGGACTCCGCACGTATGCCAAGATCGTCCAGCATAGAGCCCTCCAAGTAGCCGAGCTTCATCGTGGAATTCAAAAGCATTCCCCCTCCTATCTTCTGCACAGCTGACTGTGCATCCAAGTGCCAGCTACGGCCTAAGCTGAAACTACCTCGGGCCACTGGGCGACGAAGTCTGCTTCAAACACGGCAGCATTGAAGCAGCACGACTGTAGCAACCGTAAAAGCATGTTGGCTCCGCGGCCTGCAGCCACGTTGAGGCCTGGAGCCCGAAGACTGTGCGAAAGCAGAAGCATGTGCTTCAAGTCTGCAACGACTGCCACCACGGACGCAGTTCGGTGGCTTCCGCGCTGACGACTACCGGATTACCGTGACAGTGTATACAAACCATACTCTCTTTTCTGCAAAAGCCTTGAGACATCACAAGGGCGGGCCTGTCTGCAACCGGAGCCGCATTTACGGAGGCTGCAGGCAAGACAGAAAGCTAAGGCGTGGCTAATCAGGCAAGGTTGCAGTCCGCGGTGGCACATATGCGCCAGTGGAAAAGAACAGCAAAACGAGTTCAGATTCATTTACTCAAGGTCTCGATGATTCTATGGTTCGCTATATGGGCAGGCAGCAAACAGCGGTTGTTGGCTGTTTGCTGGGCTGATCCTGGATGGAACTCCAGGCTGCCCCAACTAGGTGCAAGAGAAATGGCAGACCTTGAAGACTTGAAGATTAAGCTCCAAGGGGCCAATTGCTATTATGTGCTATTCCGGAAAGTCAGAAAGTCTCATTCTGAGAAGCCACCACCATCAGCGGCTGGAGGGCCAAGCTACCTTGCAGTGCAACTTTTACAATGCTGATCGCAGCTGTGAAGAAGCTTTAGAACGAGCGGAGCGCTTGTTTTAAAGCAAGCACGCACGGTGCAGTCAGCAATCACTCGAGAATCTCTGGGTGGCACATCTCCATCACGACTTCACACTTCCTCCTTCACCGGTGAGTGCCTCAGACTCAGCGTACTCTGTGTACCTGGCCTTCACAACAGCTAGCTGTCGCCTCCATGAAGTACTCCAAGATCTGGCATCCGAGCCGCTTTGCAAAAGGACGCCTGACTTCACAGAGCTTCGTTGTCGCCACTTGGTCTCAACAATTGCGCACCATGATGTTGAGGCGCGTTTGTCATCGGCATTGCATCAGCATCAGCAGGAAGCATGCAATCCCGACAATTGAGTCTTTAAAGGCCGTGGGCAAGATCCTCGACCTGCGACGCCTGCGATGCCTGCGCCAAGGGCGGCGGAGGTCGCTGCCAGCATTGGCTTGGTGCCGAATGGAGCACAGGTAACAACTGAGGCAAGCAGCGCACCACGGCGCTTCGCAGCTCCGTCCTCGTCTGAGGACCGGCCTTGGCGCGCTTTGCCTCGTCGCGTTCCTCGCGGTTTCGGCCTTCACCCTCTTCCACCTGCGCCTTCGTCGCCTCCTCGACTTCCTCGACCGTCGCATCCGTCGTATCGACCTGCCTGCATGCTTCGAGGGCCTGGAAGAGGCCTCGGGCCAACTCCAACTGTAGCGGGTGCAGTTGCTGCTGCAACCGTTCTTGGATCTTCCGCGCCGCATCGTCTGCATCGCCCTCGTCACTTGCTTGCAGTCGCCGCCCGCACCTCACCAAGCGCAGAGCCAGTTCGGCATGCTGCTGCTCTGCGCGATGGCAGAGAACCTTCCCACTTGGCCTTTGCCTGCATGAGCTCTGCAAGACACACCCAGCGACCACAACTGGCCAGCACAAAGCACACCACGTTGGTTGCAGCTGGCTTGTCCGTCGATCGCCTTCTCGACATCTTGCTGTCAGAAACCACTTCTTAGCCAATGAAGACGGATGGTGAGGGAAGTCCAGAAGAATTGCTACGTCGGCCCACTGAGCTTGCCTTGCCGAGTCTCGCAAGGCTCTAGCTCCGAAGTCATGATCTCCTTTGGGCGGGTAGAACTGCATGGCCAGTTTGGCAGAGTCTGCCGTCACCTTGCGAAGAGATGTGAACAGCTTGGTGAGCTTCATTTGTGGCATGGAAGGCGCGTCTGAGTGCGACTCGGCCTCTGACCGGGGCTGGAGCAACCACTGTACTGCGCTGATTGAGAGCACGGCATCAGCAACACCCTCACGTAGTGGGAGCGGATGTGACATGTCAGCCAGTATTCGATCACCACGTCTAGAAATCCATTGCAAGCCCTCGCTGATATCGACATGGCCGGCTTCTAAGCCTCCGTCTGTCGACATGCTCGGCACGCGGATTCCGACCAGCGAAGACTCGTGAATCCCTGTTGTCGTCGCAAGCATGTGCAAGCTGGTGTCAAAGCTGAGAATGAAAGGAGGTGTGCCGGGTTCTCTGCCTGCAGCCAAAGCCTGAAAACTAAGAGTGCTCAGGCCACCTCCAGCACCCAGATCAAGAACGATGGAGCCAGGACTAGCTGGCAACAAGTCTCCCAAACTAGCGGCCGCACGCGTCAACTCGGCCTGTACCCGCGCAGCCTTGGGAACTCGGTGGTATCGAAGTGCCTCATCCTGCGCGTAATACTCCTGACAGGAGCATCTGTGAGGGTGAGCATGCTTCAACACTTCTGCATGGGTTCAACAGTTTTTCACCCTAGCCCCGCTACAGACTCAAGATGCATATGTCCGTGGGCCACAGGTTACACATGTGGTGTGGCGTTCCTGCGGACCCCATTCTTGAATTGGGTCATCCATGCTCAGGGCTACGAGTGCCTGACACTGCGGTCCAAGACTCCCCGGCAGATCCGGCAGGCGCTGCAACCTCCGGGTGCAGATGATGTCTGCGGGCATCACCGCCCGCGCGTCGGCCGCGCCGCTTGGCGGAAGGCGACAGCTGGAGCATACGAGCGGAGTTGTAGTGCTTGTTCGAGCCAAGACGATGCCAACGTGTTTCCAATGCGACGAATGTAGAACTGTTGCAGACAAGTTTTCCTGAACTGCACAAAGTGTCGCAGTGATACTCGAGCTCCTGGGTGTGAACAGGTTCTCGCAAGTCATGGGTTATGCGTTATGCAGGCAGGATCGCGCAGGCGTGAGGATACACCTCATTTCCAGAGAACTGGTTCCCTAGATACCCATGCATTCTCATGAACTCAGCTTGTGCTCAGCATGTGAGGTTGTGGTAGCTGCAGTTGATTGCTGTGTCTCCTGTTGCTGATGATCGTACTTAGTAAAATCAAGTAAAAAATGCAGTGACTTAAGCCAACCGCAGATCCACCTGTTTGCCTGCAAGCGCTTAATTGGGGACAAGTTGCATTGCTTCCGTGGCTTTTTGTCTGGCGCGGCTTCGCCAGAAGATCGTTGAGAGAGACGGCCCCGCGGCGAAGCTGCTTGCATTGTGCTGTGAGGGTCGCAACATCAACCAAGCCAACTTTCTTTCCGCTCTTCCAACCAGCATCTACTTCGCAAATGGGAATGCTCTCTGCAATCGGGTTCCAGCTCTCCCATCCAAACTTCCGTCTGTTTTCCACCTTGATGGCAACATTCTTGCGAGGGTCGCGCGACATGCGTTCCCGCTGCCGGGCTCGACGCTCCAATTCGATTCGTCGCTCTTCGAGTTTGGCTCGCTCTGCTTCCCTGTCCTTTTTGCTGCTTTCGGACAGATGTTCCAGGCGGGAGTGCTTCGCCAGATATTCCAGCTTGCTAGTCATGCTCGCAACGTCCTGGGGGGAGCCAGCGGTCTTCTGCTTAAGCTTCGCTTTAGACTATACTGTAACACCCACTACTCGTGCTGTATGTAATGGTTCAAGGCTCCGGGTCAGTCCTGGTGGAACTTGTCTCGGAGACTGATCACCTCTGCCAGATCACTCGGCCTCTCAAACTCTGCCACATGGGCATCATCGCGTTCCGAAGGAGCTCCATGCGCTCCATTCCTTAAGGCGCGCTCCAACTCGGCTGCGCAGCTCTCGGCCCGACTGTTCTCCTGTAGGACACCGGCCGTAGGAGAGTTCCGGCTCTTGGGTCGCGACAAAGGAGGACTCAAGAGCCCGGGACCCCTCTTGGGCGAAGGTAGGACCAGGGGCTCCTGAACCCGCCTGAAATCAAAAGATCCGGTGGTGGCCCCGAGGCCCAGCGGCTGTGATCGTGCCCTCTGAAGGCAGTTTGAGGCAGAATCTGAGAGAAGCGGTGAGCATGGTCTCAAGACAGCTGATGTCAGGGGCCGTCGCACTTGGCCCGGCCGGTAGATTCCGCTCATTAAACGGTACTAAAACCTTCACTCGAGCGGCCGTAGCTGCGACCATGAAGCACGCAATGCTGATCACCAAGGACTTCAAAAACTCAAGGACCTGTTCATGTCAAAGCCACGGTCTTTCACGAGCACCTCCTTGTCGCTGCATGTCGCTGAAAGAATCCGCAACCTTGGCACCGGCTTGGAATCCACAAGCGCCCGCCATTGCACGCTTAGTGCACACGGACTTTTGCACCCGAAATCCGGGGAGGACAGAAGCAGCCCATGCTGCCGGGGTGTTTCTGGGGTCTTCATGCACGTTGCGCGCATCGCAGCGCTTCGGGTGGCTCGCCGGCTGCTGCCAAACAGAGCCATCTGTACTGCCGATGTCAGATGACGAAGCTGGCAGTGACATGTCAATCTGTCTCCAAATCATATCTTTAACACCGGCAGAACTGCAGCCGGAATGTTTGACAAACATTCACGGGTGCTGTGGCTGTACAATATGCTTCGGCAGCCAGGTTGCATTCTTATGCACCTGCACCGACAACCAAAACCACAATAATGTGAGCTCTGACTGAGCTTGCAGAAATCCGGCACAGAAAATCACCACCCTCATGTGAACTGATAGCAGAGGCCAGCTTTCAGATATCTGAGCTGCATCAGCACTTTGGCTGCTTTGGCCCGCCGCTCTGTACTTGACATGGAATTTCTTTACTATCTGCTGGCAGGTCTCAGTACGTGGGATGCAACAACGAGTTGTGTTGATCCGCGCCCACTGGAAGATCGAGAACCCTGCTCGGCTGTTGACTGGCAGTCGTTGGGCCAATCAGACTTGAGACGGCTCATCTTCGCTGTTGGACATCGATATGCTCGAAGTCCGCGAAGCACTGTCTGAGCCTGATGTTTCACAACATATCACAATTCCCTTCCCTTCTGAAACTGGCAGTCACGTCTCGGACGTTCTAAGTTCCAAGTCTCAAACCGAAGCATGGCCGAGAAGTGAACTCCCCTTCGGCTTTTTGCCGGCGCACCTGTGTCTGCACCTCTGCCGTCCGAGCCGTTGACAGACCTTGGCGAGCCCGGACTCCCAAATAAATGCAAGCAGGCACAGCCGCGAGACTCTCAGCTACCAGTAGCACAGGATCTCTGAGAAACGCTGCGAGACTCGACTCCAATGTGCGCTGGCCCAGTGGCGACAAGTCGAAAGCATCGTGGGCGTCCGTGTGGACATAGCCATCAAGCTCGTGATGAGCTCGGGGGGTGCCTACAGTGAAGTGACGTGATCATCTAGCGCATCGTGGACAAATACATGTGACCACGTAAGCATCCTTCAGCGAATCGCGCCTGGGTAGCAATAATCGTCAAGAGCTCGTGTCGCTTCAGTCTGGTGCCACCTGGGCGTTACTCCACGACACGACGTTGAAGCAATGCAGCCCGAAGCCAATTGTGACATGGTGTCTTTGGCGAAAAACTCCTTCCTTCTTCTCCTCTTTGCCTTCCTCGTTTCGTTTCCTGCTGTCTGTTAGGCCTTTAAGCTGCCATGCAGGGGCAGATTCTGCAATGCGAAGGGTCTGATTCTGGGCAACTCAACAGCAGGCCCCCCGCACACCCCTCCCCCCCCCCCGCACTCCAACCAAAGGCTTCCCGGACACAGCATGGCTGCTCAACGATGCCAATTCTGCGGGAACGCTGCGATCTCATGTGATGGCTGAATTCTTGGCTCAGAATCTTGGGGCCAAGGCTTAAGCTTACGTTCCCACATGCTCACACCGCTCCAACAAGCAGCAAGGTTGTAGAGGCAAAGCCCCGACCCTGTGTCCACTTCGTTGCCACAGGGTTGGCAAGTAATAACATCGACGGAATGTCCTGTGGTGGTCTAGTGACCCAGTTTGTCGTGAGCTACTTGAATATCCCATTGGCAGGCTTCTTGTCTTTAAACCCTGGCCTCATGGAACGTTCCATTGCGACATGGGCCCGTTGGGCTGCCAGCTGCTCATGGAAGCTTCCATCTCTTCCTGCCAGCGAGCCGGTGACGACAGCACGTCTGTTCATTTTCGGCAACTAAGACAGCAAAAGACCATCACTGTAGGGTCCTATAAGGGCTACAAATAAAAAGGGATCTATAATTCTATAATATAGGGATTAGAGTAGCTCCGTCAGCTAGGCTTTCTCTCTAACTCAGCAAAGACACTGATGGAATTCACCGGTGGCCCTGGCTCGCCCGAACCATCGCCTCAAGGTCGTCTGCTTTTACAGTTTCAAGGCTCTGACTGTCACTTATTTGCTGGGTACCCTAGCCCAAAAAAGTTGACCGTTCAAATTATGGCAGGATTCAATAAACCCCAAAAGGTTAAATAAAGGATACCTACTCAGCTACTAAGGTAGTAGGACTTCATGAGGAAGAGTCGAGATGCCTGCGGTTCCATTAGCATTCACATCCGAAGAAAAGCAACAGCCGAGGTAGTTCCCAACTGATTACGATCCCCTGTTCCAACACTTTTCAGCTACCAGACCAGTCAGCACGTGCAACGGCACCATGCAAACAGTGCAGTCCGACTGGCCTGCCATGCAAGGGACGTTTCCTGGATGATGCACTTCCTGGATCAGATCGATAGTGCCACTTCCCGGCTGCCATCCTTGGCTTCGAAACACCATAAGGACAACGGACAAACTCTTCTGTCTCGTGACCGTGTGGCAGTGATGCGCCAAGGCTCTGAAGATCTTGACTTCCTTCAAGCAAAACAAGCACGACGCGTAAACACTCATAAACTCCACAGTGATCGCATCAGCTGCTGCCGAGCATCAGCGTCGTGTAGCGCTCTCAAAATCTCGGAAAGGATCTCGGCAGTTCCTTGCTGGGCATGGGCATGTGACAATCCTACTTTGAATTTTCCCGGCGTCTGCAGCCCCGTCACGGCCGTCCAGCTTATGTTGGTCTGTTGGATCAAGCTGATCAGCAAGTGCCTTGGGTCGAGGCGGCTAGATGGCATGAAAGGGTCCACCGGACACACCGAGCACTGTCTATCGCAACCAAAGCGCCAACTGCAAACGCATGTCTTTCAGGTAAAGCTCGTTGACGATATGCTGTGTTCCCACATGGTGGAATGGATGAAAAGAACGGAAGTCGACAATCTTGCAGTCCACCTGCTGCAGAATTGCCGCAAGCGGGCACATTTGACCTTGTGCGCTCAACCACCTGGCCTCACCCAGCACTGATAGCAAGGCACCTGCAGAGGCAAACGCTGACTGCAACACCTGCACATGCCGCCCCGGTGTCTCGTGTCACTGCCTTGCTGGCCCCACTGGGCACAGGAGCGCGTCTGCAAGCAATAGTAGACCTCAACGCAACAGAACTTTTCTGGTTTGGCTGACTGACTTGGGCTCGAACAGTTGGGAGCCAAGTTGCATTATGAACCATCCCTGCTTCGCACGCATCAGTCTCATGCCTCGGAAATACAGTGCTGAGCGGGAAACCTAGAGCGTGTGAATAGCAGCTGACATCAGCGGCATTAGCTCGGGCTGGCTGGACCGGCTCAGTATTCGTGTTCACGCATACTGACATTACTCACATGCAGCAAAAAATCAGGAATTGCAGTCAGGTCGCTTTGCAAGCTCAATGCATGCGTTGGCTTCCCTGGCACTCCGTGTCAGAACACAGCGCAGCGCCGTAGGACAAATGATGATGGATATCAACACCTCGGAATCGGAAGCATCAGTCTGTCCAAGTCTGCTGAATCGTCCAAGCAGCCGCCAGGACCAAGGAGCTGTAATTCCTTCCTCGGCTATATTGCCCAAACTCGAAACCTGGCATCCCCTACGCCCCCACATCTTTCTCTCTACATCTGCTACGCCTCACTTTGAAGATCTTTGCGGCCTAGCCTCCCTCCAGCAGGTTTCCTCGAACAGCTCGCAGCGCAAGGATGAAGGAAAACTCACCCCAGCTTCCCCAGGCAAAGCTCAGAGTGAGGAACTCGTTCTTGGTCAGCGGCAGTGCAAACATGCCCATGGCAAGCTTGCCCAGGATGCACCTAAGCAACGGCCCAGGCCCACCCACACTGCAGAGAGACGGGCTACAATCGGAATTCCACGGCCCTACATGGTCCGGGCGGTGTAGGCTGTGCCCAGAAATGTCCGGGAACTGCGGAGAGCAACTTTGTGGAAGGTGACAGCTTTGACATGCTCCTTGCATGCAACTCCGCTTTGGCGTCTGATTTGTGGTAAACAACTCGTTTCTGTGCGGCTCGATGAAGCAAGCAAGGGGTCGTTTCGGCATGTTTCGGCCCCATACATCGCAAGACAGGGGCGTGTGCTGCAGGCACACATCCCCAGACTAGGCTAAAGCTACAGAAACCTCGAATACATTGAACTCACGTTCCGAGAACATGATTTTGGACAAGCCGCCCGAAAAGTGTAAGCGCTGTCCCCCAAACTTCTCTGTCACCGAAGTCTTCAACAGGGATCGTAAAGCCGATGCTGCAGGCGAAGAAGAAACGCATCAGAAACGTAGCAATTCGCTTGACCTGGCGGTTCCAGGTGTGGTGCACGTGCTCGTCCTGGGCTGTACTGTAAGAGCATCTGATGCCGCGGACTGTTTTCCAAAGCCTGTTTGGGCTGCCAAGGTGTGCCAAGTCACTGTGCAAAAGCAGAATCCGGCTAAGAAGGCGCCAAGGAGCGCCGAGGAGCCGGAGTACTTGCACCTGCAAGTACGAACCAGACCCACACCCTGTCACACAGCGTTGTGCGCTTCTCACACTGCTACGCAGCCAAGTGGCAAGGGCATGTACACGGCAGTAGCCACCTTGAACTGGAAGCTGGAAGAACTCTTCTACATCATTTTCAACGGCTCTTTCGCCAGGTCTGAGTCGCACGCCAAAAGCATGCCCAAAACCAAATTCTCACGATTGCCTTTGGCAATTCGCGGCAAAATCACCTGCAAAGGTCTTTATCAAGTCTGCGGCAGAATGTGCTGCATTGGCTACATTTACCTCTACGCCTACGCTCGCTCAAACTACAAACCCTTACGCGTTAAGCCCGTGGATCATTGGGAAAGGCTGTTCTTCAAGCATGTGGCGCCCGGCCTTGTCTAGCAAGCAAGGCACGAGTTTCACGGCAACAAGGCTCATGAAACCCACCAGCAGAAGCATGATCCTGAATGTCGGCGGATGAAGACAAAGGGACAGAAGTAGTCACAAGAGTGTCACAAAACATAAGGCTTTGGTCACCATCTCCTAGAAGGTTTGCATGCCCTCTTGGCTCTACAAGTGTTCTTTCTTCATACCACCGGTCTCCGACATCATCCTTTTTTAACTCTGGATCCACAACGGAAGCACGGAACTTCCGTTTCCATGAATCTGGGGGGACGAAGATAAAGGCTCTGACGTTCTCTCTTACACGTTTTTGCCGAAGCTTGCTTAGGTAACTTGAACCGTGCCCTACTTCTGGTCGTCAGAACTGTCGAGAACGCTATCCCCAAGCCATCCGATGCGAGGTTGTAAGCTGTGCACCCCTGGGTCTTCATCTCTTTCACACCTCGTTGCTGCCCGTTGCACAGGAAACGGCAATGAACCAAGAGATGATGTGCCAAGGTGCACCAGCGGCAGGACCTCGCAAAGCAGGTGGACAGATCTTGCTTCTTGGAGTGCCAACACGTTGTGAAATCACATGCGGGTGATGTATGCGGCCAGAGTGGACGCAAAACATCTTTCGACGACGAAGGATCCTCTAGACCCGTTCGAACTCCAAGGGGCATAGCTCTGCCAGGGCCCACCGGCCACAATTGCATCGATTTCTGTGATCAAACCAATACATACCAACTCCTCAGCAGAAACTACAGCATGCGAAAGTTTGTCATAAATGCTCCTCGAAAGAAAGCCACCTGCCCGGATCCTACCACTTTCGCACAATGCACTGTATGATCAGCTCGCTCGCCGGGAGCTTTGTTACATCTTCAGGCGTCAGAAGTCAGAAGGTGATGCTCACCCTGATACGGGAAATGTGGCAGTGGGTGATAGCGATGAAAACTCTGCTTCTTTATACTGCCCTCCGAAAGCCTTTCATGCTGATGAGCTCTGGACATTACACCGGTAGATGTGGAAAGTTTGCCTGTTTGGTTTCTTCCACCGGCTGAAAAACCATTGGGCAATCCCTGCTTCAGAGCAACTAAGGTGCAAGTTGCATCTCGGCCTTGACCGGTTGTCCTAGCTCGTCGATGCCGAGCATCGTTCACTGTCGCGGCAGCCAGCACCAGCTGCCCAGTTGGCTGGTTGAGCATGCCACCAGCCTTCATGACATTCAGGGCTATCCCGGTCGACCTGGATTCTCATTTTTCACTGTAGCTGTGGTCGGGGGACGCTGCATGTATGCGCATGCTGTAGCTCGGCTCTCTCAAGCAAGCAGCATGGTAGCCATGGCCGCTCCGATTGCAAACGCTGCCATCGGGTCAAGTCCCAGGGCGAATGACGCCTCAAGTGTGCGAGACGGGATCCTGGTAAGAGTGCTGTGATTTGTGCGCACACACAGCACATTTTGGGGAGATCCCAGTTTCTGAGACACCCAGGTAAACTCTCGGAAGCAGAGGTAAGGACCCAGCCACAAGCATGCCTGTCAAGTTCTTCAGACATCAGTTTGTCACAAAAGCTGCGCAGGAGCAACTTAGTCGCGCCTAGGCCCATTGGCAGGAACGAGCCGATGAGACCCACAGCAAGGGCTCGCAAGCCGACAATCTGTATCATCTCCTTCCGTGTTCAACTGTTACCGTGCATGTGGCTGCGGACGTTGGGTAGCATCTTTGCTCGTGCAGATTTAAATTTACATGCACCGCGTCAATACTGTTGAGGATGCTCCCAACGATGCCATGTATTTTCTCTACTCAATCTGGCTTTGTCAATGTTGGCCTTATGGAAACTCTGCACTGCCATGGCAGCCCCTTGCAGCCTAGTCTCCATATCGACATGAAGCCCAGCTTCGATCATCAGGAGTACCTTGAGCGGGAAGGCAACAAAACCCTGCGACAGCCACGAGCTCCGAGAACTTGTCGAGTTGACTAGGTCTTGTGGCCAACCATTGCATGGGCCACTATCAGCACCAGCTCAAGCTGATATATTCATGTAAGGATAGGATCAGTTGATGTTTCATCCCAACTTGCACTCTGCCGCGTGGTGTTCTTCCCATGTCGGTGCCCGGAACATTCAAAACGCGCAGACCCATGTTTTCTTGAAGCTTCTCAAAGATGCGCTAGCGTGGAATACGCCGTAGGTTCACAACATACCAATAACATACAATTCCGTGAGAGTGGATGCATGCATGCATGCGCATGTATGTAATGTACATATTACAGACATGCGCATGTATGTAATGTATATATTGTATATCTTTCTGTGTCAAAAGCTACCGTCAGGGGACAGACGCGGGAGGGAGAGAGGGAGGAGAAGTGAGAGAGAGAGAGAGAGAGAGAGAGAGAGAGAATGAGAGAGAGAGAGAGAGAGAGAGAGAGAGAGAGACAGAGACAGAGACAGAGACGGAGACGGAGACGGAGACGGAGACGGAGAGAGAGAGAGAGAGAGAGACAGAGACAGAGACAGAGACAGAGAGAGAGAGAGAGAGAGCGAGGGAGGGAGGGAGGGAGGGGGGGAGGGAGGAGGGAGGGAGTGAGGGAGGGAGGGAGGGAGAGAGAGAGAGAGGGAGACACGGAAAAGGAGAGCTTTAAGCACCGAGGCACCAGCGCAAGCTCTCCCTCCAGCATCAGCGCTTCCGACTCCGGAACCAGATTTCCGAAGTGGGGTCCCGCAAGGATGCCGATGGTGATTTCCCCCACCAGCGCTGGCATGCCTGACGGTGCGAAGCCCAACAGCGTTTACGTAGCATCTGCCTTTCGGCATGCCTTGATTTTTCGGGGAGTTCTCAGGCTTTGGGTTCCTTCGCCAGCTTCGCTGTCTGCCAGCTTTGTGGGTCGGAACCTTTCAGTCGAGGTCCTTCGTTCAGTTTGACCTGTCACGACCATGGCAAACATTCGAGACTAAGGCTTCCCATCGGCCTGCTTAGAGTTTGCACAACAGTCTTTGTTCCGATGTCCGCTTCAACCGTCAATCTGCACGAAAAGCTGAAGCGAATCCGGAGTCGTACTTCCGTCGCTCATTAGGTTCGAGAGCAGGGACATGATTGACTGCTTAGTTCGGCATTGGCGCAGTGTTGTGCACGCCAGCTGCGGGGTGCATTGCACGGCAATTGGAAATGATGGACACTCTGGCAACCGGATGTCTGCAGCAAGTCAAAGCTACCGAAGGCCTGCCCGCGCGAACAGCTTTCCAGCGATCCAGAGCGCAGCAATGAAGAGCAAGAAACTGTAAAGCCGCCTCGGGCTTGCATTTTACTCAATTGCACATAGCCTGCGGGCACAGTTCCGGAGCAGTGAAGGCATACTGACGAGATGATTGGGCAAGCCGCTGGAAATCCTCTTGCTCATCATACTCATGGTCTACGACTTCTCCCAGCTGTGGAAGCTGCATCTCCATGGCTCCACACAACTGTCATCCGCCAGGCGGTCCGGCGCCCTTCCCGTCACCCGAATCTGCTATGAGCCCGTGGCTGCATGTTGGATGATACTGGCTTGGTTGTGCATGCAGACAAGTGTCTCTGACCAACACATGGGCAAGATGCGGCAGACTCAAACGGACCCTCCGGTAGAGCATGGTAGGGAGGAACATCGGAGACTTTTCGTTGGAACCCTCCGAAAACGGATATGCAGCTCTCGGTAGGGAAGATTGGAGATGGACAGAATCCCCACATTCACGAAGAGCTTGCTAAAGGCATCCAAGCTTCAGACGCTCACATCTCATGTTTGCTTGTACGGATGCTCTGGCAACAGCAACATTACAAAACTGTGTCAACAACTTGAAGGCAATTATCTGATCTGATCTTGCCGGCTGACGCGCGACGAATCCACAAAACTCATGCGCTCGGAGAGTACTACTCTGTCTTGAGCCACCTGCACATGATGGAGCGTGAGGCACACGAGGTTAACCAAGGCAAGCCACCTAGCTCTTGCGTAGCTTGTAGTGCGACCTGTTCTTGTGAGAAATCCAGCTACCACACCGAGGTGTCTTCATGACAGTACAGCTCTTGACTGTTCTCACCGACCAATGTGCTTCAAGGCATTCCATCTGGGGACGTTTGCGGCTTGTCTTCAAAAGCACGGCAAAGTCCTTTGTGGCAACAGGGGGACGTGCACCATCGGGATTCTGCTGAACCATAATCGAAATCCTGCGATTGTCAGTGATAAGCTCACATAAACCCGAGTACACAGCATTGAAATTGCCAAACGTTTGCGATCGGATTTCAACAAAGAGAGATCGACCGGTATATTCGGTACGCTGAAAGTTGTCGGTCATCTGTAAGGCAGAGGAGACATCCAATGCTTTTTGGCGACCCAGGGGAAACGACCCCAATAAGGTACTTCTAATTTCGGCCCGTGTATATCCAGGGCCGCTTTCTTGAGCGGTTGCGATTTGGGGATGTCACGTTCACATATAGTCTGAAGCAAAACCAATGGCCTTCGGAGATTCCTCACTAGTACCAATTATCTGGACCATCCACCTCCAATATGGTTACCTGTCCAAACACTTCACGAATCTCACATTTGCTCCACACTGCGAGCTCGTCCAGGTGAGAAATTGCCCACGCACCGGTCGAGCAGATCATGTTTTGACTGATTGTCCCAACAGATTAGATATTGTTTCACCATGTTTCACCAAGTCCCACCAATCCACCATTTTTGATTGAAACCTGTTTAATGCCGGGCGGAGGACGCCTTCGCAGTAGCCCAGAAAGGCCACCAATTCTACGCTGGGAACACAGGGGATTGCATGGATTCTAAGCCGTACTTCGCCACCCTGAGCGAGCGTACTCCGTTCCTAGAAGACAAGAGTTACTTGTTGGCGCTTTACAGCCAGGCGAAATCAGGAGAAAGCACGAGCTACTCAAGAGACTAAGCATGCATTGCCGACAGCACAACATGCCACGTTCCTGCACAGCAAGGAAACGTACTGTACATGTTTTGTGCACACACCGCACGAGACATGGAAACGGTGGTTGACCCGATCAAAGTTAAAAACCACTTAGACTACGCACAGGTGGACAAGACAGGCAAAACATCCGGTTTGCAACCATGCTCAGCAAATCAACATATAACTGAAGGTTTGGTTATCGTCAGCTTGAAAACGCTTGAAGTGTTCAATCTGCTGGATCTATGTAAACATCTCAGAATTGACCAAACTCATCAAAACCGCCGGAGCAGCCCTGTGTCCTTCATAAAGATCATGAAGCCGTTTTAACTTACAACCCCATCGTTATCCTCATGCAACACAATCGGACGCAAATCCCGGGGCAACAATCCCAGGAAACAGATGGGCATTGCAACCACATCAAAGCAATCTTTCACAAATTGTGAGCTTGGCGGCTTGGCGTGTATGGCAAAAGTTGTTTGCTTCGATCTCGAAAGGGATTGTGCTGTCGCACCACTCTTTCCCACGATTTCTACATGAGACAGGCCACGACGGGCCAAGGTCCTTGTCAGCCAGATCCAAAATGTCCTGGCGTGGGGAGGGGGTGGGGGGGAAGAGTTTGAGACCTAACACTGAGACTGTAGGTTCCCCCAGTTCTCCCAAATCTTCGCAGTGGAAGCAGTATTGGCGTCTCAAACAGCCATGAGCTGAGGTTTCAACATGCAAGCATGACGGCAGCGACCCCATCCCGGCAGCTTTTCCCCAGGTCCGGACATGGTTTAGCAGGACTGGGCAGCCTTGTGGCGTGAATCCATCAGACACGCGGTCCACAAACTCTCTTTGGGACCATGCAGATGTCAAGTCTACTCGAAAGCGATGCAACGCATCCGCGCAGGGCCAGCAAGCGCAGCAAGGGCACACAGTGTCCAAGGTCAGGCTGACACTGGCCTTCAACGTGCCCCACTCTACATGATGGGCTTCTCCAAACTCTGGGTAAGGATAGACATGGAGGTGTGCTGCACAGAAATCTCGCAAGGGAACCCCGAAACATGTTCAAGACTGTGGCTTAAAGGAGAAATCAAAATCATGCAAGGGCCAACTACTTTGCCTGTGCGCTCACGAACTTGGCAAACGTCTTGTAGGGTCCTTTCTGAACACTCCTTTGGGCCATGCTCAAGAGCGTAGAGCCGGAGCTTGTCTTGGCACTGATATCGGCACCACTTGCCAGGAGCAGCTTTGCGATCTCCACAGCCTCGCGCTGCTCGTTCGGCGAACCATCCCAATAGCGATAGTATAGTGCGTGCAAGGGCGTATGGCCGTTCTTGCTTCTGGCGTCGATTGGTGCTCCCACTTTCAAGAGGAACTTCACCATCTTCGCGCAAAGGTTTTGGGTCGCGTAGTGCAATGGGGTGAAGCCCGCTTCATCTTCGGCGTCTGCCTTCGCCCCTTTCGCCAGGAGAAGCTCTGCAATGGGCACACTGAAACTCTGGCTGGCAGCATCATGCAATGGCGTTCTGCCATCATGAGCCGTAGCATTGACCTGCGCTCCATTGGCCAAGAGAAACTTGACCATGCTTATGCTTGGGTCGTAGTGCCTAACAGCAACATGCAATGGTGTTCTGCCATCATGATCCGTGGCATTGACCTGCGCTCCATTGGCCAAGAGAAACTTGACCATGCTTAGTTGACTTGAGTGTGAGCAGCCGCCAGCATCAACAGCACGATGCAACGGCATCTCGCCATAAAGGTCATCAGCCTCATTGATCTGCGCACCTTTTGCCAAAGCCAGCTTTGCGATCTTGACGTTGCAAATCCCAGCGGCGTTGCGCAAAGCTATGTTGGCATACTTCGGCGCCTTGTCCAGGAGAAGCGCGGCCGTCTCCTCGCCATGGCCGTGTTCAATGTTTGAAACGGCCGCAGCGACAATATTCGGATTATCCACACTCGCCCCGTTTGCAAGGAGCAACTTCGCAAGCGCCCATTGGTAATACGATGTTGCCACCCTGAGGGCGGATTGTCCATTGCCATCTTTGGTGTCAGGATTTGCGCCGTGTTGTAGCTGTTGCTTGGCCATGTCCACATCGTAACTCCAAACAGCGCCCATCAGTTTGCCTGATGCGGCTGAGCTCCACTTCTCGGTGCTCGCATCCGCAGCTGCTGGAAGGATGCCGCTGGCACGAGATTTCAACACGATGCCGGTCGTGGCGAAGGCCACGAAGCATGCGAGCATGATCGCGAGGAATCGGATCCCTTGAAAGAAAGACTGATGTGCACTCTGCTGCGCAACAGACATGTTGTTCTCTTCGAGGAAGGCCTCCCTCTCAAGGTCTGCCATGCGCGCCATCCGAAGTCACCAGGCGTGAGGTGCCAGCAGAATTGGGTGAAACGGTTCAAGCCAAAACGACTACACGGCCTGGCAACATGCCTGCGGAAGTGCAGGGATCTGCTCTCATCCCAAGGCCCCCCGAGGATGACAACGCCAACACTGAGCTCTGATGGCAGCAAGGAGGCCTCGGCTCCGCAGCTGAAGTGGACGATGTTGTCGGTGCTACCCACCTGAAGGAGTCAAGAGCAGCGGCCAGCCAGCTCCCTTCAGTTTCGCAGCTCGCCCGAACGAGCTCGGCTGCAGCCGTCGAGCAATCCCCGGAGAAAGCAACAGGCACCACACGGTCATTACGCCACCTAGCGCAATCTCAGCGCACCGTCGAGCTGCTGTGAGTAAGAACGCAATGGCTTGGCAGAACATCATCAAGCAAGTGTACGAGGATCCACACACAGGATTTGGAAGTACCTTAAGAACCCAAAACCCACTTTTTGTAGGTTCTTATTATAAACCCTAATATGGGATTTATAGGGACCCTACAAAAAAGTAGCTTTGGGGTTCTTAAGGTATAGCTAGCGCCCTAAGCTACGTTTGGCTAGAGCTCGGATGGAACTCAAGGATCGGGAAGATAGACCGCAAAGGGGCTACAGTTCCTACCGCTACATGCGATTGCAGTGGACTCTTTCACGAGGAAGGCTGCAACGATACCGCTTGCACGGAAAACAGCTCCAGCGACAGCAGTCCCAAAATCTGAAGCCTCCCGACCCTACAGCCGAAAAAAAAAGCGTAACAAACCCTGAACCCCACGACCGCGAAGCCGCTGAAACCCCCCAAAAGGCCTCTAAACCCTGAAACCCCAAACCCCTCAGAACAAACAAAAGTCCCAAAAGTCCCTAGAAACCACAAACCCTAATCTCTAAACCCGGACCTGCATTGCGACAGCCATCCTCCGGCGCGCGGCTTCAAAGGCCCCAAACGCGCGCTCCACATGCCGAGCTCGGGATTCAAAAGGCCGAGGCTTTGGACTTAGGGACTTAGGGGTTTGGGGGTGGTTTCGGGGTTTAGGGGTTAGGGTTTAGGGACTTAGGGGTTTGGGGGGTTAGGGCTTGTAGGCTTGACGGGTTTTGGTTTTAGGACTTCGAGGTTTAAAGGGTTCAGGCGGTTTAGGGCCCGGGGGGCTGTTTGGAACAGCACACGGGTCCGTTTTGGAGTTCCGGGCTTTTCTCCAAAGGGGCAAAAGAGGAACTTGGCCTTTCGGGTTAAGGGAGGTGCCCCCTCAGCTTCCTTCTACATTAAAATGTAAAATGTAGTGGGCTTAATAATTAGAATAGGGTGTTTTGAGGTTCCTTATTATAAATAGAGTATAATATACCCCAAACCCAATTCTTTTACCTAAGGCCACTACATTACTCTGGTTACTTGCTGTTATCTCGGAAATCAAGCTGACTGCTTTAAAGAAGAAGGCGCAAGCTGGGGGACCGCCGAGGCACTACCTCAAGAAGAGATATGCTGAAGATTCGTCTTGAAGGACATGCTTGATCTTGAGCTGAACCAGCTACCACACCGAGGCGTCTTCATGACAGGACAGCTTTCGTGATCCTGGAAACCCTGCAGAGCTCAATTTCGAAACCAAAGCCCTACCTAGACCCTTAAATATAATACCTAGTTTGGTTCCCTTAGTTTCTCATTGTAGGATCCTAGCCATAAAACATACAAAAAATGCATCCCAACAAAGGTGCTACATGATGTAAGGACCTACGTACAAAACAAAACCTGTATGAAGCCCTCCACAGGCACTGTGAAACCCGAAAAAGTCCTGCAAAAACCGTATAAACCCAATAGAACCTTGGGTCCCAAATGCGCCAATAACACTTTTGCTCCTGTCGAGGTTGAAACCCAATGAACGGTCTCTCTCGCTCTTCTTCAGCACAGTCGGAGGGGCAACGCGTCAACGCTACCCCTCGCGCGATATCGCGCACTGGGGTGTGTACAGGGATCAACGAAAGACCGAGACTGCTCCTGGACCGGTTCACCGTAACCCCCACCACAACCTTTTTTTCAGCACAGTCGGAGGGGCAACGCGTCCACGCTACCCCTCGCGCGATATCGCGCACTGGGGTGTGTACAGGAACGAGTGAAAAGTCGAGATTCTCCCCGGGCCGACTCACTGGTCCCCCAACCACAACACCCGTAACACTAAACCCCAACCCGCCACACCACAACCTCTCTCTCTCTCTCTCTGAATATCTCGGAAGTGCCGTCATGTGCGCTGAGTTCTGGGTTCCAGGGTTAGCCAGTCACAAACAATCTCGTACAGCCGAACCTCAGCACTTGGTATCCCAAATCATCCGATGGTGCTGTTTTCGCAAGCCGCTTGGGCGGCGGGTCTTTGTCCTCGTCGTCATCCTAGGCAGGTCTCAGCATCCATTGCTGCTCTTCCCGGTTCTGGAGTCCATAGTCTCCAATAAGCCAGGGAAATGAAAGGTTAAACTTTCAGGGGACACAGATGCAGACGCCTCTCACTTCACGCCCATGCTTCGGGCAGGGACGGTCAAGTTGACTGCAGGCCACTGAAAAAGAAGCAGACTCGTCAGCTGAGCGCTTTTTGAACTTTGCAGGTGCTCTTCGCCGTGCAACCGAGACCGACACCGAACACAGCAGATCGACGTCCCTCCACCAGGCTGGCAACGCCCCCAAATTAGTGACGCTGAGCGTGCCCACCTCTCCCGACTGCTCAACATGGCACGAGATGCACCAGCCACAACACACAACCAGGCCCTGACCCAACCGCAGATGCCGCACCCCCGACCCCCCATGCAGCTACCACCAGGAGCCGAGCCCGGGCAGCAAAGCAGCCACACACAACACTGGCACCCAGACGAAAGGAGGGGGACAGCCACGCAGCTACTACCCCACCAGACCGCAACAACAGCAGCCACAACGGACAAGCATTCCTCCCAAGCAACCATCTCTCGGCGGGGGGAGACTCAAAGACACCTCAACCGGGATGGGGGACACCCCAGCACAACCCACTGACTCACAACACGACACAGATCACGTCGAAGAGTGGCCATGGCCCAGCCACCCTACACCGCAACAGCCACCCACCACGCCCGAGACAACCAAGCAACGGCGCGCAGCAGGAGCAAACAACACTACAGCCACCACCTGCGCCACCGCAGAATCCACTCAGCGACGGCAGAACTCCTCGGCGCTCCAGCCAAGAAGCAAGAGCAACAGGAACAGCAACACCCTGCAACACGGAGTACTGCTCCGACGCCTTGGTACCACCAAGTCCGCGACGGCCGACAGATCGAGCCCAGACCCAGCCCTGGACCTTGGCACGAGCCAGACAAACACAAAATGGAGCTCATGCAGCGGGGGATCGCCGGGGAGAACACCCCAGGAACAGGCTCGGCGGACATGTCGCCGATGGAAGTACACTGGAATGACTTCGCAGCAGCAATGTTCCAGTAGCTCCAACTGATCCGAGAGAACGCGGAGCAAAGCATCCACCATCCACGCGGGGGCTGCGCCTTACCTCGAAATGAGGGGGGGAAACATTCTTGGCAGTGCGAGCGGAGGCAGCTGGGGACGGCATGACTGCTGCTCCCTTGGCTTCGGGGGCGGCGACCATACTGAGGGAGGCAGCGACAGAGTTCCGAGCCATTGTCCCGACCTTGGTGGGGGAACAAGTCCCGTTGGCAGTTCACCTCCTGCAGAGCATCGAGGCATGGCAGCAGTTCTTCAGACGACCGAACAAGTCTAAAGGGGGGGGTACCTCTGACGACGGACACGGACCCAAACGACGTCGTCCACCAACGACCTTACCTTGTTTTACCCCTGCTCTATCTTGCATCACCCGCCCACCCATGAGTGCTGTCATTGCTGATGTTGTTAATGCTGCTGCTCCGCATCCTCCTCCTCTCACCACCCACCACTACCACTGCGACTGCTACTACTGCTACTGCGCTGCTCCTGCTGCCACTGCTGCTACTGCTACTGCTGCTACTGCTACTAGTACGAGGATGGCAGCATCATCGCCACAACTGCGAGGATCAGGAACTCCGTGGAATCTCTTGTTCCCAACATGTCTCACAGCCAACTCTCGCAGCACGACAATTGCACTCACGGACTGGCCCACGGCATTTCACACAGAGCAGAACATGTGCTCACAACTCTGGCCATGTGCTTCGGCAGGGACCAGCTTTTTCCACATGCGACACCAGCCGAGCAGTGGTTCTCCACCTGCATTGCCACAGGGGGGCCAGCAGCGCTACAGACCAGCGAGGGCCCGGCATGTCATGGAGTCATGGTAGGTCAAGCATGCGCAGTCGAGTTGAATAGAAAGCCCCCAACTTCCACAGACTGTAAGGCTGTAAGGTCGAATCGCACGTGAACCACGGAAGAACCTGTGGCACCATCGCTGTTTCTTGACATGCCCTCCGGATGAAAATCAGAAGCTGCCGTCCAAGACACTGTACACTTGCCCACACAGCTTCAGGCGGCTGCACGCCAGGTATGCAGCTTGATTTCCGCGTTGGGCATTGGGCTTTGGCTTCTACCGGTACTATTCATAAGCCGCCTGGTGGCTCACCCACAAGGTGAGCCGAGCTTCTTGGCAGCAAGTCGTGAGGGTGTAAGCCTCAAAGCTTAAGCTCGAAGTGAAACAAATCTTCAGACTCAGACTGGGCGGCACAGACTACACAGACACTAGCACATGGCGGCATTCCACCCAAGCAACACCATGCTCAACATTTCCGTCATCCAGGTATTGCATGTCAACTTTCAGAATATCGTCTTGCGTCACCTTCAGGACTTTGGCAGGAAACCAAAAACTGTCGATCCTCCTCTCTATACGCATGCCTGGGTTGATGCCCGCAATGCCGACGCCCTCTACTGGCGATTTGGGCTCCGGTTCCGGGAGCTCCCCGGGCGCTTCACCGGCACAGTTCGGGAGAAGATAAACCGTGGATGTGCTTGCAATACCGTAGAAGTCGAGAGTTTCTTCATCACGAAGTTCAACGCCGCCATGGAGTAATCGCATCAGTGCAGGTAGAAACTCAAGCTTCGGCTGCAGTGCCAGCTTGAGCTTGAGCACCGTGTCGAAACTTTGCGCTGGAACTATCAGCTCACCACCTGCCAAGTTGACAACCCTCAAGCCAGGCTCTCTGTGATTCTCGCTGATCCGGCCACTGGCTGTAGCTTGAAGCAACTCAATCACATACAGAACAGGGCTGCCCCTGACCGTGGGGCCCACTCCCAGGGACTTCAGAGTCCTATCGTCTGGAAGGGCGAGGCCCTGGAAAATGAGCTTTACACCCTCGAGCTCCATCTTCCGCGGCGCGCAGAGTCGAGCTTTCAGATCTCGGACCAATTCGGAATCTCTGGCCGTTATGCTGTCGCCGCCTCCAGCAAGGAAGGACACCTCGATCGTGAATGCTGCCAACTCATCTTGCATCAGGAGCCTGTTGAAGGCTTTGGCCCGCTTGAGCCTCTTTGTTGCGGAATGCACTGGCAACATCATGGCTCCGAATGAGTACGCTCATTTAACTGACAAGGCACAGCCTGCGAGCTCGCGCAGACTGCGCCGCTTACTCTTGCTCATCATCAGCCTGGGCCCTTAGCAGAGCACTTTTTCAAAGGTTCTTGGGCCTTTAGTGCTGCAGAGTGATCAGCTGAGCCCTCCGCTCCGCAAAAGTGACCATGCTCTTCCGCGTCTTTCTTGCCGCGCCTTGGCACGAGAAGCTCGTGCCAAGCCAGACGACACTTCCATTTTTCTGAGCACAATGCCCAAACCTTTCGGTGCTGTCCTTAGAACTCGGTAAACTCGGTGAGCATCACTCTTTCGCTCGGTTGCCGAGCGCGGAGCGCCGGCGAGGCTTCACTTGCACGGGCTCCGCTGCCTGCGAGCAGGCATGCTTCGGCATGCTTCAGCTTCCGTGTGCACAGCTTCGGGTGAAATTGAAGGACCGCCTGAGGCTTCAGGTGAACGCTGAGGGGGAGAGTCCCTTGGTTGCAGGATGCAGGTCATGTTCGAGCAGCCCCAACTCCTGGAATCCTTCATGACATCTCACGGAAGCCGCAGGAAAGCGAGGGCAACCTCTCAGCTGAAGGCAATCTTTGGTCGTCCCTGCCCTCGGTCAAGGCCTGCCAGTCGTACTTCGCATCTAGACTACCAAAATCCACCAAACATGCAAGGCACTGAAGACTGCAACCAACGCGAGTGGCTTTTGGGTCGCTTCTGCCGCCGTTCTTCCCAGAGGTCCCGTTCACATGTCCATCTCTGGCCCTCGTCCGACGACTCCCACCACTCCAGCCAGCGCATCTGAAGTGGTGTCAGCCTCCGACGTTGCAGGATGCTTGGGGAATCGGGCTCAAAATGTCTTCAAACACAGAAGGCCTTACAGGGATTATTTCACTCGTGGATTGCTTTGACAGCATCAAGTCCGCCGCCCCGTCGAATCGGTACAGTAGATGCTGCTGGGCGTCTGGGGCTCAGATTGAACGATCTGTGGAGAAGCACATCCGGTCGGTGCAGCATCCGACTGCAGTCTCGCCGGCATCCCAGGCCAAGATGCAGGGTCCAATTCTAGGCTCGGCCAAACTTTCTTTACAACTGCAGCCATGTCCTCCGGAAGTGGTGCTCGAAGACGCAAGGTGCCACGTTCCAGTGTTGGGTGATCTAGATCAAGCGCCCACGCATGCAGCAACTGGCGCCCCTTGGGCAATGATAACTCCAACGATTGCTGAAAGTGCTTGTTCTTGCTTGCTGGTGCGTAGAGGCTGTCGTTTGCAACGGGTGCGTCCAGATGGGAGCAGTGGACCCGTATCTGATGAGTTCGACCTGTGAAAAGTTCAGCAGTTACGAGACTCAGCGAGTGCTTCTTGCTGAAGGCATGCACGCGGATGACCGTCTTTGCTTGCTTGCCATCTGGAACAACTGCCCAGAGCCGTCCGTTCTTCGGATGTCGGCCGATGCTCTGCATCACTGTTATATCAGTCCTTCGTAGAGCCCCACCTGGATGGCCCAGCAGCAGAGACACATAGACCTTCTTCCCCAGTGGTGCATGGTACATGAAGTCGGCAGCTCTAAACTGTTGTGCCAGATGAGACTCTGATGTAATACTTTTCGCCATGATCATCACACCTGTCGTGCCAGCATCCAGACGATGCACGATGCAGCGAGGGATGAAGCTGTCCCACTCATTATGGTTGCCCCTCTCTTCCAACATTTCCGCTGGCATTCTGTCCGCAACAGCATGCGCTATGGTGCCTTTTTCCCAAAAGCCCGGTGAGGGGTGGGCTAGTACACCAAACGGCTTCGCGACTGCAAGCACCTGATCGTCCTCATGAAGAATTTTCAGATGGATGCTACGATCGATCTTCAAGACGAGCTTCATAGGTGGCATGATCTCGCCATCGGGGGAACATGCGGCAAGCTACGCAGCTAACTGTAGCCGACCCACATCAAGAGGCGACAGGAAGAGATATTCACAGTGCATGAAAGCGAGAGGTGTTGATCTCAAAACCGGCTCTCCGGCGCCTCTTGGCTTTCTTGCAGCTCCGCAGCCTGGCCAGCAAGATATCCCCCAAAGATGTCTTTTCGGCAAAAGTTCAACCCAAGGCCCCCGACAAATCGTGGGTGTGCCATGGCCTCAGTAACCAGCTACTGCCCAGCATTCGACCTGTGCTTGGTCAAGGTCAAAAGCCCCGCACCAAAGCTCCGCCGAGCGATTTTCGGGCAAACCTTTGCGAGCGGGCGCTGCCTCTGAAAGCTGCCGTGCGAGTTCTCTGATTTTGCACAGATGCCGCGCCGGTCTGGGAACAGCGACTGCGCCAGCTCCAAAAACGTGGAGGTCTTCTCCTTTGAACCAAAATCAAAGAACAAACTCTCTAAGCATGAGTTTGGATATTCTAGTATCAGTACTCGTATCAAATGCTCCAGCCATCCTGACTGAGGTACACACGTTGTTCCACTCCGGAGCGCTGTAGAACAATCCCAGCTTGGGATTGGGCTCCAAGAGATGTTCCTTCCAGCCACGGTAGGCCGTTGAGCAAGTGTTTTGCTAATTTCCTGCACGCTTCTGTTCATTGTGATGGTTTCTAGTGCCAGCCAGATTCCCTACGTACAGTCCCTGGCAGGGTTTTCAAACGTGTTTCAGGCTCTGTGGATACATGCCCTGTGCACTGCACCCGAAGCGCGCAGTCCGACGTCGCTATAGAGGCTGCTGAAACGCCCTCCATCTGAAATCGCACTGCAACCGCTTCTTGCGGGCGCACGCCTGCTAGCAGCGCAAAGAAAAGCACCAGCAGCACAAGCAATCCTTGCCGATCTGGTAGAAGATGCATGGGGGATGATGATTGTGAAGGTACCTCTGGTCTCGACTCGGAGCCCGCTCTCCATGTGCAATGCGCCGAAGGATATACCATCTGCAAACGCAATCGCAGGCAGCAGTGCCCGAGCGGCCTCGACCGCAAACAGTGAACAGGATTCATGTTGAAGAAATTCCCGGGGAAGATCTTTGCCACCTGCTCAAAATCAAACAAACGCTTGCTCCGGCTGTGCAGATGCGAGCCTCGCTGTAACGCTGCATTGCAGGCACGTGCGCCGTGCGACCCAGCCACGGCACCGCATACTCCAGGACTAGCCTCATTTCTTGCTGGTAGCTTGTCTTTCTGCTTCCCATTCTCTCGAAAGGCATGCAGAAGCTTAAGCTTGGAGCATGTAGAAAGCGATGTGGAGCAGGGCCGGGGCCGAGAGTGCGACCACGGCCGCAAACTTTGTCGTGGGTCGAACCTGTAGCCCGCCCACACTAGGACGAAGCAGGGGGTTCTTGTATCGGTGAATGTCTGAAATTTTCGTGTAGTTGTCAAAATTATGGTCCCGAATTGGGTACCTTAAACCAAGGTGCCGTATTACATGAAGGACCCAAGAAGGGACCATAATTTTGACGAGCAAAAGTATCGCACGAGTGTCAGCATCAGAGCATCCGGGCTTCTGGGCACCCCTTTCGTTTGCAACACTGACATCTGGTCTCAGAAAAAAGCCAGCAATAGGCCAGCCGTCGCTGTGGCGAATCTGGGGCCATGACAGCTTGTACCTGGGCTGGGGCTTCCGATTTCGAGCCGTCAATCGGACAGCATCTCTACCGAGAACTTGCAGGTAGCGAAAGACAGTCGACTGAGTGAACCTTGAGCTAAGAAAAGGAACTTCTGATATGCCGATATGCCCTTCGTCTCTGATGTCTCTGCATGAGACTTAAGAGGAAGTTGGCTCGCGAGGTGCCTGGTAGAGCTGGAACATGACGCAGGCCGCCAGACCTCAGACGACGTGCGATGTGTGCAAAGTTTGCACAGCTACCTGTAGCCGCACGGCCTCACAGCCCTCAGCTCGTGGAGGCTCCAAGCTCCGGGCTTGCCCCGGGCAGTGCCAGCAGCCGCTGCGCGACCTCTTCGCTAGAAGCTCAGGGTCGGCTGCAGTGCGCCGCCCCGCATGGCTATTAAGAGATGCAAAGAGTTGAAACCTGCCAGCTCTCAGCTCCCTTTCGCCGGATTCTTCATGGAGCTGCCAACTAAGAAAACGTATGCTTGGCTTGCAAGGAGATTGCATCAAACTCCGTGTCCGGAGCACATCGGAGCTCCTTGGACCTTTGCGGCGGCCGAAAGGCTGATCCCTCTTCGGGCAGCGTCGAAAGCAAGGCCAACGCACCCTGCATCTTTGAAACGAGCCCTTCATCCATGGGAATGTGTGCAAATGGTGAAGATGCCGAAGCCGAGGTGGATGGGGCTGAAGAGGGTGCTGCGGGTGCTGACGGAACTGCTGGCGGAACTGCTGGTGGAACTGGGCAGGAACCGCCGTCCGGTAGCTCCCCCAGGATCGCCACCGCTGCATCAACATGCTCTGGCTGAAGGCCCTTCTCACCATCAACCTGGACTACATGTCCTTGGAGTCGTGGGGCTGAAGCAAACCCCAGCAAGTCACGAGTGTCCAGCACTGCCCACGAAGCGACTTCTCCGCGATGGCTGTTTAGCCACTGTAGGATTTCCAAATCCCTCCGCGATGCATCTGCATTGAAAGGGGTGCAGTCAACATCCGGCCTGGAAATGCCGCCGTCGAAAACCCCGAAGTTGCTCAGGACTTCGACGACATACGCCCGGTGCTTTCTCCAGGCAGTAGTGAGTACGAGATGGGCACCTGTGCGCTGAAGAAGGCGGCGCAGAAAGACGCACTGAGACGCCTGTATGGTGAGGAGCCGCGGGTCTGGCCGAGGAGCCAGAACGCCCTCAATGTCCACGAAGAGCACACGAAGGTGTGGTGGATTCTTGGGCGGAGACGGCGGCAAATCCTCCTCTTGTTCATTCTCAGGGTCCTCCTCCTCCTCCTCCCCCCGTGCCCCGATGGCGATGCTCGGCATAGCTGTCTCCCTTTGACTCTACCGGCCGCCCTCTACTGTAATTCACTGACAACACGAACAAAACACTTGGACATACGTCATTCGTCTGCCCCACACATTCCTCTACACTCGACCTCGCATGAGCTCAACCACAAGACGTGCTTCTCATGAGCTGCTAGACCACACTGTTTCCGTCTTGGGCTGCACGAGGGCACACAGCAGGTGTTGCAACATGCAGCGTCTGCACTCTGCCATGCCTTCCACATCTCTTGAAACCAGCCCACTGCCGACCTTCTCCGTTCGGTACGAGGAAAAACGAAATTGGCGGACCTGACTGATTCGGGAAGATGAAGCCGTCAGCAAGAGAGCTTCTGAGAAGCAGAGGCAGCAACATGCCGTAGCACCCGGTAATGATCCCATGCCTCGGCGCTGATCTGTGGAAACATGCGTGACACGCACGAGATCAGAGTGCGAAGCATAGACGAAAAGGTGGCTCAAGAACAGGAAGATGAATGTAGGCCACACATAGCCTTCGTTGGAGGGGACGTACGTCGAGTTACTGGGCATCGGCGCATTAAGCCCAAAATTGAAAACCACACCATGCTGCATGCTCGCAAGCACCCGTCCTTAACCCCCATAGCAACTCTCGGTTCCTCGCTGTCAGCCACGAAGAGCTACAACATGCTACAACAAAACATAACAAAACGTCTATTTTGAGGCCTAGAACCCTGCCGGCAATCCCATCAACGCGTCTAGCCTGGAGAGAAGAAAAGCGACACCGTAGCTTGGGTCATGTTGAGGACCTGCAACGCACAGCACTGCGCAGCAAAGTCCAGCATGACCGGGTCCAGGAGGCCACAGGAGGCCACGGAGGACCAAGCCAGGGCTCGGACCACGTCTGCATAGCGGGCCATGTCGAAAGTAATCGGCCTCAAACGACAGCGCACAACAGAAGATGCAAACTCCTCAGCATATGCAGACGAACATCCGGCTTCTGGGAATGGCCATCTTGCAGGCAGTCCGGCCACAAGCTGAGCTTGTCGCAGGAGGCAAGCATCTGCGCCTCTTTGACCTGAGGACTCTAGCGGCTAGCGGTGTTGACAACATGCTCGTGTGACATAACAGTGGTCGCTGTGGATCTTGGGCGCTGGCTGATCGGCTGCGATCCCACCAGCTTACTGTACACGTGGTAGGGAAGGATTACCGTGAACCTTGGCTTGCGTGGCTCTTAAGGCTCATGAGACTGTCGGCATTGCCCAATGTGGCATGCTTTTGACGACTACGCGTCCGTTCCGTGCCAAGTTTACATGCCGGGAAGCGACAGAGCTTCCTGGGCTTCAGTAGGAAACATTGCCAAACAACAAGAACGAGACGACGAAGCTTGTGTCTTGCGACTTGCAAACATCCCGCTGGCCAAAACGAAAATTGAAATCCGTTCCAAATTCAAAGCAAGCCAGCAACAAAGGAGTGCTTCGACATCTATCACTGAAAGGCCTCCCGCTCACAGGCAGGGGCTTCCGTTGTCATGCCGGTTGCGAAAAGTATCCGAACAAGAGCTACGAGTAGACAGCTGGTGTGAGCCGCCAATTCGCTGTGAGGCCGTGCATCAGCAAGCCGATGCAAACTGAATCAGAGCAAAGATCGAGCAACTATTCATGTTCAAGGCTGCACACGTATAGGCTGTACACATATACTGTAGAAGTTACAAATAATTGATCGACATCGTCGGCTCTCTTGCCGACGTGGTAACGTAACATCAGTCGTGACCATGTCCCTTGACTGCACACACCAGGGCGCCAACAAGGCTTCACACCTCAGAGTCACTGCAACTTAGGACCATGTAAGCACAACCCGTTCTCTCAGAGATCCTGGCAAGAAGGGCAGCAAGAAGCAAGAGGGAAAGTTGTAGGCATAAAGGCGTTCGCCCAACTTGGCCTCAGCAGTCAGTCACTTCATGCAGGCCTGCTCACAAGAATGCCGGCTAAGGTCACAACCCGAAGTGGAAAACTCACTCGCCTGCAGGCACATTCATAGGTGATCGTCAGCCACAGCGGCATCGATGAACACGAAGTTTATCTTTTGAGCACCCCACTCTTCCTGATTTAGGAGGAACGAGCGCCATGTTACTTCGAGGCCTGGCATCTCAAAAATCCTGGTGTCACTTTGCATGCCGTAGCAATTTAAGAACATAGGACCTAGATTCTCCGTCGCTGTGGTCGTCGTGTACCACAGGATCCACATGTCGATGAACATGTTGGACAGCAAGGCCATCCTTGGAGCTTCATGGGTGGAAGTGCTGCGGCTTTGGGATTGTGTTGAGGCGCAATTACGTGTAGCCGAGCACTTGGCATGTTACTACGATGCGAGGAACCAAGGCATACTGTGACACTTGATCTGAATTCTTCCGGCCCTGCCCATCACGGCGCAGAATTGTGGCTATGACGGCAGACCCAAGATCATCCGGAGGTGCCAGCAGAGCACCGCATCCCACATGCTTCCAGGGCTGCTGCGTGTAAAGGCCCGTGTAGGCAGCCAGCTCTTGACTGGCCTCGCTTTGCGGAACAGAGAAGTCCGGAGATGATTCCAGATGGGAGTTTGCGAAAATTAGGGGCACCTTGTTTGGCGGTCCTTATAACAAGGATCTTACTGTTTAGACTTCTCGTGCAGCTGCTGCAAGACACCCAGTCGGTGCTCGCACTGGGACCCTCCAGGCAAGAGACCAACCAGGCATCCTTGCAGCTCTGATAAGTGAGTTTCTCCAAGCCGCTCGGGAACAAGCTTCAAATGCAAGTAACAACGAGTCTTGATGGAGTATATAAACCCATCGGAAAGCTTCCGGCAGATCTGACTCTCAGACACAAGAGATGCCACCACGGATCCCCTGTCTGAGCGCGAGGCGAAACGAAAGCCGATGTGCTTGGAGGCTTTGTCACAAAGCAAGTACAGGAGCTGGTTGCCAACCTTAAACCACAGACACGGAAAGTCCAGTTTCGAGTGAAGGTCCTACGATTACGGCCTCATGGTCAACCAACCAAGCTGACTGATGCACCCGGGGGGAACTGTGCAAGGCTGCGGCCACTACCAGCAGACTGAAAGTCGTCTCAGATGCAAAGTCGGCCGAGTGGCCTCGGGGTGACACGGCGAACACGGTGCTTTCCAGGACCCTCTAAAAGTAGCTGGCCCAGTGCAGAGTAAGACCATGCCTCGCAGTGCCACCCACCCCAGGTGGCGGGACAACTGGAGGCCATGAGACAACTGCCTCGTACACCGCGAAGGGAAAATAGAAGAAGACGCCTTGCGCGCATCGACGATCCCTCACTTTCCCCAGCAATGCCAACTCTGAGAATCTCTGAGGCCGCCGCCCCAAAACAATATTGAAACGGCTATACCCGCGATCGAAGCCATCACTTTGTATGGCACGACCTCATGCGGTGCTGCGGCGCTCGCTGCGGAACCCGGCCCGGGGCGGGGTTCCCGAGGCCCGGGCTTTGATGTCGCACTGGAAATTCTTCCAAAGAACCTGCCGAGATCGGGGAACCGAAAAACCCTTAGAGACCGGGGCCCTGGGCCACAGAGTCTCTCCTCTTGACAGGACTTAGGACAGCACGCTTTCTGGCTCTGAGCCTCCACCGGCAGGGTCCTGCCGGATGGGGTGTCGCCTCTCCCGGCGAGATGTCGGAGCCAAAGCCAGCAGCGTCAAGCAAGACATCACAGTCTGAGACCCGATCCCCATGTAAAGCGGCACTTCGGAGTCACTGGAGAAGACCTTCTTGGCGTGGTCCTCGAACCGATACCAGAACTCTTAGAAGTGCATGGGCGCCGTGGGCAAAAGTTCTCGGAGCCCGGCCCGATCGAGCCTGGCAGGACCGGACAGGACAGGGCTTCTCTCTGAGGGCCGAAACAAGCCGCAGGGAGTGCTCTGTGGCAAAGATGGCGTACATAAAACCTTTCACAACATCTTGTGCCTGCTGTGCATCGCAACATTTAGCCACAAGGGTCCGGCTCGTGGACACGGCATCCCTGGCAACAGCAACAGCCTGCACTGCAGGAGGATCAGCCGCATCCAACATGCTTGCCTGTCTTGCTTGGGCGCTGGCACGTTCTTCATGCCGCCTCGCCTTGCCGAGCTCCGCATCCTCATGATCGGATGATGCAAAGTATGGCGTCCGTTCTTGGATTCGTTCTTCAGACAACCTTTGCCTCGAGTTGCAATGGTGGAGCCTGCAAACACGCGCGCGGTGAAAAGGGGACAGTTGGAGTCAAGTGTCAAGACTGAGGCTGCAGCCAACAGTTGGTTCAACTTTTCGAAGATGCAGCGGAAACTGCTCTGCCCTGTGACATCATACTGTGATGCTTTACGGAAGGTACCGTCGCAAGTTGCCCTGCGTGCGCAACAGCCGGCCTGAGGAGTTTCCCTCATCCATCCTCACAACAAAGTCTGAGGCGGGGTGGCAATCATCACCACCGGGGCCGGGGCGGTCGAGCGACACTGACCGTCGCTGACTATGGCAACTCGGGTTCGGGCACTGTGCTGGTGGATTTCATGGGACCACAACTGTCCCGGCCCTCCGCAGCACGAGCTGCAAAATGCGAGCAGCATCGAGGACTGAAGGTCTTGACCCTGCCTTGCCCCATAGCCATGTCTCCCGTGCGATCAATTCCTGAACCTGGCATTCTCATTGGTGCTATACCACTATACTACATATACTACTATACTGCATCTACTACTATACTACATATATGACTATACTACATATACTACAATACTACATATACTATACTACATATACTAATATACGACATATATTATACTACATATACTATACCACATATACTACTATACTCTCATCCATCGGGGACCCTTGCAAAACCCAGGAACCGTCGCCTCGGAGTGGTTGTACGACCAGCAAACGGAAACTCCGACAGGCTGGCACCTGGCGGAAGGATAATAATCACAACACAAAAGTAGTAGTATCAGTAGTAGCTGTTGTTTTTGCAGCAGCAGCAGCAGCAAGGGTGGTGGTGGTGGTGGTGGTGGTGGTGGTGGTGGTGGTGGTGGTGGTGGTGGTGGTGGTGGTGGTGGTGGTGGTGGTGGTGGTGGTGGTGGTGGTGGTGGTGGTGGTGGTGGTGGTGGTGGTGGTGGTGGTGGGTGGTGGTGGTGGTGGTGGTGGTGGTGGTGGTGGTGGTGGTGGTGGTGGTGGTGGTGGTGGTGGTGGTGGTGGTGGTGGTGGTGGTGGTGGTGGTGGTGGTGGTGGTGGTGGTGGTGGTGGTGGTGGTGGTGGTGGTGGTGGTGGTGGTGGTGGTGGTGGTGGTGGTGGTGGTGGTGGTGGTGGTGGTGGTGGTGGTGGTGGTGGTGGTGGTGGTGGTGGTGGTGGGTGGTGGTGGTGGTGGTGGTGGTGGTGGTGGTGGTGGTGGTGGTGGTGGTGGTGGTGGTGGTGGTGGTGGTGGTGGTGGTGGTGGTGGTGGTGGTGGTGGTGGTGGTGGTGGTGGTGGTGGTGGTGGTGGTGGTGGTGGTGGTGGTGGTGGTGGTGGTGGTGGTGGTGGTGGTGGTGGTGGTGGGGGGTGGTGGGGGGGGGTGGTGGGGGTGGTGGTGGTGGGGGGTGGGGGGGGGGGGGGGGGGGGGGGGGGGGGGGGGGGGGGGGGGGGGGGGGGGGGGGGGGGGGGGGGGGGGGGGGGGGGGGGGGGGGGTGGCGGTCGTCGTAGTAGTAGCAGTAGTGGTAGAAGTAGCAGTCGTAGGAATTAGTCAACCATTATTATCCACTGGAAGAACCAAGTCGGGACGAAAGCTTCAGGTGATGCACAAGCTGTGCACAATGCTCCCTGGGTGAGGCACCCGGTGGCCCTCCGAACAAAGTCGGCCCGGTTCTTCTCCACCTTAGGCCGCTGTCAGCGCTAACAATGTAGCAGAAAGGCATCCGACCAGTGCGTTTTGCTGTTTTGCCGGCACCTCATCACGTGCAAGCTGGAAGCAGGCGCCTCGTTTCCCTCCTCGGCCGGAAAGCCTGTGAGAATCAGTGAGAAGTCCTTCATTGTGGCCTGGCATCAGCATTTCAATTCTCCCCTCCGCCAAAAGCTAGTGACTGCCTCGCATGTGTCAAGCTCCACCCGACGACGTCGCTGACAAACTGCCTGGGCTTCGATTTCAGTTGACATCAGACATATTACAATCCTTTTGAACCGTCTCGCTTCTCCACACACAGGTTCGCACGTAGGACAGCGCAGACACTGCAGTAAAGAAGTACCTGCTTTGTCCCGCTCGCGGCTGCAACGGCATTTGTATTGGCTGGAACTTGTGGGCACAGGAAAATTGTGAAGGCCAGCGTGCCTTCTGCAACCAACAGCCTGACAGCAAGTCCCTACTTTGCGAGACATGCGAGACAGAAACGCCCTTGATTCTGACCACTGGGGGTCTGACTCTTGGGATCTCGCAAGAGTACGGACGGCAGAGTGTGCGGCTCCACAAATTGAGTACACGTCTGCTTTCCCAGTCTCATTGCCTGAAGGGTAAGACATGTGTCGCTTCCAAAAATCACTTCGGTGCCAATGCAGCACGAAAGCCTTCCACAAACATACGGCTGCCGTACACCTGCCACTGTTAGGGACAGGCATGCGTGCGATTGACTTGTGGATCGTGGTTGGCTTCGCGTCAAAATAGCAGGGGTAGCCGTAGCACACACCACCCATGCAGATATGGAGCAGGCCTTCGCATAATTAATTGTGGATCATTGCCACTGGATTACTCTCCCGCGAAAGGACCGGACACACCACAGGAGGATGAAGGCTTGGAAGTTGAAGAACATCAGCAAGGCCTGGGACTTTTGTCCGTTCACTAATTCAGAAGCAATGAAATACAACAACGACCACAACTACACTGCTGCTGCTGCTGCGACGACTATGACGAGCTCCTGCTACGACTACTACAAGATGCTGCTACTACTGCCTTCTTCTGCTGTGGCTACAAGTTCAACTCCTCCTCCTCCTCCTCCTCCTCCTACTCCTACTACTACTTACTACTACTCCCACCGCTACTGCTACTGTTGCTACCGCTACCGCTACTGAAGCTTCTACTCCGACTACTACGACGACTACGACTACTACAACTACCACCACCACCAACTCCGACTCGGACTCCGCCTGCTACTGCTACTGCTACTACTACTAATACTTAATACTACTACTACTACTACTACTACTACTACTACTACTACTACTACTACTACTACTACTACTACTACTACTACTACTACTACTAGTACTACTACTACTACTACTACTACTAATACTGCCGCAACCTACCACGAAATACCACGACCACCCCACCACCACCACCACCACCACAACCACCACCGCTTCTGTAATGCTTCTTTCCTCAACCTACATACTACTACGACCACCACCACCGTCACCATGCGAAGCATCACATTTGATGCTCATTTTCCTCAACCAAACTACCACTACCACCACCACTGCTGACATTTCTACACTACGACGGCTTCAACGTTTCCCCTGCACGAGCTCTGGGATCCTGGCCCGGCCCCCGACAACATGCCCATCTTCCCGAGGACGGCAAAGGTTGGTCATCAAGGGGTACCTCTTTCGTCTTAGCAACAAAAAGATTCGCAATGCTTGATACTCCAAAGAGTGTGATCTACGGGGATCTTGCACTGCAAGTAAAGTAAAAGGAGCGAGGTGATATCAAACTTGGACAGGCTCTGCCTGCAGGACGCTGAATTCATTGTAGGAAGGCGGTGGGCAATGGGCAGTAAGTAGTAGTAGTCGTCGTCCGTAGTCGTAGTCGTGGTCGTGGTCGTAGTCGTAGCAGTAGCAGTGGCAGTAGTAGTAGTAGTAGTAGTAGTAGTAGTAGTAGTAGTAGTAGTAGCAGCAGTAGTAGTAGCAGTAGCAGTAGCAGTAGCAGTAGCAGTAGCAGTAGCAGTAGCAGTAGCAGTAGCAGTAGCAAGTAGTAGTAGTAGTAGTACTACTACTACTACTACTACTACTACTACTACTACTACAAATCGTCGTCGTCGTAGCAGTAGCAGCAGCAGCAGCAGCAGGAGCAGGAGCAGAAGCAGGAGCAGGTGCAGGAGCAGGAGCAGGAGCAGGAGCAGTAGCAGTAGTAGCAGTAGTAGTAGTAGTAGTAGTAGTAGTAGTAGTAGTGGTGTAGTAGTAGTAGTAGTAGTAGTAGTAGTAGTAGGTAGTTAGTAGTTAGTCGTTAGTAGTAGGTAGCCACTAGTCACTAGTCGCTACCAGCTAGTACTTAGTAAATTGTTGCCTCCTGCATGGCTGAGTACACGAAGCAGCAGGGAGTCAGGTACAATTGTATGGTGAATTAGCTTTCGGGTTTTCCGAAAGGTCAGCAAGCCTTCAGAGCCACAAGCCAGTAAGGTCACAGCAGCTCGTCACGGTACGTCAAGCCCTTGGACTGGCATGTTACCCACATGCATGGCAGCAAAATGCTAACACTTGCCCCCTTGCGGACACTTTGCCCTCTTAATTCGTGAAGTCAGACTCAGACATCCGGCGCGGTTTAGCCCCCTTCGACATCCCAACTGCAGAATTGACAAGGAAAATTTAGTAGTTAGTAGTTAAACGTAGTTAGTAGTTAATAGTCAATACTTCATAATTAAGAATTAGTAGTTGGTGGTTAGTAGCTAGTAGTTAATAGTTATTTAGTAATCAATAGTTGGGGATTTCTAATTAGACAATTTGCATTTAGAAATTAATAGCTAGTACGTAGTAGTTAGTAGCTAATAGTTTGTTGTTAGCAGTAGTTAGTAGCAACTTGTTTGTGTTGCAGTCGTCGTTGCTGTTGGTCGCGGTGGTGGTAGCGGTGGTGGTAGTGGTGGTGGTGGTGATGGTCCGTCACCACTTGTTCAGAGATTTACTGCAAGAGGCGGGCCAGTCGTGGCGCTCGCTGGTGTGGTCCTTAGCTCAAAACCCACCCGTTCTCAGCCTGTTACCGTCCGGCTGTCACTCAACAGAAACCTGGAACCCTTACTCTACTCCGCTTGGGACCCGGGCTCTTAGGTTGAGATGGTGTCTCCGCATGATGGCTCGCTTCAGGACCCGTGAATTGATCACAGGCCTGAGCCGGTGCCACAGCACGACGAAATCTCTGCTGACTGCTCGGAGGTCCCTGCTGGCTCCGAAGCCAGATGTACCACCTGAGCATTCGAGAAAAGTCCTGGGAGGCTCCCGTTGGAAAAATGCCGGGACCGCGGCGAAGCCAAGACCACGAAGGCCCCTCCAAGCAAGCCACAAACACCTGCAGTTTCTAGGTGCCATTTCGGAGGAGGAGAATTATACCACCCCAACATGTAAGATGAGAATTCGAGGCTTCACAGCCACGCAGCTCTCAAAAACGAAGACATGCTCCCACACTGAGCATGCCGCAAGGAATCAGGAAGCCAAACTTGCTGATGCACACATCCTTTTCCTCCGGGAAGGAATTGGCTGGTACGACAAGCGTCCGTCCAGCAGCTAAATTCATGGCATCAGCGTCCTTCGTGAGATAGAAGCCAGTCGCGCACCGGATGCCTGAACTCAAAGGCCAACTGAATGCCAGGTGCTTCAGTCATCAGCTTGGACAACGAAGCCAAGGCTTACACAGTGGTCCTCGGGGCCTGGATTGTGCTACACCGGCAACGAGCGATGACTTGTCTATAATCGTTTTCAACCATCCTACATCAGTGCCCGGCTGCAAACCCGGCAGCCTGGGATTTCACAGCTGCGACCTTGCATGAGCGCATCATGTAGTGCAAGTTCTCAACTTCAAGCTCTCTGCTTGTTTGAGGACCTGTGCGACCTACTGCCAAACATAGAGAGCACCGAGCCAGTGTCACACCGCGAGGTCGCAAGTCCCAGCCGCACGATTGCCCACCCCCCCGCAGGTTGTTCGTTGCTCCGCTGCTTCTCGGACGCTTGGACATGCCGCATTGAACCTGAGGCCCCTCAACTGCTGACTTGCCCCAGTCATCCCCGCGATTCTCCGAGACAAACGCTCCAATAACTACAATCATGACTTAAGCAGGCAGTGGAGGGTGGGCAGTCGAAACGAGAGACCCTGAACTGTGAGCCGCCTTCGTGCTTCTGATCGTCCAAGTTGTGGTTTACATCCTCGACTTAAGTCGAAACGACTGAAGTCTGCTGATCACGACTCTGTCGTCCGCTGCCTACAAGTAGCAACCTGAATCGGATCCACTGTCGGTGACCGCAAGGCACAAGCACGTGTTGTATCCGCTCATCCAAGGTATGTTTCTCTGCTTTTTCGTTAGGTTAACTTGCATTTTCAAGACCGCCTCTCGTTCGTCCCGTCTCCACATGCAAAGCAGCCCACATCGCTTCGTGGAATTGTCCACCACAACCATGGCCTGCCGTTCCGTCATGGAGAAGTTCTTCGAGTACTCGAGGCCGCTTGCGACCATCTTAGGTGCTGGCTGGATTTGTGCAGCTGCCAGACGAACCGTCAACGCAGGTGAATTGGCAAACTCAGGTTCCAAGCAATGGATCGGAACAACACATTATGATCTCCGAGTGCTGCAAGTCTGTAATTACGTGAGTCATTGCGTGCTGGGTCACCCTTGCCATGCAGGTGCATGTGCACGGGGCAATGGGCTGGGCCTTGGCCACTGCAAGGCGAAGGCGATGACAAGATTCTAGATGCTGGAAATGTCCGCACGAAGGCTCCGCGCAATGCTCCCACAGGGCCACAGACGAGCCATTGCCTCATCAAGAAGCAGAGACTGGGCGAATCTGATGCATGTTTAGAATCGTAGGCCCTGGCACACGTCCACGAGGGTCAAATCCACGGCCAGGCCTGCCTCTCCAAGCCATGACTTGTCACATGCGGACTCGTGACTAGTGATTGCACAGCTGAAAGCAAGTCCTGGGTAAGTGCAGGCGACAGTGCGCCAAGCATAAGTCAAAGCCGGAGCAGCTGCAACCTCGCGCCCTCCAGAAAGCAAGTGACCCAGCACGGGCAAGGCCGTGTGCTCGTAGCTTGCGCAGTTGAAGCTTACCTCCAAAGGCCTGGTTTTGCTCCGCTGGTGAGAAGAACACGGAGCCCGTGACATCCTCAGGACAGAACACGGCCCACTTGCACTAAAGCAAAATCTGATTTGAACCGAGCTGCCTGGACCTGAGCCTCATCAAGCAATCGCGTTACATCAAGGCCCAGCGCTGCAACATGGCTCTTGAATCGAGATGATGGACAGAGCACTGTTGGGGAAAGTGCAATGGTTGCATGCGACAGCACATTGCTAGGTTAAGCCAAATCCAGGGTCGCAAAAGCTGTATGATTGCAAAGCTGGACCTGCCCATGCTTCCGGTCTATTGAAGGACGGTCCGCTTTTCGTGACTTGCACAACGATTCCGCATGCTGATTATCGCAGCTATGTCATGATGATGCCGTCCACCACGCAAGCACACTGTCGTCTTCCAGACGTGCATGTCGAAGAGATCGAGCGCGAAGATGTCCATGTCGAGAATATTCATTATCTCCGAGTCCTCAACTTTTGTCGTGTGCTGGGATAGCTTCCGCAATTAGCCAGGTGATGTCAAGCAGAACCAATGACCACGTCAAGCAGCGATCGCGGCCAGCGAGAGGCTGCGTTGCCGTGGCTGCGGGGAGCCTGTACCAGCATGCGAGCCCATGAACCCTTGTCTTTCCAGCAGACCCAGCTTTAGTAAGCACACAATTTGAAAGCGGTTTTAAAGGCAAGGCATGTTGCGAGGACAATTTTGCTAGCTACGGCGCGGGGGATACTTGGTTGGTGATGAACTCCAAGCGTTTAGCAGCGCTCGCATACTTCAACGGATTCACACAAGGTCTGCAGCAAGGACGGATCATGCACGATCAGGCAACAGCAAGCACGGCCTTTAAGAAGCGAAAATAAGCTCGTAGGATGCGGAGACTTCGAGGGGGCAGACGCACACGCGCACTCTCACTGGCTGAACCCCCGCACAACAGCAGTAGGAATAAGAGCAGTAAGTAGGGGCCGCGTCTGGTTCAATATTGAAGTTCGAGCAAAGCGCACTCACAACTATGCTGGCGCTGCATGCAAGTGTTTCTTCGCAAGCTCATTGGATACTGGAAACGGTCCGCCTCACGTGGCCTCGAGTCACACTCGGCCAAGCGATCGGCGATCGAGGAGCCAGCAGTACCTTGCAGTGTCCAAGTGTCAGCATATATATATATATATATATATATACATGCATAGATACATATAAATATATATATATATATATATATGCACCACCCGAACTTGTCCGCGCCGGCTGTCACTGACTGGGCAGCCAGCTTCGATCACCAGTCGAAGGCGTATGTCGAGTCTGGCCACTGCCTCTCGCGTCACTTCGGGAAGAGGGCGGATCATCGGGGCCTCAGCTGAAGCAAGCTTAAACAATATCAAAACATGTATATACTATATACTACTGTCATTCATATATATATATACACATTTTTTAGTATTGCATTATATTATACTATCATATTATATACTAATATGATCTTGGAAGAGGTGGCTAACTTGAGAAGATGCCAACTGAGACCCACTGGAGCTGAGTGCCCAGGCCAGGCCCTCGGTACTCCTGTCGAGGCTACGAGAACTCGGAGTGTGCCCTTCAAACGGGTTCCGTCAAGGGATACTAGAGGGGATCTATAAGGGTACTATGATATAGGGGCCTTTAAGGGATACTAGAAGGGATCGACAAGCTGTCATAGAGGGGCCAAAATAATTAGAATAGGGTTTTGGGGCCCATTATACTGTAAATTAGACTAAGGAACCCCCCAAAGTAGTATCGGTACTTATTTAAGCCTCTTTTTCAAGTGTCTCCTCGTAGCTGAAGTGCTGAGCGCCATTGGCAACAGCCCTTGGCCACTCGCGGTAAGAGCGATCGGCCTGGTTTCTGCCGGTAAAGCATCTCTCCACAGAGCAACAATCAGCAAGGGCCTCCTCCTTGTGTCCGCCGTGTGCACGGGCACCATGCCTGCCGTGAAGGGCAGGCGCTTACTTAAAATATATCCCATGGTCTTCTTCGGATGTCACCTGTCGGTGTCCCGAGCTGCGAAGCTTTTGGGACTCCTGCTTCGAGACTTCAGCACCACTTGGCCTCAGACAATGACCCGATGACCAACCGGTCACTGAAAACGCCACGCTTCTCGGGTCCCGAGTTGCCGCACGGGGTCGAGCAAGTGGAGGTCGAGGGGGCAGTGGCCTGCCTGACGAAAGCTGCTCTTCTTCAACGGCTCTTTGACAAGCCGTTTATGGCGGAGGCTCCAAGCGGCCTTCATCGCGACGTGCACTAACAGGCTCCCGGTATTGGTCTGCGCTGTAGTCGTACACTTCCTGAACATCGTCTCTACGTTCTTGATGATGTGCAATTGCTTGCCTGTGGAAAACGAGCCTCGTCCCACCCGTCCTCCGCTCGTTGGGGCTGCCCAGTGCCTGCGAGCACATGAATGTACTCAAGGCCCTTGCGGCCGCAGTCGCCTTTCCAAACCAAAACGAATCGGCCTCGCGAGGATGCCTCCCCGCGATCTTTGACCTTGCGTGCAAATCCAGCGATCCCGAGATCTCTCCCTTCAGACGGTCTCTATAGGTACTGGCTCTCCAGACTCGCCCCTTGTCGGCCGCGGCCTTGCCGGCAGGGAGCTTAGGCCAGGGGTTGGTTGGCTCAGAAAGTCTGAGATCTGCACCGGGCTTCCTTGAGAGGACCTGCAGAGCTGCCCCACTTGACTGCTTCTGCTTCACATCACTTCAGATGCAGCCCGGGGCCCCGGGCCCCAGCTCTGCCCTCGAGGAAGCACCTTTGATGCTCAGTGTCCAAGTTGGCTTTTGCGCAGGGTTGGCGATCCTTTGCCTGCTTCCCCTCTCTGGACGGCGTTCGAGCCCGTCAGCTTCACGGCCTGTCCAAAAGTCAGTGGCTCACCATCAAAGCGCCCACGCGATCGCGATCGGCGTCTTTGCACCTTGCCGTGCATCTGCTCATCCGGCTCAGCCGCAGCGGATCGCTCGCCTGAAGGGCGAATATAAAAGCTTCCTGGCTTGCCACCAGATATGTACTATCAAGACTTGCATCTTTGCTGGGCCTCTGTGGCCTCTGCTGCGATCTGCCTTGGCACACTCTGTCTTTCTCTCTCACTGACCGGACTTGGCCACCTCCGCCCCCGCCTCTGAAACGTGCCGCCAGCTGCGGTCTGACCTTAAAGGATTCCAAGATCCTCGAGCACAGACCCCATCTGAGCTAAGGCCTCCACTCTCCATGTCCCGAGCCGGAGCCACGTGTGGCCTGGGTGATGTCTCGGATCGCTCGACTCGCTCGGCTGGCTCGAGTTGCGGCGCCGGGTCCCCTGGCTGTGAGGGAAGCAGCGCCTGCGGAGTAGGTCCGAGCTTCGCCGTGGCCGCCATGGCCATCGCCAGGGCCTCTCTCGGCACACACAGGATCCACTCTCCACCGCCGCTCTTGGCCTTTGCCGCACCTACGGTGATGTGGCGAGGTGTCAGCACGAGCTTCTCATGCCGGCCTGTGATGCCACACATATCTACTATTATACGATCTGCGCACGCAGGACATGCCACACCTTGGCCTGCAGCAGAAGCATCAGGGGCTGCCTTTTGTAGATCCACCTGGCCGGGGGGTCTGGTCTATCAGCTCAGGCTCTGGTTGTCTGGTTGCAATCCAACTCGTCATGACATTGCACAGCCTGCCTTCGTGCCCTTGCGCTGACCCTGACCCTGCGCAGGAGTACTGCCCTTCTTGTCACTTCGGGCCTCGAGCACCCAAAAGCAGAGAGCTCCGCTTCACACTCCTCTGCTGAGAGCGCCACGACATCACTCCTGTGAGGTTCTTGGGGCCTGGTGGCACTAGAACTGCCAAGCGCACCGGCGGGTCTCGCTGAGCGCTGAACTCGCTGGGCCTCTGCGGCCGATGTGCGGAAGAACCTGTGCAGGAGCCCGCCGCGAGTCGGCACGAGCCCGAGCCGAGCCTTGGGAGTTGGAGCCTGCGGAGCTGCCTGCGGCTCCTGCGGCGCCGGCGTCGGACTCGGCCCTCGCCTCGGCCGAGCGCAAGGAATCTCCGATGCCCAGCCCTTTAGCATCAACATTAGTACTACGTCGGACATCAAGAATCATTCATGTAGTGATGTAGTGGTGGTCTTGCTGTGGTCAGAACCGAATCACAAGGCGCTCTCGAAGAAACGCTCTTGGTGATCAGATCAGTCCCCGATGCGAGGCCATGGCCCTGCCATCCGTAGCCGAGGCCTTGGTCGAGGCCTGTCCAATTGTTGTCAGAGCAGGAATGGTTAAGATTTAAGAAGGGCAGGAAAAAGTAGCATGATGACTATGGGCAAGATGAACAGCCAACAGCAATTTGCCATGATAGCGGCCGTGAACCCGGAGAAACGGAATGTTCATTGCAATGAAATGAATGAGTAAAGCAAGAGATCGACATGCCGCTTCATTTCTACATTCTACAGTTAGAGAAGGTCTAGGGTTTAGGCAGACTATTGAATCTATTGCGCCTACATAGACCTTGAGCCCACCAAGACGCCCGTGGCATACTGGAAATTGCCGTAATTGCAGATTGCCACGCCTTCCAGACCCGAGCCTCGCAACATGCGCAAGTCTGGTCAATGATTATGCAATGAACTCTCCATGAGTTCCAGCTACCGGTCGGCAACATGCAAAAACAAGCAAGCCACGTGCCCTCTCCCCAGCTCAAAAGACTTGGCTCTGTCGCAGTGCGAACATGAGCGGATAAGGTCAGGACTCCGACGCGCGGGACAGCTTTCTCCTGAGACTTCGAAGATGCTCGAAGTGATTGTGCGAAACGGCAAGAATGTTGTCGTAAACTTGCGCATCCAAGGTCGCTCAGACATGTTGATACTGATACTGGGTCTCTCACATGTCTCCCATGCGGGTCATCCGCCGCAGACCTGGGCAACGGAATTTGAAGTGCTCCCAGCCATGTTGCCATGATGATGGGTGATGCATGGTGGTCCTGGTGATTGTAGAGATGGTTATGACCATGACACAGGCGATGGCTGTGGGCATGCATGTTGACAGAACTTGATCATGTTGACGGCAAGAAGGTAGAACATGACCCGGGGAAGCGTTCAACTAAGACAACTACTAGGAAACCTTATGCGAATACTAGTGCAGCGCCTTCCTGGCACAAGATGTCAATTACTTATTGCTTGTATAGAGCTACTGCATGCAGCGGCCAACAACACAAGTATTGCTGACACTACAGCAAGCACTTCCAAAACCCAGACAAGTGAGAGAAAAAACTAACAACTCAAACAAGCCAGTGGTAATGGCAGTGGTAGTCGTCGTCGTGGTGGTTTTAGATGCAGAGCGACTAGTAATGGCCCGTAGTAGTAGTCGTCGTCGTCAGCGTCTTGGTGGCTTACGTACGAGGAGTGGCTTCACAGCACATGGGGCCGTGTGACCATGGCGGAAGTCAACGTCAGCAGCGGAATTACAGATCAGGACAGATTAATCTCCTCATGCGAAGCTAAGGTCTTGGTCAATAACGATCAGTCGCGGATGAAACTGCCGCCGACAAGTTGTTCGCATTTTCGCATAGCTGTCGCATTGTGTTTCATAATCAGATCACCATGGAGACACTGCACTTTCCAACTCTGGAATCGTCGTCAACGGTCCCCCATCCTACACCCGTATCTGCAGCCTCTCAGGCAGAGTAGGAATAGGAATTCGTTCTCGTCGTCGAAGAAGTGTTCGGAGTGGGAGTAGTAGATGGTAGTACGTAGTTGCGTGGCGGTGGTCGTGGTGGTGGCGGCAGCAGCAGGAGCATTGATAGTGGTCGTGGCAGCGATAGTGGTTGTGGTTGTTGTTTGGAGGCATCGCAAACGCAAGAGCCAGGATAGGCACGAGTATGACCACTACTGCTGGAACTGAGGAAGCCGCATTAAGATGTACCAAGAATGGCACATAAGTCACCCTGACTCTAACTGCCATCATATAACTCCATACAGTAGAGCTGCATAGGTGTGCATACCGGACATGAGGCACCATGAGTCCCTGGCTCTCTAAGGGCAGCTGGCCTCTGTACCGCGTCTGGGCCCATGAGCTTCACAGCCTGTCCGAGCACTGGGTTTGTGCGTCACAAGTGCGAGAGACGGCCAGGTACTGAACCTTGCTGTAGATTTCCTCGTCGAGGGCATTTGCAGCAGGTGCCCCACCTAAGTGTGAAAATGGCACAAATTGATTTGCACGCTTGCAGGCCTTCTGTGCACAATTATTCAATAGATAGCTCTGGTGTCTACAGAACCACTTCCTGTCATTGCGCAGGCGCAGGGAAAGATGATTCAAACCCGTGGTGATGAGACTCGCGCTTTGGCGACGCCCTCTGCTAGCTTGGTCCGCCTTCGAGCGAAGCAAGGCATGCTAGCTGTCATTGCAGGATGCGGCATGCAAGCTCATGCCCCGCCTCCTTCAAGGAGACTTGCCGACGACTCCTAGTATGCCTTACTGTCATTGAACGATGGTCCACTGGCTTATCAAGTCTGGAAGGTGAGGCAGGTGCTCGTCGCGCCCATCCTCATCACGGAAGGCCTGCAAGTCATCTTGCTGGCAAGACTTCCCAAGTAGCGTTTTTCCCAAAAGACTTCATCGCGAACAAACCCAGGAGAAAGAAAATTCACATGATTCAGTCGCGACAGCATCTGAGCAGTGGTTCTCCGTCCCGTCAACCAAGGCACATAGCCACAAAAGACGGCAAAATGCAAACCAGACCAGCCCCCATGGGCAAGCACCAGATTCTGCCAGAGAGACTGACATGCACACATGACATCATAATGTGTGTCCTGTCCGACTTCCCCTCTGGGAGCCGTACATCTGAAGACGGAACCACATCTGCCAAGCGGGCTTGTATGTTGAATCATGCTGATTCTTTACCTCCCCAGAGTCATATTCTACACTTCCCACCTCGGGCGCCTGTGAGGTTGTTGGACAATCCCGGGTCACGGCCTGTGCAGCTGATCCTACTGCTTGAGGTGTGAACCCAGCACTTGTTGACCAGTGTTGAGTGTTGACTACAAAGCCCGTCCGGGCTGCGATCCTGCAGAAGAAGTGCCCACGTCAGCGGCCTGCAGGGGTGGACTCTGCATGTATTGTGCATAGCCGCCAAGCCAGAGCGGACAATGTTGCGCTTTGGCATGGACGTGCGTTAAGAATGACCTGTCACAACTTGGCGCAAACCGTCCCATCACTTGCTGGAACTTTAGAATGGCGAAGCCGTGAAGTTGACTTCTATCCCGCATGACATCACAACACTCAGACGTGGATACTCCTCTGAACACCTCGCATTCGGATGAGTGGACGTTTTGGCTCGCTTGCTGCATTGTTTGGTATGCACTTATGCGCATGCAGCAGGAGCATGAAAATCAGGGGTGAATGTGGCACACGTGCCATACTTGGCAAGTGCAGAAAAGTCGCACCTAGCTGGTCTTTTGAGTGAAACTGCTTGTTCGACCTCGCAGGAGCTTTGTGACAGTTGCCCACGATATGTCGCCATCCAGAAACTGGCGAATAAACCTATCTTCAGAAACCCTTCTACCCATCGCTGCGTAAAACGACGCAGACATGCCTCGCCTCTCCTCCAGCATTACCTCCTTGAGGCGGCTGATGTTCATGTCCAGTGGGGCTCCAGGTCTGTACTTCTTACGCATGGGGCCATGTTGAACTTGATAATCCAGCCTCGCCAGATAATCTACTAGCCTACCAATCCGCGCAGACTCCACATGCAACTGCGCTAGGCGCTGCTCGAATTCCCACATAGGATTCTCGTGGCTGCGCTTGTGCTGCAGGGTGCGAAGTGCCTGCAAGCAGTCGAAGAGGATTTCCCGGCACACCATCCGACACATCTCCTGCCGATGCCAAGATAGGACTCGCAGACGCACCGGCTCTCGTGCACCAGAACCTTCCGCTTCGGTGACTTCTGTGGCAGGCAAGCTTTCGGACAACGCTGTCTCGCCATCATTGGCGTCACCCTGCTGGAGCGAGGACCCGTACGCAGAAGACATCGCATCCACCATTTTCAGCACGCCTTCATTGGCACGCCTTGCCAAACGAGCTGGTACTGGTCGTCGGTCTTTTCTTTGAGAGCGAGGCGGAGAGACTACCTTGCCGACGCGTAGCCCAGCTTGGACGGCAGCTCGTTCACGAACACTCTCTTCCACGTCCGTCTCTGTTGAAGTCCCCCAGTTAGGGTTAACAAGGTCAACAGGGACCCGTTTCGGGTGAACCGGCTCCCGCTTTCGGCAAGAGCTCTTCTGGTCTCCAATCGTAACACCACTTCCCAAATAGTCTGAAAGCAGAATCTCGTCTTCAAGGGCTTTTCGGGGCTTGCCAAGGCGGCTTGCCAAAACATCGAGCGCCTTAGACGAGTACCAGCTCGCAGAGGGACACCTCCCCCCACCATAGGTTGCAAGGTGAACCCGGGCAAATAAATACCATGTAGGGCCGCGCAAGGTGCGCATCAGGCTCCGACTTGTTCTGATTTAGAAACTTGGGAGAAGCACTGCTAAGTTAGTTTTCTGCCTCCAGCAGTAGTATGCCCTGCTCCTTCGCCTCCGTCTGAAACTAGAGCCGCGATGATGCTCCTTCTAGCAATGTAAACAGGGATCATCCCATGAGCATCACCGACCAATTGCTGTTGGAGCGTTTTACCTTTCGCAAACTTTCCTCGTGCCGAACCAGCGGCTGCATGAGACGGAATCCACATGCACAGCAGAGAAGCGGAGCATCCCCTCCCACATGAATATAGATTATAGATGTCTGCCTGCCCAGCCTGCTCCATGTTGGAACGGCCCCTTTCCTGCTGGTCAGTCCTTCTGTCACGGGCCTCGTTCGATTCATGGTGACAAGACTAAGAAGCACCACTGGACCCCCAAGCTCCACACCCCACTGCCGCGTAGCTCTGAGGCCGTCGACCTGTGCTCGAAGTGCAGACCGCCAGTTGCCCAAGGGCTGCCGAGAGCCGCGCAAAGTTGCCCGGTGCCTCTGCGAAGCGCCTGCACAGCATCATGCTATCTGCCATGTCCCTTCGCACAGACACCTCTATCTCCGAAGATTGAGGTCTGGACCATCGGTTGGCTCAGGTCCCATCAGACGGCGTGCCTGGACCGTCGAGGCTTTTCCGATTTTCCGAAACCTAGAGCTGTCACAGAACGTTTGCGCTGGACGAGCGGCTGGGCTGCAGACCTTGTCCATAATCTCGGAAAACTCCGGAACGCTGCCTTGCCCTGAAGTTGACAAGTCCTGACCGTGCAGCCCCCGACCCTCCAACGACCCACCACTGTCCAGGAGCGTGCAGACGCCTCTGGCAACCGCAGCAGCTTGGCTTGGGGTTGCGGGGCCCTGCTCATGAGCACGTGAGGCGTGAAAGGCCCGAAATGCGATTGTGAAACTGGACCACTTGCTCACACTTGCCAACTTGCTGTGGCCTGTCTCGTTCAGCTCGGTCACCCTGAACCTAAACCAGAGCTATCACATCTGACGATCGGCATCCCTCAGCCTCAGATGAGGTCCGGACCCTTGAAGCTCCTTCCGGTCACACACATAAGGAAAAAGATCAAGACATACACGTATATTACCACCGTAGGTTAAGTGCGATGAGATGCCGGATTCAAGCGATGCTCTCACGAGGTGTGGGTGTGGGTGTGAGGGGTGGGGTGTGGGCGTGGGATGGTGTGGGTGTGAGTTTGGGTGGGTCTCTGTGCGTCTGTGTGTCTGGTTACCTGTCTGCGCGTCCGTGTATCCGCGTGTCTGCTGGCCTGCTTGTCTGCGTGTCTCTGTCTTCTTCTTCCACGCAGCCAAGAGAGGACAACAACCCTCCACGCTCGCGTGTCTGTCTGTCTCGGTCTGCAGTTCAGCGGGTCGTCTGGCAAATCTTGCACCCACAGGCCGCCTGGGCTCTGCGGTCTGAGCACTGGTGTAGCACGTCCGCCGTCTCGGCCTCAGTGACAATCACCCACAACGCATCTCCAAAGACCTCCTGCCGCAACGGCATCTTTGTAAGCCTGCTTGTCCGATTAAGTTGGGCACCAGAGGTTTGCTGCGTCGCCGTAGCCTTCGGGGAATTTCGTGGAGGCATTTTCCGGGAGCGATACAGTAGTACAGTAGCTTCCGCTCAGGTCCGGACAGAGGAGGCCCGTGAAAGCTTCGCTGACGCCTTGCTGCCGCTTAGTTTCACCGCGTGCGCTGCCAGCCCGACACTCTCCATGCTCTGCCACTCGAAAGTTTGAACTGCCAACTCCGAGCGGCAGCAGAAGCCGCCGCCACCTGCTTCTGACAAGTTCTGATGGCACTGCCGCTGCGCGGTGCTGGCTACAATGGAGGTGCCTGCATCGCTCTGCTTTGCACAGCTGCGGCCTCAGGCTGACAGCAGGACAACAAGCTACGTGCAGCAAGTCTTGATACATCCTGCATGTTCTACAAGCTAACGATGCCAACATCTCCATCAGAACATCAGACAAACCGGCATGGGTACCACTATCACCGCGACGGCGGTCCAACTTAAGACTTAAGCTGCGGCAAACTCCTGCTATGTTTCCCGCTGCCGCCGTCAAACCACCGACCCTTGAGCCACAGCCATTCTCAAGCTTGCGGGTTTCGGATGGTTTCGGCATGTCTCGACAAGCAAGGATTTGAAGTGTCTGAAGCCGCTGCTGTTGACAAGGCGGCCGCTTGCGTGGCTGCCTGCGCACATATTTATGTTTGAGTAATCCTGGTCCCAGCAGGATTTCGGTCTGCATACACGAGGAACGGGCCTTCTTCGTCTCGTCTCCCGCTGCCTATTCGAAGCATGCCGAAACCGAACTCGAAACGCATCCAGATTCCCCGGGCCTTGCGCGGCACACGAACCGGTTCGCTGGCTGCGCGGCCATTGCCGCCTTGGATCTGTGGTGTTTCAGAACTTTCGGGGCTCAATGTCTAAGGCCGGCACGCTTTGCACAACCACGGTCGTGAACCAGTACCTTAAGCAAGGACGGGAGCTCCGTGAAAAGGATCCACTCCCTCACCTCCACAAGTCTTAAGTTCGCGGCCCATCGCCAGGTAAGGTTGATTCGAACCTTAGCCCGGAAGTTCCTCAACATGTCCGCTTCGGCTCGATGGGGGACCCGAGGCTCTTCTTCACCCACCACCAGGCCACCAAGGTCAAGGCTCCGTTCGACCCGTCGGCCAATACCTCGCGATGAGAGCCATGCGCAGACGCGCCCTGCTGAAGTCTCCTAACTATGGTTGCACAATGAAATCTGAAGTCTGAAACGAGCCAGAAGTTGACCCGGCATATCCTTACAACTTCCGAGGGGGCACTGCGTGTGAGTAGTGCTTCTGGAGCCGACCTGGCACTTTGAGCACTCGATGCCCGCTCCTTTCTGCATCTTGAATTGTCTCAGCGAATGCAATCGGTCACCAAAGTTTATCATCTCTTTCGCTTCACCATCCGCTGCGACTGGCAGCCATCGCCGTCACTCTTCCTGGTGCAGGTGCAATGGCTTGCGGATGTCTACCCACACGTACCTTGGCTGCCGCCCTTCGTGGTTACGCTCCCAGAACGTTCTAAAAGCTGCCTCTCTGAAAGCACTCGACAGCAACACATAATCTGATGCAAGGTACTGCTCCGGGCCGCCAGACGGGTGGGGCCGCAACTCAGCTCGAACTTCCGTGGACAAGTTGGAGGAGAGGAGCCACCGCGTTACGTCGGCTCGCAGAGATGGGCTCCAGATCCTGAGCACAACGAGCGAGGGCGGCACACTCCGGGCAAAGCCAGCAAGCCCAGGCACACGAAGTGTGGGCCGTCTGCTGAGTCTTCAATATCGAACCTTGGCTATGGCTTTGGCCATGCTCAAGCCGATCCAACCGACACTCGCAGGCTTCATGCCGTCTCGGTGCGCCCATTGGTGAAGTCCGAGCTGGAAGTGGCCCGCCACACCTGTCTGCAAGTATGAGCAGTACAGTAAGCCAGTAAGCTCTTCGACTTCTTGCGACTGCATGCGACTGCCACACGACTCCGCTGCTCGCCTCCTCCTGTTCTGTTCTATACTCTTGAGTTCCGAGTTTCGGAATTCTGACAGTGTGGGACACAGACACTCCGAGCAACATCAATGGGCAAAGCAAGAAAAACAACTGCGGGAACAGCAGGCCTATCATTCCCGGGCGCAAGCTGAGAACAAACTCTAACAGCACATGCCCGCGACGGCTCGAACCCTCCGCCGAAGGTAGTACTCAACACCACCAGCAACAGAAACACTATGAACCTACACAAACAGCTCCGACAGCCGACTGTGGAGAGCCACCCTCGTTCCGGGCATGTCGAAGCAGCACCCATCCACCTGGCCTTGGAGCAGCGCGGGATGGGAAATTGCCAAAGATTCCGCACTCTTTCATAGGAGTTCAAGGGACGGGCCGGGCGACTTCCAACATCTGCCGGATGCCCAGCAGCGGATCGTTGGCGTGATCCAATGAGTTCCTGACTGCTGCTATGGACTGCTGGTGTGGTGTATACGAGCTTCCTACGACATGCACAGGGCGGTTACGTCGCTGATGCCCATCAGCAAAAACGAAGCCGGCCCACAGCAACCGAACGCACGACTGCAGGCATCGCCCCTGTTCACTATTGCCACAAACCAATCTGGAAGCCAATGGTACACTGCAGACCAAGTTCCGCACGTGCACGACGTCAAAATGATGCTGCGGGAAGCATTGGTGCAACAGCTCGGTAGGACATTGAGCTGGCACTGCAGGCGGCTCGTGCCCAAGGATGTCCTGCAGGTCACAGTGCATCGACTTCCTCTTCCTTTCCGCTTGTGGTCTATCGTTGCATACTGCGGGGCAGGATCAGCACCTGTACATGCAGACAGGCCACATACAGCTGCATGTAGAATCTTGCCAAGCCGTCGGCTGCAACGACTGGGATTGCTTTGCCATCTTGACACGCAATATCTTTGGGAGCCAAAGGCCCCGACCCAGCATTGAGTACCTGAAGCATCGCATCGCCAGTCAAGCCTTCTATATGCATGACTGTCCACCTGAGGGCGCCGCACGTGGACGGCCAAACTGCTCGCCTGAAGCTGCCCGTGCTGTTTCCACAAAGCTGCAAATGTCGCCGTAGTGCCAGCTGACGTGACCTTGCCCGCCCAAAGTCCCACCCGCTCGGACGATGAAGATCGCAACCGAGCTGAGCTTCTAGAAATTACTCTACAGTGCCCAATGGCTGACTTGCGAAGTGTCAGCCGAGAGCGCGCGCAGTCGTGCCTTCGTCAAGCCAGATCCGTGCGCTTTGCCACGCAGCGGGATCCACATCCGGACTGTTCCGTGTCTCCGGATCCATCAAAGCATGCCAGAAGCCGACTTCGGAATCCAAGCCTGGGGCAGCTCTCGGATCCCCAAAAAGGGCCGAGCAGGACTGAGCAGGGCTGAGCCGGCGACCTCGGACCCATCTTATGAGCAGCCTCAGTGAGATCGTGTGAAAATCGGGTGCCCAACCGGGCAAGGCTTCAGCGGAGTTGAGGCCGCAGCCTATCCAACGTTCGGCACACGGAGCCGGAGTCTCCCGCTTGCCGCCGAGCCGGCGCACTGCAGGAAGATGGGAAGTCAAATCGAAGGGCTCGCTGCCACTCGAAGTTGAACTGGTGCTCACCCTGGTGAGCATGCAACCTGAGAGCGCGAAGAATGCCTAGCACTCCCGGAACCATGCCATGGAAGCATGCCTCTGTGCGCAAAACTTCTTTTTCATGTAGGCACCAACGATGTGTTGGGAAGAAGGGTGCGGAATTGCATGGATTTGTGGCTCAAGCCTCTCGGACACTCCTCGAGCTGATGTGTGTCAATGACAACCATCAAGTGCCACTGTCTAGTCTACTTCGAAATGCAAGAATAAAAGCCGTGAAGGGTTGCAACCCAAGCTGTTTTACAAGTGTAGTATAGTCTGACGCTTGCACCACGCCTGATATCCCCGACTCTAAACCAGCTGTCCTCAAGATGTCGGCCGCTCGTAGTTCTTGCATGTCGGTTCTGACAGAGTGCATCGCTTCGCATTCTGCGCAGGTCGGACTTTGCAGCACGAGGCTGTCAGTTGCAATGCATCGCGCGATTTGTTCCCATGACAGGTTTGCTGCCTGGTTCTGTCAGGCAAAGTTCCTCTTTGCGGAGACAGGAACTTAACATGAAGAAGATACAATGAGCAACTTCATAGCCACCATCAGCCACCCTGGAAATCATTGCACGAATCCCCCCCCAGCCACTCGCTGCACAAAGAAGGCTCGACTTTCACCGCTTCACTTCACCATTCCGCCATATTCCGCCCTTCGGCCCACTCCCGACATGGAGAGCATCTTCATACTTTCATACTTTGGGGCTTTACAGGGCTGCCAGACATTCTGCGCACCGGAACTTGTGCATCCAGGGCTCGCGGCTGCAACAAAACTCATCCGATTCCTGGGAGCATCAATCAATGAGATATCAATGAGCACAGACAACTGGCGCCATCAGAGTCTGTCGTGTGTGCCAAGATGCGCCAACACCTCCGCTACGGAGAAAGGCCAGTCTGATTCATCCAGACAGTGGACGGCCGTCGCCAGCAAACGCGTGGCCGAGTCCATCCTCAGCGGTCGCTACGCATAATGAAGCATCCCTACTGGCTGCAAGGGGCCGGTTGGCAGGAAGGCACGTGGGCACGTAAAAGGGCAAGGGTGAAATCAACAAGCCTGTGCTTCTGGATCCAAGCATCAGAAGTCGGATTTCGCTGACCCGAGCGGTGTCGGAAGACTTGAAGGACTCTTCGACACCAGCTTCCACACAACGGCCAGAGTTGCGGTAGTAGGTTCCTGAACTAGACGACCACTGTTGATGCAGAGTGTGCGGAACTGACACACACACATGGCCCCGGCTTCTTTCCAAGGCTGCAGCTGTAGCCCTGTGCCACACCAGGAAGGACCAACCTCAGTCTGCCAAGATGAACATCCTGTCCTGTGACTCAACCCGGCTCCCTGTCAACGAGAGGCTCGTCTGCTTGTGAAACGCACTTGTCCTTCAGATGGCAGCCGAAAGGTCCGTGAGCAACTGATGCACAATCCTTACGAAAAGGGGCGTAGCTAGTTCTACAGGCTCGAGAGTCGTCTTGTCAATGCCCATCAAGACCCATGTCCAATTCCGCCCAGGTGTCAGACCGCCGTTCGCAAAGCTTTAGGCACTCATTCGCTGGCATTCTCTTCAGAATGTCCTCTGCTGCTGCAAAAAGCTCAACCGGAGTGCTCACCGGACGCGCTTGCCTCGATGGCATTGCCCTCGTCTTTCACCGGACGTTCCGTCCAGTACCATCCGGCCTGCCGCGTCTGCCTCATCTGCCTAGCATGGAATCGTGGAACCACGAACGCGATGCGATGGCTGATGGCTGCGAGGCTGAACATGGCTGGTCGTGGAGTTCAGCCATGTCGCAAGGCTATAGATTGGCTGCAAACGGCAGCCATCGCAACCAGTCCAGCGCTGCAGGTGCTCGGTTTGATCTGCGTGACCTCTCCTGTGGCCTGACCCGTGCCCCCCGCACCAAAAAGACGTGACTTGGTCTTTCTGTGTTCTTTTGCAAGGCTGGATCAGTCTTGGGACCGACCAAAGAACCCTGAACGTCTCGCAGGCCTCGTCGATGCGCACAGTGCCGAAGAAGGCCGGATAAGCTTCGCCGCACAGCTCGTGGACCCACGGCCTGAACTGCCGGGTAGGTTCTTAGAAAGGACCACAGCATCCGGCCATGGTCTGAGAGTGCCTCGAGAAGCTGGCATCATCCCAGAGGTTCTGACCTCGAAGGCTTTTCAGCCGGATCTGACTTCCACGCCCCGTTCGGCCCTGAGGCGGCGGCGCAACTGTGCCAGGAAGCTGCGCCACTTCAGGCCGCTGGGGGCCGCTCCCTCCGAGAACTTGCACGTACTTCTAATCGTGGCATGCAAGCCACGGGATTGCTAACAGAAGCCAATAGAAGATAGCAAAAGAAGAAATGTCATGCTGTTTACTGCAACTGCCGTGCGTGCTGGTGTTTGCGTACATGTGACTAGCCCTATATGCGAGCATGCACTCCTACAGCTGTGTTCGCCTGGCAGTCGCACTCCTCAACCGGCAGTGTGGCATCCAAGACAGCATCCCTCTCCTTGAGGTACAAACGCTCACCAAAAAAAGCATCGCGGCAAGTATCAACAGAGATCAGGAAGACCAACACAAAATCTTGCAGTGTAGTCTCCCAGAAACCGCCATAGCTAGTTGGATTCGAGTACCTCAACGCCGCGAGCTTTGCCCGTCGACAGCGACGCAGCTCGCCATGACTAATATGTCCCAGGTGCACATATGCAGCAGTGCTGAGATGCATCGCCTTGACCCCCCAAGCGCGCCCATGAGGCTGCAATCGGCGAAGGCGAAGGCCCAAGCCAGGAGCTGGTGGAGCCAGGAAGCAAGACCGCAGCTACGTCTGGCGCCATCTCACACCGGAATCCAGCCTAATCACCTCATCATATAAAATATAGCTTTACACGAGGTGTGTTGCAGGCGGCCGCGCGGCTTCACCAAACATGCCAACAAAAACCATGCTCTGGCACGTAAGCTTCGCCCACAGGCCTTCCATTGTGGCCAAGTCCCCATTTTCCAGAGATAACCTGGCAGCATCTGGAAATCCGCATGTGTGCGGATGCAAACGTTGAACATGTTGCTACCATCCATGGCATGCTTGGGGCAGCAGCTTTGTCTTCTGCGTCGGGGCATCATTGGGACGAAGCAAAAACGTGCGGGTCTTAGCGTCGGCGACAACATATCATCTCATGCCGTCACTTGCAAAACTGGCCACCTGGTGATCTAGGTAGCACGCCGCACCCAGAGACAAGGAGATGATGAGTGCATCCGTATGCTTTGCATCGAAGTATGGCCTCGAAATGCAAGGCTTTTGGAGTCCGCTTGGTGCTCAAGCCATTACACCAAGCTGCTCATCATCTGCGTGCCAGCCAACAGAGTCACCACCGTCCTCAAGGGACAGGCGCACTAAGAGAAAGCCATGTGGGGCTGGAGCACCACGGCATGTCTCAGGCCTCATACAGGTTTGCGTTGCACGAGTTTGGGCGCTCTGGCACTTCACAAGCTCGGCATACCTGCCAGATGCTCGCAAGGGTGAACGCCTTAGAGGTGAGTGGCTTTAACTGCGCACCTCGTCAGTCAGATCAACGAACCACTGAGGCATTACCATGTTTGGCCATGATGTGCCACTGTACCGGTACCTGCAGACTCACAAGCACAACTGCTGCATTTGAGGCATGCTGAGAAAAAGACTTACATAAGAAATTGAGTCAAGAACGTGCAAGAGCAGCCGGCGGTCTCAGCAAGCAAATGCAAGCACTGCATGCAGTGCATCTACAACATACGGCAAGGAACTCAGGCAGCAGGTATTCTTCAACTCAAGATAACTCAAGGATTCCACTAGAACCAGAATGAATGAGCTATATGAGCTTCAGGCCGTTAGCCAGCAAGCACTGCGAGGCAGTGGCTTGCCATGCACCTCAAAGGAGCATGTAGAATGGATGACCGGGGAGGGGAACTCATGGAAACACACTGCCTCTGGTCGCTCCCAATTCAAGCCGTTCAGCAGCTGGTCAAACCTCGAAGAGGCACGGCACTTGCTCTGAGTCACGTCAGCAACTGCAGTAACTCTACCAAGCTCACCGGGGGTACTTTGCTCCAGATCCGACGGCGCTTTTGCATACGATTCGTGCGGCACGTGCGGCCTCCATGTAACTAGCGGGCATCAGCATCAGTGCTATTCGTCTCGTTGGTCTCCCCCTGCAAGGACCAAGGCACGAAGGGGACGTAAGAGGCAGCTTCCTTCACCGTGTCCAGAACGGTATCGAAAAAGCTCTCATCCTGTTCTGCCGAGGAGGTTGGGGCCTTGGAAGAGGCTGTACGAGTAGTTGCTTCAGAGCTTTGCGGGACCCCAGTGACCTCGGCTGCAGTCGCCTTGGCTGCCTTTGCCTCTGGCGCAGCTTGACCACCCGTCACAGAGTCGCCGCCTGGGCCTGCAGGTTCCGCTTGTGGCGATGCCACAGAATCCTCTGAAGCTGATGAACTTGCTCCGCTACTTGCTTCCGTAGACGAGTCATGGTGAGTTTCACTGCTCTTTGCCACAGAATCTTTCGTGGTCGGACCTGCGACTGTGCTTGGACTCGCATCGCTGCGCACTTCCGCCACTCCTCCTGCACTTTTTCCTGTCCTCTGCCCAATGGCATCAGCACTCGATTGAGAGCCGGTCGTTGCCGGTGCCGGTGCTGCGGCCATGACAGTGGAAGGCACAGGTGCTGAAACGACTGGCACGGATGCAGGCTTTAGCAGTGCTGGCGCCGCCGGTGCTGGCATGGCTGCCGGTTCCACGGGCAACTTGCGCGGCCTCAGAAGCGCATCCATTCCGCCTCCAGCTTCTGGGCTTGGAGCAACTGCTGCCGGCTTTGACACACGTACAGGAAGAGGCACGGCGACCTCAGCTAACAGTGAGTGTGTGGAAAAATCCTGAGAAGCCCAACTGGCTAACCGTGATGACCAAGCACATGCACTACTGCAGTCCTGCCGCGGGTGGCACTGGTACCGGTGGTGCTGGCGGTGGAGGCTTCACCGGCGGGGGCACTGGTGCCGTCACTTTGCCCGTATCAAATGTTTGAGTTGCTGCCGGCGCTGGCGCCACAAATAATGGTTTCGTGACAGGCCTGAGCTCTTTGGCTGGCGGTGGTGGTTCAGCTTTCTGAGCTGGCAGTGTAGCATCTAGGGCAGTCCCTGGACCTGTTGAGACAGGTGCTGCAATGTCCGCCGAACCTGGCTGGTACCGGTACTTCGTGACCTGGCTGGCATTTTGGAGTCTGTTAGGAAAGAGACCCTCGACTACAAGTTCCTGGCCTGGCCGTCTGCATCGTGATCGTGAATGTGGATAACGATGTGCGAGCCATCCTTAGTCACTTGTGCCACGGCAGCACCAGCTGCAGCAGCCTCCTCCACAGACTTTCCATCTCTGATTGCATTGGCGGAGGCCGTTGCAGCTGCCTCTGCGGCCGCCGGGGTCAGGCCCGCTTCGATGGCTTTGGCCGCTGACTCACTGGCCACCAGAGATGCCTTTCTGGAGTATCCAGCTTCCAAGGTGCGGAGGGCGTTCATTCGGGCAATCTTGGCCGCTGCTGGCGTGTAACCACTCAGCAATGCATTCTCGTAAATTGCAGCAGCTTGGCCCTGGTTCAGCGCCTTGTGGAAAGGCATCCCGTCAGTGAAGCCACGCAGAGCTTCCAGAGCCCCGGCATCGGCAGCGGCTGCTGGAAGGCCCAGCTGAAGGAGCTGCATCGTCGCATTGGCCATGAACATGGACTGCTGCTCTGAGTGCCCTTTCTCCATCGACTTCAACACCGTCTTCACGCAGTGCTGCTTATGGTCTGCATCTACGTCTTCAAGCATTTTACTGCAGATCTCCTCTGCACGTGCTTGGTTTGCACCCATCGGGGCAGCCGCCAGTACAGGTGCAGGCGCTGGTGCCACAGCCGCTAGTGGCACGAGTGGCTGCTGAGGCGGGGACTGCGTTGGTGTCGGGATAATAGCAAGGGGAATCATAGGCATCTGAGGCATCTGCATGGGATACATTGGCATCCAAGGGTTTGCTCCCATCGGCAGAGAAACCATTACCGTCGGCCCTGGTGGACCCGGCGGACCCGGAGGGCCGTCTGGACCATCGGGCCCTGCATCTCCGACCGGCCCAACGTCACCCGGGTCACCCGGTGGCCCGGGAAAGGATGCCCCCACCGGCGACGATGCGAAAACCACCGCAGGAGCCGGAGCTGGTGCCTCAAGCCATAGACAACACAACTTGCAAAACCCAACTGCTTCGTCAGTGTTTTAAAACTATCGTCGGCCAGCCTGAGAAAGGCTCAGCGAGCTTCCACGCAGCTTTCCGGCATCCGCCACATGGTGACTGAAAGAATGCGCCTGGAGCCAGCAGCTCAGGAGCAGTGCCCAGAACAGCTGGGCACCGCACTTCATTGCGTGAGCCCTTTCTGCTAGACTCTAGCTGCATCCACATTTGAGCCCGTTGCCAGCGTGCACATGTTACCTAGCAGGCTCACTCCACCGGAGTTGGAACTCGAAGCAGCTGATAGTCGACATGTGAAAATGCAAGCCCTCCAGGAGCGTCTGGCCATGCGCGCAGCTGCTCCGGCTTGAAGGCACCGCTCCTGCGCATCAACAACCATGAGCTGGAGCTCTTGCTAAAAGGCATTAGAGGAGAAGCCGACGGACATGCCATTCGCATCCCTTTTGCTAATCAGCAGGCCGGATGTGCCACGGGTCACGCAATGTCACGCAACAAGTCGCTGCAGGATCAGTCGAACCTTGCCGGCTCCAAGAATCGCAAGAGAAGCACAGGCGATGAGGCCCACCAAGCATAGGCTGGAGCAGGACAGTGCTGCCAGAACGGCCGTGTCAACAAAGCTCATTTTGGCAAGAAGTGGGTCATTGACATAACGCACGAAGATGTTCTTCACCGGCTCTGATGATCCACCAAATGAGGCCTGCTGTAAACGCACGGCAGCCGCTAGGGTCTCCTCGCTGGGACCCGAGGCCAGATCCCGCAGTAACGGGGGGAGGACGGCTGCCGGCTCAGGTCGGACAAGACCATATCGTGCGGATGGCTTCAGCGCATCATCGCAGTGGAAGTTGCCGCGCCAGCCACAGCAATTGATGCCGTACGCGAACACGTTCACCGGTGTCTGCGGCTTCATGGATGCATCGACGATTGGTGCCAGGCAGATGACTGCACCGTCAGCTGCAGATTGGAATCCAATGGATCTGGAGGCATCAACACCGCTTCCCACGGCAAAGTTCACAATGCCAGCATCCTTGCAAAGATTGGTGAATCTGCAACATGTGAGGCCATGGAAAGGGGAAGAAAACGTGCCACAAAACTTATCAGTGGGTGTTCAAGCGTCAAGAATGCTTTCGGCCGGCTGGGAAGGAACAACGCTCGTATAAGTTGCGGCACCCGCATAGTGGTAGTAGTAGACGGAGCTCGTAAAATAAATCAGACAGCCTGCCATTGGCAAAATGCCACAACGGGCGTAAGATAAGCTCGCAGGAAAACACAGCTTGCGCCTGAGACGAGACCCAAGACCGTAGAGGCCAGCATGAAGCGGCCCAGCCACAGCTGCCACGGCTCCTTGCGATAGAACTTCAAGACCTCAGCTCTCGCCACAGCCAGGAGCCTCGAACTCTGCCCCCATGTGCCTCACTCCTCCTCTCAGCTTCGAGCCCACGTACTCAGCGAGAGGGTGAGCCCGGCAAAGGAATAGACGAGAACCGGGTGCCAGTACAGAAACTTGTTCACCAGGAAGAGCATCGCCTGCTCTCTACACGTCGCGGCGTTTAAAACAAGTACCTCCTCGTCCTTATAGGCTTTGGACGGGTTCTTGTGAGCGCCGCGCCACGAAAGCCAGCTGCGGGCCAGAGACCAAAACAAGCCTTGCAGCTTCTCAACAAGTAAGCCATGCAGCGATCATACGGTGACAGGTACAGTAGCAGTGCCGAGATGGCTCCACAGAAGCACTGCAGCGTCATGACAACACTACTCAGATTTCCAGGATCTCTGCAGCTGGGGAACAATCTCCAGGTGAATGTCTTGGGTGAAATCGAAGCCTGGAACGCCTTCGCGATTTTTTACACAGCTGGCTTTACTGGATCCGTTTACGAGGCTGCATGCGAGCCTGCTGCTTGGATGAAACCGAGACGAACTTGCTGCGTCCCAGTTCTCGGGCTTGCGAGAAACGTGCTTGTCACTTCTCACCGCTTTGACTTAATATAGGGGCCTTAATGCTTACGATGGGCCCCAAAACTTTTGACCCTATTCTAATTGTTAAGGCCGCTATATTATAGTACCCTTATGGATCCCTTGCAGTATCCCTTAAAGGAACCCTAATTCTAGCTGTGAAGGCCCCCCATATTAGCGTTCATCCGAGGCTCTACCAAGGAGCGGCTGCGCCTCCTGCTCACGCGCTTCGAGGTCCATCCCGAAATCCCGAACCTGCACATGCAGAGCTCTTGCTAAGGAGTGTAATTTAAGTTACCATAATAAGGAAACCCAAATATTTGCTATAGATCCCTATTGAAGGTATATAACTAAAGTTTGAATTCCTGAACCAGAACCCAGCATGCTGTTCACTCGGTGCCCAACAGCGTGGTGGTGTATACCCCAGTCCCGGTTCGTAGTTGTTTCATGGTGATTCAGGAAGCCCCTTGAGCCTTAACAAGGGGGTTACCTGATTTTGGTGTCATTCTAATAAGGATCCTACTATTTAGTGTGCTATGCTAAGGGTCCTCTATTTTCGGAAACTCCCATATGTATGTGCGTATGCAAGTAGGGCATGTAGGCATGTATCCACGCACCTGATGCACTGGAATGCACTGCAGTGCCACGCAACGCCTTGGAACGCTATGGAATGTGAATCTAAGCACATATGCATATGTGCATATTTCAGTGGGTATGTCTGTACCCATATGACTATGCATGTGTATGTGTTTTTTTAGGCTCATACATGTCTGCTTATTTGCCTTCTGTTTCTGTTAGAAAGCTGATACAAACAGTGCCCTTCCCCGACATCAGCCTGGCGGCTCTGCCGGTCCAGGGCTTCAATACACAGAAAGGAGCGGCTGGCTTGAGCCGCTGGAAATGGCCAGAAGGTGCATCGACGTTCGAGCGACGACTGTGCATAGAAGCCAGACAAGGAAGTGAGGCTGTGAGGCTTCATCATGAATCACAGGTTTCGGGTTTCGACTCACTGCGTAGCATCTCAAGGACGCAACATAGGCAACGAAGCATCTGACACCGACTGCTCCAAACTACAACACAGAGCACAACAGCACGAGCTGGCCCGTCCAACCACCGCTGCATCTCAGCCTTTTTGCATCAGGCTTCTCTGGCAAACGGTTCTGGCTTCTGCATGAACCTCAGCTGCAACCAAACGCTCAGGAGCTGTCGGATCACTGCCGGAAAACATACATCGGACCCCAGCACGGGGAAGCCACCAGCATGTCGGGTGCCGACGATGGGCTGTTGAGGAAAGCGATCCCGGGCGCAAAGGCGGTCGTCTCACCGTCCTCGATGATGCCATTCTTATTCGTATCGCGGATTAGGGTCATATTGCCATTGTGGGAGCTGGAAGCAATGACGACGCCAGCCTTCGTGTTGATGAGAGGAATACCCTGATTGTCTGGAAGGCAGACTGGGTTCTCAATGCTTCCAAGCAGAGCTCGTCGGGGAAAGCCCTCCTCATCTCCGGCGGCTCCGAGATGGTCCCAGTCTGCCTCGTCCCAACGCCAGATTCCGGCACCAGTAGCCGCATCCAGCGCAATGACGGAATTCTTAAGCCCAGTAATATTCAGCTGACGTCGAACATCTGCACTTGCTAAATAGCCGGCCATCTCGCCCTCGTCGATGATCAAAGGTGGCATGCCAGTGTTTTGGCCAATGGCAGCTACAACCGCCAAGGGCCCTCCCTCGTAGAGATAACCCACTGCTGGAGATTGCGGAGCTTCGTAGGGTTTCTCAAGAGGAACGCGCCAGGCAATTTCACCCGTGGTCATATTGTATGCAGTGATGAACATGTCGAGGTCCGGCGGCATGAAGCTGACAGGCTGCCCATCGGGAAACGAGCCATGAGCAGCGTAAAAAAGACCGTTGGGACCTGCAGTACCACCTCCAGTGCCACACACACCGGCGATTCCGATTTTGTCGGCAGACTTCACCATCAACTGACCGTCCGCAGCAGAGATGCGATGAAAAATGCCGCAGCTGCTGGAAAAGGTTATGCTGTCGCCACCATCTGGAGTGGTTGGGGCCATGTTCCACATGACATCGTCCGCGGTGTATGTCCAAAGTAGGTCACCTGTGGATGCATTCATTGCAAGCACGGAGTCACACCCGCCAGCGGACAAGGAGCGCGCCGAGGCGGGCACGAAGAGCCGGTTTTTTGTCAGCAGGAGAGACGGGCTGTCTGGTCCATAATCGAAGCCTGCGACGGTCTTGTTGATCACCACCTTGCCTGTCTCCATGTCCAGGGCATAGATGCGGCTGTGGCCGTCACCGCACCCCACTCGGAAGTAGACCAAGCCATCACCCAAGACAGGCGAAGTGTGGCCGGGCTCGTCCTGACTGAACAGCCACAGCAGCTTTCCCTCGGGGCTGAACTTTCGCAGTCGCAATGTCCCTGTGACGTAGATGTTCTTCTTGCTGTCGATCAGCGGTGAATGGCGAACTTGCTCGTCGAGCTCATTATTCCATGTCCATGCAGGGTTCGAAAAGTCCTGTGGCATGTCCCACGAGATAGCATTGCTGCCCAGCAAGTCTCCACCACGCTTGGAGTAGAAGTTGCCGAACTCGTCTGTGCCTGGCGTGGCTTTGCTGTTCTCCAGCTTGGAGATCTTCATCTGAACCCAACTGGCTCCAGCATCCTGGGAAGTTGCCAAGCAGTCGTCCTCCACACAGTCGGCCCGACAGCTGCCACTGAGGGCCACGCAGGCCCATGCAAAGGCTTTTCTCATGGATCGCAACACAAAAATGTAGGCTAGCAAGGATCTACGCTAGCACCCACACGGGGAGCTTGGAGCCAAACTGGCTATGCGTTTCGAGCTGCGGCTCAAACAGGGGCTGTGGCAAGGCTTCCACCGTTTCGACTCGCGCACTCGCACTCAGCAGGCTTCCAAGGTTTAGGTTTGGGACATCCTCAGACTCTGTTGTCGCACACACTGCAGTTCTGCATGCCCGGCAGGCCCATGCCTGTATGACACCCAGCTTCTCCGATTTTCGTCTGAAAGGACCGAAATCCAGCCACTGGATCGGCCTAAGCAAAAAATCCCGGACAGGCATCTGTACTCAGTACTCAATACTCTTAAGCTTGCACATTCTGCTACACACTTCCACCGTCTCAGCGCCGAACTGTTAGCCGCAATGGGTCCGATCCTGCCTGCAAACTTCAGCGGTGCCTGCAAAAACGGCACTCCCAGCAGTTGCAAGATCTGTGCTGTTTGTGTTGCAGCGAACCTCCTGCAGGCTCATTTCAGCAGCTGGCGAGGGCTGACGGGTTCGAGAGCTTGGAGGGCTCCTGTTCTCAAGTTGCCAGTGCACAGCGCCAAGTGGGGAAGCGAGTACACTGGCTGTCAGGAAAAATACAATCAAAGCTCGCACAAGTGGGCTTTCTTTCCCGGGCAAACCAGGAGCAAGAACGGGAGCAGACAGCAGACTCCATGGGCATGATCTTGAGTCTTGATTGATTCTTCATGGTTTCGCACATGCTTCTGGGTCGGCACATGACATCTGCAGACTTGGCGAACATCACTCAGGTTGGTAAGCGCTATGTGCGGGAGGCTTACAAGGCTTACGCGTCTTACTTACATAGTAGCTCCTTGCCGTTGATGGCCTCCTGCTGCCAGCTGCACCTGACATGTGTCTCACCACTCTTCCAGTCCTTTTGCGACTCAGCAGTGGCAACGAAAAAGGCAAAGTACGAATCGAACCACGGTCGCTGCACTTCGACCGCGGGTAGTCCCTGCTGATCCAGCTCCAGCTGGAGTGCTTCTGTGCCTCCAAAGCAGCCAAATCTGAAAAACTTGGTACTTAATTAACAATCGGGCTTCGATCGCTTCTCGAGTCTGCTGGCCTTGGCCGTGAAGTTCGCTTCATGGCTTTAGCTCTGCTGCCGGACCGCTCACGTCGCCTCACGGTTGCCAGAAGTGCAGCGTGGTGCTTTTCCAAGCCCTCTCGCTTCTTCGCAACTGACATGGCGCACGCACGCAACACGCATGTGCCTGCTCCGCGTCCGGTCTGGACGAGGCTTGGCGTCTGCGTCCTTCTTGCGAGACCTCGAGCGCTCGCGGCCTGGCATCCAACACCAGGCTCTGTTTTGGATGTGTCAGGGCCTCCTTCCGCCTTGTTGCCGTCCACTCACAGAAGACATGCTCCCGGAAGCCGCGTGCAGATGACATTCTGTAGCTCTTGCCCCTGTGGCTCTCCCCACTTTTTCTCGCAGATACGCACGGCTAGAAGCTAGCCGTTTGTCCTACCACATGGCCCCTGTAAATTGAAAACTACGAAGGCCCTGCGGACAAGGTGGGGTCAGCAGTCAGCGACGTCTCCGTCGCTTTCGCGGGTCGCGCCCAAAAACTGCAAAGCACGCCCAAATGCAACATCCGCAGGCTGCACCACTCGCCGTGGCAATGCCCAATGGATGGCTAACAATGATTGTTTTTACTGCCGGCTGTGTGAAACCTAAGTAAGCCCACAAACCATACATCCCTTTCTCTGGGACGGTGACGACGATGTGCTTCGTGGTGACCAGGCCAACCGCTGCAGAGGTGGCTGCAGCCCCAGAGACTGATGTCAAAAGTGCCACATGGGTTGTCGCTCGTCGAACCTGGTAGCTGCCACCGTGGCCGTGCAGACAGTCGTTGGCAAAGGTCTCGCAGTTGTAGAAAACAAGGCTATACTTGCGACCTTCCGTGACAGCTGCCTCGGCCCTTGACAAGCAGCTCGCTGAGTCACAAGGCCTCTCGTAGAGCTCATAGTGTCGAAGCTGCGTGTCAGAAAGAGTTTTTTGCACTACTCCACCGGCCCTGAAAGAGTTCTCAATTATCACATGTCCGTCAACATCTCTGGCTTTGTAGATCACGTGGTGATCGTACAGCTTTCCTGAGAACCTCCCTCCTTTCTTCCACAAGTGATCCCCCGGCAAAACCAAACTCGTTTGTGCGGCCGGGTGGGGTGCACCTCTGCACAAAGGCGCCGCAGACATGACATGTAAACTCTGTCTGGTCTGTCTGATGTGGCAGCTCAACCTTTGTTCATATCTCATCTTGCAAGAAGAAGTGCTTGTGTCAAAAGCCCTGAGGTGCTCTGGAAGTTGAACAGGGCCGAATTTCCGCGGCGGAGCGAAGCAAACATGCGAGCTGAAAGCAGCCAGGCACCACTGTATTCTAAATAGTATTATATCGCATTAGTATTATAGTAACCGAATACAATACTATCATCGTATGCCTAGGGCCGGGCCTCGCCTTTCTCCCGATCACCATGAGATGCCTCTCCTCGACGCTCCCCTCGCAACCTGCAAGCTACCGGCTCCCGTGGCACACGGCTGCATCGCCACGCTTCTTGCCTGGCCTTGCAGCCTTCTGCTTCTCCAGAAAACTCCTCGAGCATAAGGACAGTGTGCAGCTACCAGGTGTGGCCAGCGTGTGTCTCCGTCTGGTTCTCAGTGCTTGACGCGGCTTTCGCAACCGCTGCGCTGAGATCAAGCTCTGACCTCAGTTCGCTTGCCCCGCCAACCGCTGTGCCGCTGTGCCGACAGAAATCTCACTTTCAGAGGTGCAAACGATTCTGGCTTGCCACCTGCACTGTGACCTTGGAAACCAGGCATATGCGTGCACAACTCCTGGAAACCCTACAGTCCTCAGGTAATCCAAACGATAAGAGGCCGACCAGTCGCATGCGAAGAATCCGGCTGAGCATCCCCCTGCAGGACATTGCCAAGAAGGATGGCAGAATCGAGCTGCTTACAGAGAATGAATGGGTTGATTGAGTAATCAATAGAGCTGACCCTGCCAAATGGAGAGCCGACCCGGCAAACTGTTCGGGCCCTTACTAGTCATATGGGCCGCCACAGCCCGTTTCAGCAACTGGCTGTTCGCAGTCCGTCGGGTGAAGCCTTCCGTAACGAACATTTGGGGTGTGCCTTGCGGCGTTTGGGCCCCGAGTCACTGAACATCACTGAACAGTAAACCGACAAATCGCAAGAAGTAGCACGTCATTTCTCCACGAAGCCATTCAAGCTGAGCGCTTGCACTCGGTTGTCGAAGTGCGGGGTGGGGGGGGATTCCGGGGACGGTAGAGCCAGGAAGGAGACATGTAATACTTAATACTATAATAAATAGTATAGTACTATACTACTAACATACGGTAAGACTATAGTATTATAATAAATTACTATAATACTAATAGGATAATACTACTAGTATATAAAATACAGTGGTGCCTGCGTCAAGCCAGTGAGGCCCGAGGCTCCGAGGCGCAGGAGCTGCTGCAAGGACCTCGGCACGGGCCCCCGGGGCCGAACTTTCTGATCGCCCTGGGGCCACGTTTTAAGACTTAGCAACTGGGTTATACTTAAGGTAACTATACTACTATACTTATAATTACTTATAACCCCAATTAAGGTACTTAGGTCCCGGACATAGCAGAGGCATGAGTCAAAATGAGGCACCTTGCCTTGCGCCCCCTTCTCACCGTTGCAGCAGCCTTTGCTGCCTTTGAGCCGATAAAGAGCCCAAGCCGCGAAGTGCGTCAAGAGCTCCAAATTGAGCGGGCCTACCTCTGTATGCTCATGGTGCCATTTTTTGTTGCCCCGTCTGGAGTCGCGTGGGTCTGACAAAGTCTGACAGCATGATGCTGCAGGCCGCTAGGAAAATGGCCTGAACACGAGCTTTGTATAGCTTTGTGCTACCCAGTATGGGTGAAGTTTGCACTGTTGCACTGTAAGCTTCCCAGAACTCTAGTGTCACAGCAAGTTCAACGAAAAAGAACCCAGTGCTGATTCCAAAGACTCTAGGGCTCTAAGGCATCAGCTCACTTCCAAATCTCTTGGTGGCCTGTTTGTTTGAGGTGGAGCCCAGCAAGGAGGAAGCTGCGTTCTGCCATCACGAAATGACTCCTCCTACGAGTGTTTTGCAAGCCGTGCTTTCCAAAAGTTTCCGTATCCGCTGTGTTTACGATGCTCATGGATTTACCAATGCCTTCACTGTGTCGCAAAACACGTGCAAGCAGCCAGGCACCTGTGACACCGACAGTGTGTGCAGCGAAGTGCAAGCGACCAACGGCACAGAGGCACCTAGTAGCCCTGAACGGCTTGAGTGGTTCTGTCCGGAAACGCTTCGTCCATCCTGGGCCGGCACATCGGTTCTCGTGGTGACTTGGATTGGGCCGGTTTCCTACGTAAGCTCACAACGCGCGATCTGCCCAATACCGGATCGTGTCGTCCACTTGGATGAGATCGAGCTCCTCTTTGGTCAGGGCAGGCGGCAAGAAGAGCAGCTACCCAGTACTGCTTTTCACCTCAGCTAGTCAAGTCTTGCATGGGATGGCAAAACCTAGGCCTCTACCCCTGTCGCCTACACAGCCATGCCTCGCCCATCCGAGCCTGCTTGAAAACAGTCTTGACGGAAATCAGAATCTCACGCTCAGCACGTCGAAGGCCGGCCTCGGAACTGTGTCCACATTTGTGAGTGAGTGTGTGAGGGTGTGCGCTCACGCAAGTGTCGGTCGGTCGGTCGACGGCCATTGCACACATCTCCTCAACGTGGAATGTAACACGTCCAGCTTCAAGCAAGCCAAGGTGGCACAGAGACCGAACGGCGACCACATGCAATATCGCCCCAGTGTTTTTGCAATCCACCTTCGTCATGATGGATGCCAGGCAAGATTTCATGCCTGCACGTGGTGGCTCCATGTCCCAACCGGGGACCTAAGAGGGCGGGGCTGGTCAGCTCATGTCAACGAGCCTCCCACATGGTTCAACGGCTAGGGCTGTCTGAGACTTCTGGCCCTAAACGATTCAGTTGCATGTGCGTTGCACACGACCTCCTTCTTTGCTAAGGTAGGCCGGCGCGGTATGGTACAAATCAGGATTTGCATTGCAGGAATGCTGCAAGGCTCTGCATCCTTGTTGCAGCCTCATCTGCGCCCCAGAGTCATAGTCCCATGCTGTACTTGCTGTGGGGTCTGGTAAGTCCATCGAAAATCCCTCATGTCCGGATGGCCTAAAGCCGTGGACTGGGATGGCGTAACTGCACGGTGTGTGTGCGGCGCATGGAGCATGTATGGGACACAGGGAGCCTGGGCCATGGCAGGGACGCCGGGCGCGGCGTGCGCCCAGCGCACCGGGGGAGGACTGCCTCCCATGGAGGCCAAGACCGCCTGCGGTACAGAGGGCTGCGGCACTGCTTGCGGCGCTCTGGCCGAGCAAGGCTCAGGTCCACGTGGTGAGGGCACGGCAAAAGAGCAACCCACGGGGAGCGACAGAGTCTTTGCTTGGTTTTCTGCCCTTGCTGACTGGGGTGGCGAAACGCTTGCAGCCACATCACTCAGGTGACCCAACCGCAGCTGAGGTATCAAAACATTGCCCGCCTGCCCTCTAACTTCTCGTCCTGCCGGCACACTTGATGATGCAGCTACAATGGGGGCTGCTGGAATTCCGCACAACCTTGCACCTGATGCACCCTGTGTGCTCAGTGCCTGCTTCTGCCTTTGAAGTTGCATGACTTCGGCCATCAGCGCATCCTTTTGCTGCTGTAGCTCGCTCGTTTCGACGCGAAGCCGATCGTTCCGGACTGACTGCGCCTCGGGAAACTCGTAGCGTGGCAAGGTCTCCACTTTGGCTTGCAAGCTGCTGATCAGGCTTTCCAGCTGCGACAATCGATGTGCATCCACTTTGTGGAGACCAGCTGCATCATCCAAGCTGACCTGTTCGCCGTGGTAAGTCTGCAAGTCTCGCTGCTGCAAGGCACTGTGCATGCCCTGGACTTTGTCGCAAAGGCGCTCCACGATCCTGCTCTCGATGCCCTGGTGGTGCATTGGAACTGTGGTAGCCGCACTTGCGGTGTCGGCTGAGCCTTCACCCTCATCAGATTGGGAAGTCGCTGGATGTTGAGCATAAGAATACGCGTCCGAAGCGCGTTTACGCTCATCATCAGGCTGTGATGCAATCTTGCTGATCTCGTCACTTAGTTGCTGAAGAATCTGTTCAAGTCGATTCTTGGAGCTGGGTGCGGCTCTTTGCGCCAGCAGGGCAAAATCCAGTCCGAGCAAATTCTTGCCGACTTCAACAGGCGCACTCACATCCTTTGCTTGTGTGAGTTTGCTTGTTGGGCTTGCCTTCCGCCCACGGCTGGCAGCAGCACCGTCAGCGCGAGCATGTGCCTTTGCACGACTTGGCAGGGAGGTCCGCCTGCCTAACCCCGACTTGGCTGCCTCTTCGATGTGCTGCAGGTTTGCTGTGCTGACAGGCACCTCATGAGCCTTCTTCATGGATAGCAAGCTTGATGCCCCTGGCGTTTCTGCCTGTCGGATGCCTGCTGGCCTCTCTCGCCCGACTGTTTCCCTGGTCTTTGGGGAAGTTCCATAGCCCGCTCGTCTGTTGCTGCTGGCAGATGCATAGCTCCCAGACATGGCGGCAGGGACACAACTCACGACATAGCGCAATGGGCCATGGGCTTGATCCCCGGATGGCTTCACAGTGGATAGAGCACAGGGGAAACACAATTGAACCTCACAACACAGTGGCTATCGGTCTCGATCTTACGATACTGACTAGCGACAAGTGCCTCTTCAGCCCATTTTTTGTATGGCCGACACAACCCTGCCGAATCCCAATTGCAATGTGCTTGCAACTCCTAACGCAGTTGCAGTTTCCATTGCAAGCCGTGTTCGACGGGTTGCTCTAATTGATAAGTTTGCATCCACGACAGTCTGCATGACTCCACCATCCCGCAACATGCATAGTTTTCCAAGCACCTTAAGTACTGATCCTTGGTGCAACGTCTGCGCAATGCCCCCCCCGGCACCACCACTCTCGCTCGCCCAAATATCAAACACGAAAGGATACATAGACGTAGGGATAAAGAATAAAGATTGGCTAGGACAAATTAAAAAGAAGGTGGACTGCATTGGCATCAAAGATAGATAAGACAACACTGGGAACTTGCGCAGACTGGACTTTGAAATCGATAGCCGGCGACTCGATAACTGAGGTAGCCCCGCCAGCCTGGCTCGAGTCGGAGACGAAAATGGCACTGCAAAGCCGGACATTCGAGTGGTATATGCGAGATTATGCGAGAGCACGGCCTGCGCCCTCAACAAGGCGTGTGTTGATGCTCTCTCTCCAAGTCCGAGTCGAAACTGAGCTCAAGGCCGCAGCCTTCGCGAGGCTACTTGCTGGAATGGAGTCAGGATCAGCTTCTTCGGCTTCCTGTGACCGAGCAGTACTATTGCTAGGTGCTGCTAGACATTCCCGGGTGCTACTTCTGAAATACGGAAAGAAGACAATGCAGCAGCAACAACAACAACAACAGGACCACCAGCAGCAGCAGCAAGAACAAGAACAAGAACAAGCGAGGCAGATTGAAAAAACAGGCTTTGCATGGGCAGCACTGTGTTTTCTGCCTTCATCAACGCATCCTCTTGTTTCTTGCTAGATGTTCAAGGCACCCTTAATCTTTGATTGCGGTGCCCAGCGGCTCAGAAGCCAGCAACGACAAGCTATGAAAAGGTACTCCCTGTGGCCTGTGTCGAGCACCCAGCGCGGGTGCGGCCAAGGCAAGCAGAGCCCGCTTCACGGAGACTTCGGGACCCGGAGAAGCTCAGCGACGTTCCGGGCCAATACTATGCCAGAAGCTACATCTACGCAGAGTCGAGATGGGTGCTTTGCCATCTCAATTCGCCTTCAAAAGCCAGGCATGCTGCAGAACTTCCTCTGCTTCTGGCCTTTTCTTTGCATCTCCAGCCAGAAGGCACGTAATAAGATCCTCAGTACGCAGCACGGCAAACTTTGCCTTGACAATGCTCATGATGCCGTAATCTGAGATTCAAACCTGCACTTCGGTCGAAAGCCTCGGGAAAACACTGCCGCTACGAGCAAAGTGCACATGCTGCGGCAAGCCTGGCAGCAAATCCTGCAGGCAAAGGGCGCTGAAAATCCGGCAGGCTTGTAGAAGCGACCTTGTTGGCGAGTTTGGATGCCCGCCGTCGTCTGAGAGTCATCGTGGAAGGGCGGGCACTGCATGAGCATCAAGTAGAGCGTACAACCAACACGCCACATGTCCGTTGCAAAGGTTGGGAATACGTTTTTGGCAGCGCCGAGTTCTGGCGGCATGTAGCGGTCTTGCACTATGCATGCCCTCGTCTCCGACTCTTCGTGCACAAACTCACGGAAGCAGGAACAGCCGAAGTCGATCAACTTCCTCGGTTTCTAAGCTGTGCAAGGACATGCCTCTGTAGCTTCTGGCGTATCCCAAAATTGAAATCCTTCCATAACTGAGCTTTCGACAGGTGAGCGGTCCCTTCCTCGATGTTGCCAAGAACCATGGCATTCTCGGGCTTGACATCACAGTGTATGACGTCGTGTGCATGCAGATGCTGAAGTCCTTGCACCAGGTCCCGAAACAGTGGGCGTGCTTGGTCTTCCGTCAACTTCTGCGCACAAATAATGTCGAAGAGATCTTTGCCTGCAAAGGGCTGACATAAGTGCGCCTCCTTAAATCCCACATGTTGAATGCCATCTTACAACAAAAACACCACACAGTTCAGAGAGGTGTTCGGGTTTTGCCCATGCCTGCCAGGAGCTCCATGAGTACGAAGATGGTCGTCTCTGACTCGATCACGCGCTCGTAGCTCACAATCCGAGGATGCTTGCCGACCTGGAGACGATGTGCATAGAGGTCATGGAGAATGGAGCGCCTTTGTCTCAGATTGCCCATGGTGTACATCTTCAAAGCGAACTCTTCTCCGGTCTCCAGCTCTTTACATCGGTATGCAGAGTCACGTCCTTCTCCGATCTTTTGGTTCTTGGACGTTTCGAAGAGGAGCAGCTTGCCATTATCGATGGTCCCGAAAGTAATCGTATCCTTAGTAGCGACAGGAACGGTGCGAACCCCAATGTGATACAGTGGAACATGGCCTTCTGCGGGGAAGCCGCAAGACTAAAACCCACACTGGACGTCTGGCAGAAGCCTTGCTGCGCACCATCCTTGTCAAACCGCATCCTTCCGCTCCCACTGAAAGCATCAAGACCTCAAGGGCAGGCAGATCTTGAGGCAACATGCGACATGCCATTATTACATCAACGTTGAAGTTCCGGCACGCCTTTGATGCAGTTCATCATGCTGGCCATTTTCGACTTGACATTGCTGGTTTGCTTCATAGCCTGCAGAGCTAAGCATCAGCACAAGCCGCGTAAGCGAAGACGGAGGCTCAAATCGCGGCCTCCTTGGCGGCTTCTTGCCACTGATGCACTTCTGTCTGAAGCTGGTCAGTGGTCACCTTCTGCTTTTGCATGACCACATCTAGGCGCGAGGAAAGGCCTCAGACTTGACAACACAACAAGTGACTGAACTGAAAAGGTGTGATGCAGCCCAGGATCGTACTCGCTCCTCGCTTTTGTCGCTTGCAGTCCCAAGCTCCTGTAGACTGTTCTCCAATCTGGTACGCTCTTTCGACAGTGTGGACAGCTGGCCGTCCAACTTCTGGCATTTGCTTTCCATACGGTGGAACTGGATAGCTCCCCGGAAAGAGCTTTGAAGCCAGCGCTTCTCCATGGCATTTGACTGACCGACCATGTAGTACAGACCAGTGCCAGCAACTGCACACAGAAATACATCGAAAAGCCAGCTGTATCCGGATGCCGCCGCCTCGTGAATCCTTTGGGAGACGGCAGGCAGGCCCGAAACGATTCGAAGGATCTGTGTCAGTTCCACACCGTCAAAGCCGTCACCTTCGTCGTCCACTCGACCAAACAATCGCATTACTTGGTCCTCGCACGAAGATCTGCAACACTTGCAGGGTTAAAGTTGCGGCTTCAGTCAGTATGCAACGACAGGACGCCTGGCACACTGGCCCGCATTTACCAAATCTGTAACACTGGAAATCGAAAGCCCTTACGTGGTGCTTTCGATTGGTTTCGTGCGAGGAGACGAGCTGACGAACGCGCGTTTCCATGCCAACGCACTGCAGGGCTGCAAGCAACGCTTTGAAGAAGCGATGGGGGGAGTGCAGGCAAGGATGAGGGCGAGGTACTTATTTAGGCCAGAGGTTGTGCTGCAGCTTGTGCTACTCATTGCTGCTCACCTGACAGCATCAGAATCGACCCAATCCTGGCCGACGTCCACCCCGTTGGCTTGTAGAAGCGCGGCCAGCTCCTGCCAAGCTGCACAGAAGCCACGACATGGATGCACATATTCCGAACACGTCCTTCGAGGAAAGATGCTGATCTTGCCCGACATCGAAAGCTGCAATGAGGTCTGTTGTTCGTCGGCGTTCTTGTACCTGGACCAAGAATAACTCAGAAAGCGGTCCTAGAGCTCGCAAATCATGCAGATCTGTGGGGTGAAAGATGTACGGAACAGACATAGAACCCAGAAACCCGCCTGATGCCACGCCGCTCCAGCAACACATGCCCCAAAAACCGCAAATGCTGCGACATTTCGTGGTTTCTTGACTTCCCGAGCCACCTCACGGGACGAGCTTCCTGCGACTGGACCGGCCAAAGCGCAGCTCGATAAGCCATCTAAGATCCTGGCATTTTTCGATATACCTCTTCTCGACGGCGACACCGGCTCCTCTGTTGTTGCACTTTGCCGGCAAAGCGTCGCAAATGGCCCCCTTTTCTTCAGAGGCGACGTCGGGCTCGAATCTGTTGCCCCCTTCTCCATGTCTAAGCACAAGGGCCACGGCTCCCATCGCTGATCTCGAGAGAAACCAGCTTCAGGCAGTTAGGTCACGTCTGTGAGCCCTGTCACCACGTGGACATTCTGTGCATGAAAGCTAAGTAAGCGAAATATCGGACTGTTTTTAAGCAGGGCTCTACAGCTTTATCGGAATTCTCAACCTTTCTGCACACCCGGCCTCCGCCCCGTCAAACCGCTCCAACCAGCGATTGCACTCGTCGATGGCGGTTTGGCAGACAGCGATCTGCAATGTGCAAGCTCCAGAAGTTGCGTCAGTGAACTTTCCCAGTGCTGTTGTATTGTTTCGGGTTTCTTGTACAGTGCACCAACGCATGCCAAAATCGTGGTCAAACTGAACTTGGAAAAAAGCTCGGCCCCTCATCGCAGACGTGTTCAGCACCCTCCAACCCAGAAAGCGGCTGCAAACGCAGATGGGGGACTAGCATGCGGAGCGTGCTGAGCAAGGCTTGCTCTGTTTGCCATGCCTCGTTGTCCCGGGAGATGCGAAAGTTGCAGTTATACCAGAAACGGTTCACATAGACCTCAGTGGAACCACAGCAACAATAGCCTCAATGGCCTGGCATGTTCAACTGCACTCCTCGTCTGCCAGCGTTTGTGTTGTATTAATTAGTATGTATTAGTTATTGGTCCCAAACGCACCCATGTGACACACGACACATGCGAAACAAGCTAGGCGGCGTGCAGCATCCAGTAGAAAGGAGTCCGTACCACTGCAGCACTTAAAGCGGAGCAAGTGGACCATCTGGCACAAGAGCTTTTAATGGGGATCTGGATTTCACCCGAAGCCCGATGCCTTCTCAAGCTCGGACTTGGAATCCCAGTCCTCCGACTCTCGTGGCGACAGGATTCCTGCATTGAACAGGGGAGATCTGCCCTGCTGACAAGCTGAGTCAGTCAGAGCCAGGTCCTTCGCTCAAGCTGAAGACAAAGGACATGGGGGCTGTTGTCAGCCCCAAATCCTCTTCAGCTTTGTATCTTCTTAGAAGGAATCGCAGCACAAATCTTGGTGGCTTGATCGCCCTGTGATGCCCTGTGCAGCGTCACGGCTCGGACGACGTCGCTCCTCGAGGCAGCTCTCCTTGACGCCACCGAAGTCGTCCTGAGCAGGAACAGCTCCCTTTTGACCCCAGCCCGGCCCAAGCTTCCATGCTTTCCTCGTCTTCATCCACTGGCGCAAAGCAGAGCCGCGCCGCAGACTGACAAACGCCAAGGAGACGAGAAGCGCAAGCGCGGAGGTGTTAGAAACTGGAAGATCTGTAGCACCGCCTCGGCCAGATCACCCTGCAGCCACTGGGGCCTCGAAGTGGAAACTGGCCCCCTTTTGAACCCATCGTCGCAGAAGCCCAAGCGCCGCGCACGAAGCCGAAGCGCTCCAGGAAGCCTCCGCCATGCGGCTGCGGCCTTTGCTCTTCCCCGCTCCCGACCGGTCAGGTCTGCAGCGGGCTACCAGTAGGGGAAGGGCAAGTAGGCTGCCGTCAGCTCCGTTCCAACCTCCCGGGACAGGAAATTCACAGGGGACGAAAAGGAGCTGGAGCTGTCGGAGCCTCAATGTCCTCGATGGCCACAACGTTGATGCCCATCTGAGATCATGTGAGAAATGCCACTGGGCCCACTCCATCCACAACTTTCAGAACTAAGCAAATTCCAAATTCCAAAGATGAGGGTGCAGGCAGAGCCCTTGAGCTGTGGCACTGTAATCTAAAGTATCCTCGAACGAGCTCATCCGTATCTCCAACAGAACTCGTGGCTCGCGTTCTGAGGTCTGGTTGAACCATCTGGCGCCCGCAAGCATAAGCTGCGGAAAAGTCCCCGCCGGATCCTGGCCACCAAGGCACGAAGCGCTCGGGCCCAGAGCCACCGAGGCCCATTACAGCACCCTCCTGTCGCAAACGCAGCACTTCTCCGGACTCCTCCTTCGGTCCTATGGCATGCAGGTTCCCATGGCCTTCGCATAGTAAGGCTTCAGCTGCACCACCGGCTCCTCCGCTGCCTGCGTGAAAAGGACGACATGAAGGCAGAGACGCGCTCAGTCCAGGTTTCTGCATGCCTGCAGAAGATCAGCGCCAAGGATCAAGAGAGGCCTGCACGTAAGGTGCGAAAATGAAGCGAGCGAAAAGAATCTAAATCTCCCAAAGTCTCCCGGTTCTACGACCTTCCGTCGCGATCTTCGCAAAGAGATCTCGACCTCAGAGCCCCAGCAAAGATTCGTCGGCGCAAGCTGCACAGCATAGTGGCTCCGGCATGGCCAATGCTAGGGAGTCCGTCCACTCCTAGCACAGGAAGGTCTCCGGCTGCAGCTCGGTTAAGTCCGCACCCAAGCCTCGAGGGTTGTGCTTCCCTGCAACTGCTCCATGTCGTCTCTAACCTGCAGAGCAATTGTTGACATTGGCCTAGTATTGACGCTTGCATCCAGCACCTGCAAAGCCGTGCCGGACATCTGGCCACCGCAAGTCGTGCAACTCCTCCAGGTGTTCGGACGTTTGAGACTCTGCCCACTAAGCCAGCCGGGCGGGGGAACATGGTGTCGAAGGGCGGTCCAGAGATACTTCGCCAGCTGTGGATCTGACAGCAGCAATTTCAGCCTTAAATTGCCGACAATTGGCTGACAACTGCTGGAGATGTCTTTGGGCCGAGAGGCCATGTAATCCAACACATATTGAAAGAACCCAGATCGCATAGCTGCGGCCACGGCGGATGGGTGTCAGGAGCGCTGACCCCGCTGTTGATCCAGTCCTTCCAAGCACTCGGCCTGGTGCGCCAGGGGCAGAATGCTGATTGCAGCTGCTATATACACATGTATATCTGTATATCTATGCATATGTATATGTTTGTTCACTTGTGCATTTTTGCAACTAGTTACCATATTCTATGCTTGCGCCGCACAACGAAAGGAGGCACGGCAGACCGTTTTGGTTGGAGTCGCCGGCGTCATTATCTGACACGCGTGTCTGCGTTGTGGTGTAGTGTGGTGAGACTTCCATATGTTACACCGACACTTTGTCGGCATTTGGCACACCAGGCTCAAGGCTCAACAGACATCCCAACAGCTCCCCAAAACATCTGCTTCTTTCAACTAATTTCAATTATGTCAAGCCTTGTGGGCAACAGAGGCAGTTAGCTCCGAAAGCTTCTGAATCGCTTCCGAGCGCTCTGGAGGCGAGGTCCCGCTCCGCAGCTGCTCAAAGTCAAGCAGATTCTGGACCTGTCCACGAAATTTCTCCCAATTGGGAATCGGCTTCAGGTCTATTGAATCTAACGGAGGAGTCTCGAGAAAATCGCCCGATTCCTACAAATGCAGCCAAGCTACGGCAGCAAAAAACCTGTCTGGATGCAGCACTTGCGCACTGCGGGAGAAGGTGACTGGTACGAAAGCCAAGCTGGACGAATCTGACTATGAATCTGAAGATACTCCGGAGCTATTTGCTCCGGACTGGACCCGCTTGCTGCAAAGCAACGGACTGGAAGCTTCTTGGAGCACAGCACCCCTTGGATGCAGGGGACTTTCGCCCAAAAAGGCAAGCCACAAGCGCAACCCTGTAGACAGCACTTCACGACGCTCAGTCTTTTCGAGGAGCGTCTTGGGTGACGACCTCTGTGCTGAAGCGGCCTGCAACGACCGATCAGAGGGGTGCTGTGCTGAAGCTTGGGCCATGGCCACTCTCTTGGGTATGCTCAAGTGAAGCTCTGATGCAATGACATCTGGGGTGCAGGCTCTAGGTCTGGAGTCTGTGCGGGACATGGGCAGCCATGTGGACTTGCATGAGTGGGTCGGGCTCTTGCTTGGAGACGACAGACCCGCTGAATGCCTTGGCGCCCAGGAAGCCTCTCGCCTTCGATTCTCCGCAGTGAAGTGGAACACCATGCGACGCCGGTAAGTCAGCGACCCGCCCAAAACTGCGACGCAGTCTTCCAGCTGCCTGGCCGCCGCCGCCTGAGGCGGATGCCGATCGAACGGCGTTATGACGGGTGCGATCACACTCGCATCGGCAATCGGAAGCAGCGTGCAGCCAGAGTTGCTAGCTCAGCGCGGACCGCGAGAGCCGGGCGCTTGGAAGGCGAGGCGGGCCGAGTGCCCCGATCCGCCAGCGGTGCCACGGCATGCACGTCTCTGGCCTGGCAGAGCACCTGAAGGACTTCAATGAGCAAGCGCTGCTTCCAAAGACAGACATAGACAGACTGACCTGCCTAAGGACTTTTTAAGAACTGCCAGGACCCCGCTGGCCTGCAGCGCTGCCAACTCAAGTCGCATCTCTTCCCGCTCCAGTCTCGCCTGATCCCTCTCCAGAAGTGCCCGGTCTAAGGCTCCGGGCTCGGGCAGCCTCTGATCCACGGGGCTGCCTGAATGTGAGAACGGGGGGCCTGTGGAGTCGCTGCAATTGTCTACACGGTTGCCGCAGAACCGCGAAGCTTCCAGGCACCACTCCTGCTCTATCTGCAGCTGCTGCTCCAGCCGCTTTATCTTCGCTTGGCTGAATGCCCGGTACTGCTGTGACTCAGCCAGCTCTGACCGCAGCTCGGCAACTTCCGCCTCCAGTCGTGAGCACTGGGACTGGGCATCACCGCCCCGGCGGCTTGTGGACATCGTCCAGGCTTCGAAACATGCCCTCGCCACTGCCACGGCAAAGTCATCCCAGAGCAATCTGCTCGCCCCCACCCGCAATACTTCGGCAGGCATGGCAACGACATTCGGAGAGGAAGAGCAATGCTGCCTAAACAATGAAACTAGGACTGCTGGCAGCGTTAAGCAGTCATGGCGAAATTCCTGCACAGTGACGCTCCCGTGGTATCGCTTGGTCATATTCTCAGAGATATGACTGTGCCACAACCGCGAATCCGAAGAAGAAATTGACAACTTCACCGCCAATCGGAATCGGCATGCCCGAACGTCTTCGTCGACAGGCTACGGACCATCGCTTCATTTTGAGGCCGGGGCTTCTCCGAACGAGACGCTTTCAGCACCTGCACTAAGGAAAGCCGATCAAGGGAGGACAGGAAATCCTCGGGCTTTGGGCCTGGAAGGCCAGTGCTGCGAAGTCTCCCCCTTCAAGCTTGTCAGACAATGCCTCAGTCTGCGTCTGACGGGCAGCCGACGAGCCGAGCTTGGAAGCTTGGCTTCCAGCCTGGTCTACCTGCATGATCGCCGCCTTGTCTAAGCGGAGCGCGCAGATTTCGTCGCCCTCGCTGAACCTCCCAAGACACGGCTTGCAACCGAGGACTGGTACCAGTATGACATGCCAGAAGCAGCTGAGGTATGGGCGACCTGGTTGCAAAGAGTCCAAGTCCTTCGCCGGCCCTGCTTTCTCCAACCTCAGCCACCTGCCACTGCACTCGGCAGGCTGCAGAAGCATGCAGATTTGATTTGACACGGTCGGGGACAGCAAGACTGAGAATTGATAAGTGCGACGTTTATCCACAGTGAACATCCACCCAACGAAAGACCTGCGAAAGAAGAACAACGATGCAGTCGACTTATCTACGCCAAGAGACTGTTCACAACTCTATGCCAAAAACCCTAAGATTGTATTGTAACATAACTCTCGCTTAATGATAATTATGATGGCGATGATGATGATGATGATGATGCTGAAGATGAAGAAGAAGATGATGATGATGATGATGATGATTTTGCTGATTTTGCTGGAACCCATCGTGACGACAACAACGGCGGTCGTGCTAGGTGCAGGGTGAAGCCTGCAACCACATGACATCCTACAATGAATATGCAGGTACTTGATCCTGAACCTCAACCTCACAGAAAAAGCCGCCACTGACGTGGACGGATTCCACGAACTGGGCCGGAGTCACCGCGGCCAGGTCCGGACAGGCTCTAGCCATCAAGGTGGCCTCGGCCAGGCTATAAATGCTATAATTACAACTATCATTTGCTATTATTACTATGATTACCCATATTTCTGCCATTACTATAAATTACTACGACGCTACTGCGATTATTACAGTTATTGCTCTTATTGCTATGTGGCGCAGGGCGAACTCACCGAGGTCAGATCCATAGAGTCTGCCGTGGCGGCTCTTCGCAACACCACTGACCTGAGAGCCGCGAATTCGAAGCCCGTACGGGAGGAGCCATAGTTACAATCGTCATAATAGTCATACTAGTAAGAATAGTAATGATAGTACTAATTGTACGACTAGCAATAATAATAGTAGTAATAATAGTAATAATAGCAAAAATCGTAGCAATAATGGCACCGAGAACCGTCCCCACCTTCTTCTCGCCACCCGCCTGCGTCCTGCGACAGGGCCAGAGAAACTCTGCGAACTATGTGCTTTGCACACCTCTCTGCTCTGCTGTATTTCCGTGATGATTCTATACGGCCAATCTCTTCATGCATTCGGAACATAAAGACCCACAGCTCTGGAATGCTCTCCTGCACGAATTGCGCAGGCAACAGAGGCCGCAAGCGGGGCCATCCATGCGTGGCTGCTCCCCCTGCGATGCACCGCACGGAACTCTCGTCAATGCAGGACGTCCGTGTCTTGACGCAGCTATTGCACCGGCCTTGTTCGCTGCAAGTCGTCTGAAGCATGAGCACTCACTCTGGCATAGGCCTCTTCATGCACCGCACAAGGATAAATGTCGCGCTGCCGACAGTCAGGCAAAGTCGGCTCTCTGGAAAAACTGCTTATGTGCGCAGGTCAGTATGTTTAGGCTACACTACCGGACGTCCAAGAGCTTGCTGGAAGCACAGGCTCCTGACACAATGCTGTATCTACGTGCTTCGGACTTTGGCCTGAGGTGAAGATTCAGACGGTGGAGCAGGGACGGCTCTGGCAGCAAGCTGCGGGACCTTCTTCGTCATGGCAGAAGGATCCATTCAAAAAGGACAAATGCATCCGCCCGGCACAAACATGCCGAGCATGCAGCCGGCGAAGCGAACAGCAGCATTGCGGTTACGCCCCGCTTCCCGAGACAGAACTACATGGCAAGCTGAAAAATCGAGGAACAGAATGCGAAGCTATGCACATGTGGAACAGGCGGCCCAGTTTCTGCCGGAGCCGAAGATAAGCGACATCCGAGGCACACCACGCACATCTCTTTTCATGCCGCAGCACTGACGGCCCCGTGGTGTGGGCTGGGCTCTACTTTAAAAGCATTCATGAGCGTCCCTGAATGCCACCTCCTGGCCCACGAAGAGGGCACCTCGAGGCGCGAGGGTCAAAGCCAGACGGAGCAGCGCATGTTCGCGCAGAATCAGCGCTTGCACCTGTAGAACACCCCTCATCACTGGTAGCAGTATCGTCTGAGACGGCCGCAGATCAATCCTCACCAAGTGTTGGCCTAACAACGAGGGTCCCATCACCTTAGCTTGTACATCTTGTACTTGGTGGTCAGGTTTCGTTGGTGGTACAGTATTGGGACTTGTGCCCTTGACACGGGTTTGTCAACGGACTGCAGGCGACTTCTTTTCCCGAAGCATCCAAAGGATTGCCATCGAGCACCAAAGTTTGAAGATTTGGCAGCTTCCAGACATCTTCATGCAAGGAGGCCAGGCGATTGCGCGTTAACCTTCGCTGCACAAAAGGAACCGCACCATCAAGACCACATGCGTGGAATGTCATTCCAGTGCCCCCAAATGGCACAGCGGATCGAAGCTCGATGAGTTGCGTGAAGGAGCTGGGGAGAACCTAAGCTTGAAGTTCCAGTTCGAGGAAATGCATTGACGCCGGGTGCAGGTGGAACACCGTCAAACAGTTCTCTGCCAAGCACAGCTCCTGCAAGCACCGCATGCAGCTTTCATGTCACGTGGCGTTGGCCTGTCTTTTGATTACATGCACTGACGGCTGCCTGAGATTGCCTACTGTAGTGTCTCAAGACTGTATTAAATACAATACCAAAACCCGCAGACGCATGTGGCATCATGTGGCTGTCCTCCAAGGCTTGTAGCCGACCGAACGACTCGGCAGTCCAGAAATCAGATGGAATCAGGACTGCGAGCCACTTCTACAGACACATGCTAACCCTGCTATGAGAAGATGCAGGAGCCTCTGGCAGCTTGGTCAGCTCGTTTGCATTCCTCGGAGATGCACTTGCAACCACGCTGCTCTCACGAGATCTGGCCGTTGCATCCGAGGCGCAGGTGGCATGTTTGCAGCGAGATCAACTCACCTTGGCTGCCGCTTCGCCAGAAGGGTCTCTTGGCACGACGTCGGACGCAGGACGCACGATGAGACGAATCCCGCTGCAGTTAAGATTCCAAAGCTTTCTGGCAAGTGCTGCAGACGGTTGCCACTTATTGCCAACCTCTTCAAAGATCGCAGCTGGCCCCAGTCATCGGGCAGCATCCTGCAATCTGCAGGAGAGGCTCCAGCTCGATGCCAGAGCCAGAACAAGCGATGCAATGACAAAGCTCTAAGCTCCTTAACTTGTTTCGGGAGATGTCCAACCTCTCCAAGCTCCCGAGGCTTGGGAAACCTTTGCGAGCCAGGGATTCCTTCTTGCACTCTTCTTGGGACAACTATGTTGCAGCCATGATGCTCGAAGGCAAAGTCTCGAGAAGGCAGCCGGTAGCCTGCGAAGGGGACACACGGAGACATCTACACTGACGCGGGCCTTGCAGAAGCTGCTAATCACGGTACGGCCTCCAGCCGTCGCAGCGAGCCAAGCTCGCCGCAGCTGTTCGGCAGAGATGGTCGCAGAGGGTTGGCATCAATGTATACCTCCTGAGACGGTGGTGCAAAGATTCTGCCAAACAGTTCATCTTGAAGTCAGAGCCACAAAGAACCTTCAATCTCGAACGCAGAATTGATCCAACTCGTCTGACTTGTATGCGTGCCGATCGCGCCTGCAGATACGGCATTGTCGCCAACTGCAGGTTCGACATGCGATTGCCTCAAGCGCAAGGCGAGGTTGCCTGGACCTAAATAACGCTTCCGCGACGGAGGCCGTGTGATGCAACATGCTGGGAGAGGCACCTTCCAAATGCAAGACTTGCAAGTTGGCAGGTCGTGCAGGTGTTAGGAAGTTCTTGAGCATGTTCTTGGAAAGGCTCAGCACCTCGCACAGGAAAATTCCCGTGCTAGTTGCTCTTGCGCCGGAGCACTCCCGAAGAGATCTGAGGTCGAGGTGCAGCCAGGTCGGGGCAATCCAGGAGGGAGGCGGGTAGTTGCAGAAGTTGGTTCCTGTCGGCTTCCAGCTTTCGCAGACGGCCGAGCATCCCGAGGCTCTCCTTGGAAGCAGGACTCCTCGTCTGCAATGCATAGGCCTAGGCTCGCTTTCTGCATCGAAGATGCAGGAAGATTTTTCAGGCTGTTGTCCGTCAAATGCAAGAGCCTGAACACAGTCGTCGCGTTGGACTCACCCGCTTCTAAAGGTTGAAGACTGCAGCTTCTCACCTCAAGGTGACCATCTGTCCGATCTCCTGACAGAGTGCAGAACCTGTCTGCGAATCCTTCGCTGCAAAGGGGTGCAACAGTCCAGATTGCCTGCGGAAGGCTTTCCAGTCGGCTTCCAGCAATCGTGAGTTCCTCCAAGCTGGGAAGCTCCACGAATGAGGGCCTGCAGTGGCAGCACTTGCCCCATTGAAGAGCAACAGGCCGACATGCATAGCTTGCTGATGAAGCAGCGGAAGAGCTGGCATATTGCATTGAAGGATGACCTGACAAGTTCAAATTGGTCTCGAGCCGTTCACGGAGAAGCTCCCCGTTGGGCTGAGTACCAGGCCAATTGCTTCAGGGCCGTCATCTTGCAAAAGCTCTCCTTAAGACATGGTCAAACGGCAGGAGAGCAGGAGAGTGACAGTGAGAGAACGAAGCAAAGAGCAAGAAAGCGCCAGCCTTCTGGTCGCAAAGGAAGAAAAAACACTTCTTGCAGCCATCTCGACCCCTCTGAACAAGACCCCTTAGAATGCCCTACAGTGTGATCCTATATTAATTTCACAAGAACCCTATTAAGATTCTCCGACGAGTCTCTGGCAAACAGTGTAAGCGGGAGTGCAAGATCCGCAAGGATTGCAGAGAGTCTCTGCAGACAAGGCCAAAACGCTCTGGCAGTGTCTTAAGACTCTTCGAGGAGAGCTGGAGGTCCTGAGTCTGAGGGCTCACCACATCCTGCTGAAATGTTCGGCTGAATCTTCTGGCCAGGCCACTACGATCTCCTGGAGATCATCGAACTTCTCAACACCGGCCAACTTTGCAAGCCGATTTTCCGCGAGATCAGGCAAAATCCAGACCTGACCAAGCGGCCAAGCGCATGCAGCTGGGCAGTGATCCTTGGGAGCCTTGCGAAGGACTCTCTCTGCCTGCCTGGACATCCACAGGCAAAACGGCAAGAGGAAGGGAATCCTCCAAGGGCGTCGGGCCCAGGAGCTGAAGACCTGGAGAGAACCCTCCATCCACCCCCATCTTACTCCACCTTTTGGGGGCATTGAAGTGATGCTTCCAGAACCTCTGCTCTGATGCCTCCGAGCGGCGTGCGGGTGCCACCTGCAAGGCTCGTGCAAGCTGCAGCCGCGCGTCACCGACATAGGCAGCGCTGCCGGAGACCGGCAAGGCCTTCGCTCTTGGAGGACGGCAGGCCGCGGGCAGCATCGCTCTGCTCCCTTGTTCGAGCTCCGGTTCTGATGCCTCCTCTTTTGTGGGTGCAATGTTTCTTTTGTGTGGGTGTGGTTGGCCTGGAGCCTTGGATTCTGCCTGCCTGAGTCGTGCGAGCAAGCTTGCACTGTCGAAGGCCGGTTTGGGCAATGAAGCATAATCTTTTGAACCCCTGGGCTGCGATTTTCGGCCCAAGTCTCAAGCCCTGAAGAGAATCCGATTCTTCTGGCCTTGCCGCTCACCAGGCGGAAGCTGGGAGGCGTGGCCATGGCTCGAGGCTCAAGTTCATCAGTGTGGGAGTCCCGTGCAAAAATCACACCGTGTACCAGCGCTTAGCAAGAGGCCATAGGTACATGGTACATAACACTTCGGTGGCACCTGAGGTTTGCAAAAGCTGAGGATCTGCGCAGCTCGTGAAGCTTCGCAGAAAACGCTTTGGCATTCTGGCTCCCCTGACATGTCGGCCTGTCGTTCCGTAATTAAGCTGCACACGCTGGCCCACGAGGATGTCGTACTGCTCCTCCAGTCGTTGGAAACATGGCCCGACGAAAGTCGAAGTAATGGACGAGAAAGTGACAGAACGAGCACACCCCGCAAATCAACTACGCAAATGCACTTCGATACATTCACCATATCATTCACGCAGACAACTCCCAGACAACTGGCTCTTCTCATGCTACTGGCTGCAGGTGCACGGGATGCTACTCGAGCATGCACCAACCAGTTCGCGATCACAATCCGAATCATTTACATCCCAGCGGCCAGGATCCCCCTCGAAGTGTCGCAAAGCTAATCCGATCGGACTGAGGTCTCTCGACCTCTTGATTCGGATTATCTGCTCGCCTGCGATGTACCGTTTGACTTCTCGGCCATCGTTGGCGCGGGCTGAATAAGTACTGGAGCGGCCGCACTGCAGCGGTAGGCTCGCTGAAGAACCGGCAACAAGCGTGAGTGTTGGAACGATGCCTACAACCACAAACCTGTGCCATTGCATGAAAAGGAAAAGATGAGAAAAAATCCCCTGGAGAATGAACCCGTACATGCTGCAGTTACATGCTCCTAAGCAAGTCAGCAACCCCACACGCACGCAGTCGCACGCACGTGCTCCGTGGGTGTCCTGCTTCATGGTGATGGGGGGTGAAGCAAGCACAACCTGGAGTCGAAATGCAGTCAGAGCTGCTCTTCGTGTTGCTGTGTGAAGCAGCATCCAGAGCGCGGTAACCCGTTAGCTTCCCGAGCCTTTCTGTGTAAGTGGATGTGCTGGTGGCGACCCTTCTCCCAATCCTCCACTGGTCGCTCTAAGAAGTCATGGTCACATGGCGCTCATCGCGATGGTGCTCCGGCCCTTCCGCGTGAAGACGGCGCATCACGCCCTCAGGGCCTCGTCCACGATGGCTGGCCGCTGGGCGACATTAATCGGCAGGCCTCTTTCATCATGCGAGACATGCCAGAGCTCAAAAGGTTTTTGCTCCGCACCTCGAGGAGCATACATCAACTCGAACGGCTGCAGTTCGCCACTCATTTGGCAGCTCCTTTTCAGCCAGGTGTCCTGCGAGAGCTCTCCAGAGATCAGGTGCGACTCACGAAAGCCACCGCCAATTTCTCAACAAGCTAGGCTCGCAAAGCATCCCTTTACCGTCCACCGCCGGAACGATGGAAAGGCCTCTGTCCTGAACAGGGCCCAGTCGAGAAACTCTTGAGTCAAGGTGAAAAATCTTTTCCAAGAACTTCTAGCACCAGCTGTCGGCTCAGCATTTTCCATGAGCATTGGATGCCGGAAAAGCTGCAAAACAGCTAGAAGACGGACATGCGTGGTGAAAAGTCCATGCCCGCAGAAACGTAAATCCTGCATCCTAGGATGTGACCGTCAACTCGGACCTTGGGCATTTGCCAACCGCCAGCAAGACATCGTGACAAGCTGGTCGACCCGAGGTAAGAGCCCTCAGCCCTCGAAGCTTTTTTCAAGCAGATTAATTACCGCCTTTCTGAAGAAAGAATCCTCACATCTTACCAGGCTTGCGAGGGCCGGGCTGCAAGAAGGGGCAGGCTGTGCCAGTCAAGAGTCCACCCGCGCCTCTTGATATGCGGGCAGCAGGTTGGAAGGACACTCAAGGGACATCCGACAAAGAACCCTGGAGATGGGTCCGATGTTAAGGAAGGCATCCTTCTCATGACCACCAAGATGCATCAAGTCCCTGAGCATCCGCTCAAGTAGCCTCACGGCTCGAATGTTCTCCCCAGGGCCAGCGTCACCCTTCACTTGGATAATGCCCTGGGGAGCTGAAACAGTTACGCTCAGGAGACTAAGCTCTGCTAAGAGGCCCCGCTTCGCGAGAGCACGACTGAAAACTTTGAGAAAGCAAATCCAACTCCAGTGCTCCAGAAAGATGCTCATGACTCATGACACACTCTGGAGCTGCTTAAGCTTTTGGGGTCGGTTTGCCTGGAGACATATCTTCAAATCCTAGCCACATTGGGCGCTGCTGCAAGCCAGATCTGGTACAATCGTGGCACACTGCAACCCGAGACAAGAGAGAAGGCAAGCGCGACGCACGCCGTGTCGCTACACGTTCCATTGGGAATCCGCAAAAGCTTCGTCAGGAGCTCCACGACAGTCCCGACAGTTCAATCAAACGAAGCCTGCTGGGTCTCAGACTTTGCTGGCTTGGTCCGGCTTACATACTTTTCAGCTTCGGCTACTCTCTGACAGAGCCTCGGAAGAACAAGAAGTGGAAGCGTAGTCGGGATAGGGACGAACGATTCCAAAGTTCTGGTCGTAAACCAACTTGTTCCTGAGGCCACATTTGTGTCCAAGCTGGCTCCTCCCCACGTCTTAACATGTCTTTTCATGGTCTCGCATATCTAGCTCGCGCTTTCGAATACAAGTTTGCCGCCGGCCATGACATGTAGCCTCGAGGCCTGTCGTCAGTTGGCAAACCGCCAAGACAACAAAACCCAAGTGGCAAATTGCAGCCAGAAGTCTTTGAGAACAAACGGCGCATCTTGTCAAAGACCGTGACTTGACTTATCTGCACCTCCATGTGCGGCGCTGCTTTCTGCACCGCCTGAGCTCAGGCGACACGCCGCAGCAACAAACCCGTCGGGTTCGGACGTCGTGGCTACAGCCCGAATTGCAACGTCTGAGCTCAGTACCACCGCTCCAGGCTTCTTTGCATTGTAGACCCTCACCGGAACCTTGTCATCGTCTTTCCGGTCCTTCTCAAACAGTAAGACGCTTCGGCGACGCTTTCTCACAAGTGAGTTCCAGGCCTTGCGCCCTCTTGCGGCATTGATGATGATGCAGGGGGTCTGTTGCCGAGCAACGGTGCAGTGGCGACAGCAACGGGAACTGAAGCTCAAGCGAACAGATCCATCTAGAGCATTAGACAGCAATGACTTCAGGCGCATGGTGGGTGCAGATCAACGCCTCTCCAGATATCGCTGGAGCTCTTCCGGATGTCTCACCGCCCTTTAAGATGACACGCTCTTCGAACCCACTTCCCGCCTGACATGGCGGGCGCAAGCACAAAGCACACACCCCCAACCTTCAGCTCGAATCAAGCCGGCACCGCCACCAGCTGCCAAGAGTCCTTCGCTGACTTCGTCAAAAGATCAGCGCACTATCAGGGCATTGGGTCTATCGTGTAGGATGTAGACACAAGAAGTCACGACATTAGTAGATACCTATCTACCCGTGGAAAGCACGTAGTGCATGACCAGCAGCCGTGTCGCGGAAAGTGCGAACCTTGGACCCGCCAGAACACTAACATGCATCTGCACCAGCACGGAAACCACTACTGACGGAGACTGCCAGGTGCCAGAATCATAAGTGTCTGTCAAGGCACTCTGCCAATCCAGGCTTCAATACACATAGAAGGATGTGAGCAGAGCAGTTCAGCGCATCGTGTTGCAGCCTCATCCTTCTTCTGCACCTCCCGCTTCAAGCTTCCTTGGAAGGCAGCTCGAACAAACAAATCAGGCAGTCAATCGGCATCTGTAAGCCACGGCGCTAGTCAGTGATTCAATCTTTGATTGGCCCTCCTTGAGGTGCTGTCTGTACTTCGCCAGCTGCGATTGCAGGTGTTGGACGCTGCCAGCCTGGAAGTGAGGAGTGCAAGGCGGCATCTTCCCCCATAAGCAGCACGGGCTTGACTCCTGGGCTACCTTTGACGCCGGAGTTCCCGCTTCGACCATGCACGACTACTCGCATTCGATCGAGTAACTAGCCTTTACAGATCTTGGCTCGGGTAGGGACTTTTCATCTCTGCACTGTGGTTCCCAACAAGTGCTAGCGACTTCAGAGTCCCAAACGACATAGCAACACACGTCAGAGCCAAGGAGCGGAGCTTCGAAGCTCGTTCGAGAGTGCTTGCTTCTCGTTTGCTTGTTGTTTGCAAACCTGTGCCAGTTTCGATGCTTTGGCTTCGAGATGAGCATTCCTTAGGGGCAACTGGGTGCATGCTGCAGAACTCATGATTCCAATGATAAGCAGAAGGATTGTCCTCAGCACCCCGAAAAGGCTTTCTCCAGTGCCCCTACTGCGGTGCACGCCCCGCAGATACTTCAAGGCTCGAGTTGGTCATGCTGTCCAGCTCTTCGCACATTGTAGCTTGCTTCTGCTGCGAGCAGCGGAGCTCTTCCTGTCCACCCAATGGCAGATACGTATCCTACAGACCTGGCTACAATACTGTTTGTCATTGTCATGCCCATACGTTGGGCATGGGCCTGCAGGTGCTTGGCCAGCTCTTTGAGGCCCTCCAGCTGGCAGTTGGCATCGCTCTTGGCATCCAGGGCCGCCGTTAGCTCATCGCGCCTCAGAAGCCAAGGTCTCCAGACTCCAGACACAGCAACGCTCATCTCCGAGAGGGCTCACGTGGCTATGTCGGGCATCTTAGAAGAATAGACGGCCTCCCTTGCACCTGAGGTCGGCACAAGCTTCTGCTTTCGGCCGATGTTGCCTGCAGGTGCATTGTCGCACACTCTAGTGAAGCTGGCTTGCACAGTCGGTCCTGGTAATCCATCCGTTTCCTGGTCAGCTCAGCTGACAGCAGCTCGTTTTGATGCAGCTGCTCTTGTAAGGTTGAGCGCATCACCTTGGACCAAAGTGCACATCTGCATCATTCTGAATCTCCATACTTTCGAGCGTTTGAGCTGCCAACCTCGAGTGACTGCGTTGCCTCCCTGGCCAGAAAGGATTGTCATCAATGCTGCTTCATTCTCTGCGCATGGACTTCGAAGCATTTTCGAAATCCCATCTTCTGCTCTGTTCTCTAATCCTTCTTCTTCTGTCCTGTATCTGCCCCGGTCACTGCAGCCCTCGCTAGGACCTACATTATCTCGCGTCAGTCGGTGAGAATACGCACTACCGAGCGTGGACGTGAGACTACACATCAGGAAAACCCCAGTTTGCAAGCTGTTTGTAGTCTCCAAGTCGCACAAGCTCGTGGATGCTGTGGTTTCAGGTAACTGGTTTTCGTTGCAATCGAAGCCCCGTGTGCCGAAAACGACACTGTCCGCCCAACAGGCTAGCAAGCGGTGCCTCTCCAACGCTGCACCCTGTGCCTTGTGTCTTGAGTTGCAGGCGCTTCAAAGCACCAGCTCAAGACAAGCATCCGCATCGGTGGCATCACAACATCAACACCAGCTGTTGCCAGAAGCACACGATCGAGACAGACATCAGTTCCGTCACAACACATGAAAAATCATCTACACCAGCCATTCCCCACGCAGACTCTCAATTTCGAGACTCAAAGCATATCCAAACCCGGTCACAAATGGAAGTGAGTTGGAGGTGCGATTCCCGAGTGTGGACACTCATCGAAGCGTCTTTCAACCCAGCGACGGCAATAATTACTAGTTACTACATTGCGTACCGTATGCAGCAAAATGCGTAAGAAGTCGACTCACAACTCTGTGTCGGATTAGGTGCTTAGCTAAACTTTAACCAATTTCAGGGAGACAACCTGCCTTTCGCTGTCCTGCCGCTGGATACGAAGAGCGGTGAGCTCGCAACTCAGATCTTCGATCTTCGAGTCCTGCCAATGATTGCCGAGGTGCACACATGAGCCAAAAACTCAACCCTTGCACGTGCCCCGTTCACGCTGGCTGCCACCGCTTTCGACTCAGCGTTTCGGCATTTGTCGCCTTTGATTCGAACACCCTTTCAAACAGGTTGAGGACCGCTGAACTCCTGTCCGGGCCGCGACTACGTCGAGGTTAAGACCGAACCCACTGCCTGGGTGGAGCAGAACAGAACCCGCAGAGTGGGGGAAATCCCGAAGAGCATGCTTGCGGCAGGGTTCTCACTTTCGAGTTCTCCGAGCGATGGCGACATGGAGATGCTTCTGGAGCCTGGATCAGAGAACCAACGCCCCAAAGCCAGCCCGTTCTAACGAGTTTCTGATAACGGCCCCGAAATGTGCACGGCAGTCAGCTTGACCACACTCACCCAGAGCTGAAGTCTTCCGGTGATCCTACAAATCATGACCAGCCGCGCTTTCTGGACTTTCTCTGCTGCAAAATGGGGAGAGGAACCATGCTTCTCCTACAACCTCCCCTGTGATTTCGATCTGCTGCGAAATCTGTGCATGACATGAGCTCGGTCCTTCGTGGTGAGCTGGCGAGAGAGCAGATCGTTCTGAAGCCTTCAGGCGTCTCCGGAACTTGCACAGCACGCGACTCGCAAGACATCGCGCATACAACCCTTCCCCTCACTCTCCAAGCAACTGCCGATCTTCGAGGCCTGAGTTGGAGAGGACGGTGGCAGAGACTTAGAGACAAAGTGCACGCACGATGCCAAGTGTGTCTACTAAGCCATCCGCATCGGTCTAATATGGATGTTTCCTAGGTGGCCGTCATGCGGCACATGTGCAACGTTGGCGAAGACACGCGTCTGAGGCCCCGTCCTGCTCGCACTTTTGAAGTTGCGTCTTCCTTGCCATTCATCGCAGAAGTCACAGGTGCCCACACAAAGCAATCAAAAGGACAACATGCAAATCATACCAAGTGCATCCAGGCAACATGCTTTGCATTTCTCCAGTCAGTGCTTTCGCATGTTCTCCGCTTCTCTCCAAGCTGGTTGCCAAAGAATCCTGCTATGCAAAGGCTCTGACCCCGGCGCCTCTCTGGCCACAGGAAGCGCGGGGGTCCACGGTCCTTCTCCATGCGCGCGACTGTGAGCTCCGAGGAGTATCGGCTCAGGTCAATCCTCCAGTCACGGAAATTGGTTCGGCCCTGTGTTTTACGGAGTGGAAGGCACCCTAGCTCACGCAAAACTGGAGCCACCAGCCACTAGGCCGCACCAGGGACGCGAGACGCGACTATAGGCCGCTTCTGAATGCAGGCCCGGGCGTCTCCGACTGCACGAGGCGGTCCTTCGGAGCAGCGCGCACGGACGAGCCGTTACCTGTAGAAAGCCCGAAGAGCCCTATCCCCTATCCCTGTCCTTCATGTTCTTCACCTGGCCCAGATAGTCTTCGGCCTGCATGCCCTTTCTCATGAGCTCGCGCGACACTGATTGCATTTCCTCGGGGCGCAGCGTCCGATGAGGCTCTTGCAGCGACCGTGTGCAGGTACTGGTACAAGCCCGAGGTTCTGTGTCTTTGAGGTCGACTGCGGCAGACAAGGCATTGAGCCTTGCGTTGGCTTGTGTGAGCTGCTCCTTCCTTGGTACCACAGAAAGCGCCCGTGTCCGAAACGGATCAGGGCACCTTTCCCAAGCACGGGCGACAACAAATCAGGCACACTGCAAATACTGCCAGCACAGTCACAAAGTCGCCATTTCCGTGTCGTCCTTACTTTTTCGAGGGTTGAAACAATACTCTCCTGTATTACAGTAAACTATACTGTATTGTAAGATGTAACAGGACAAAATATAATATAGTACCGACGTGGAGGCCGCTAGGCCTGGAAGCCGCGGCTACGGACACCGGCTGCAAGTTCATGTCCAAGGTGCAACGATGGCCACCTCTGCCAAACGCTTCTTGGCATCATCCAGCTCACCGTTCAATTTCTCGATGGCCTTTGCAGCGTGTGCTCAGAAGCACCCTCGATTTCGGATCCTGCCTTGCTGGCGAACGGGGCCTCAAAGTTTGAGCTCTACTAGTTACTAGTTCCTACCGTTGGGACAGCCCGAGGTCACCATAGCCCGTCGCCACGCGCGATTCCTGTGAAGCTTTGGGCGTGATTTCTTGCTGCGCCTAGTTCAGTTCGTAATGGTCCTAGCGTCCTCCAGATGTCAAGCACGGCGCTTCGCGGTTGGCTGAGTTGCATCTGCTTGAAGGGTATGCTGCGATTGCATTTATGTGAACAACTCGGCGGTTCAACAAACACTCTTCAGCCGAGAGAAAGGCCGGAGCTGGCTGCATGTCTGCGCTTCAAGAAGCGTTTGCACCTGAAGCATTGCTGTCCAAGCATCCACCTGCTTTTCCTGCAGCGCCTTCAAAAGGCTACCTGCACTGCGGTGGGCGGCGGCGATGCACGGCATCGCTGGCACGACTGTCTGTTGTGCAGCTAAGTGACCGTACTGAGATCGCCAGTTATCCAGCTGGAGAGCTATTTCCGTTGTTTGCCGATATGCCATCTCGGCGGTGATCTGCCACTGGCATATTTCCTTCAGGTACTACAAGCAAGCGATGCGGAAGACATCGGAAGAGTTGTCATGAGTTTGCCCGTTTGTGCGGGAACCAGTGGCGTATCTCTAGACTCTAGAAACAGCATGAGGGCCCAAGTCTGGTGCACCCAAACCCTCACTCAATCACCGCAGATGCAGCGATTTGCAATCGAGCTGCCTGTGCTGAGCTCTCGCGGACTTGCTTGGAGTCTTCGGCTGCTTTCAAGAAGGAGTTGCCAATCTCCTCCTCGAGCTGCACGAGCTTCTGTTGTGCCCGCAGCAGTTGCTGCGTCAGGTCCTCGCGCTCCAGACACGTTCTCTCCAGCTCCACGGTCAAATCATCCTTGTCCGTGAGACTTCTGTGCAAGGACTCGCGGATGGAGCGGAGAGATTGTTCAAAGTCGGCGACCTGCCTCCTCTCCTCCCGAATCCTTCCCAGGAACTCCTCGGCCTCCATGGCCCGTCTCTCCAGGCCCAAGGCCATCTGAGCGTTCTCGAGCTGCGTCTCCGACAGTGTCTCGCAGAGCTCCGTGACCCGACGCTCGTAGTCCGAGACCTGCTGGTTCATTGCGCTAATCTGAGACTTCAGCTCTTCGTTCTCCTCTTCCTGAGCCTTCAAAGATCTAGCCAGCGAACCCCTTTCTTCGGTCAAGGACTCCACCTGATCTTCCTGAGCCTTCAGAGCTTTGGTCAGCGAACCCTTCGCTTCGCTCAGGCACTCCACCTCCGCGGTCCGAGAGCTTGCCCTTGTAACCAAATCTTCGATCTGCTGGTCTCGACTCTGCAACTCTTGACGCAAGGCCGCGCTTTGCGACTGCTCCTTGTCCAGGCAAGATGTCAGTGAGGCGAGCTTCCCCTGACAGACCTCTACCTGCTCGTCTGCTGCCGCCGCTTGCTCGACCAGGCGCAGCTGCTCCTGGTGCTTGGTCTCCAGCAGTGCGGCCGTTGCGCGTGCCTGCTCCTCCAGATGTCGCACTCGCGCCTTGGAGATGTGCAGGTGGCCTTTGAAATCCTCGGCAGCCATGGAAGTCACTTCCATTCGCTTCGACCGCGAAGCTGTTTCTCGTTGTGCAGCCTCCAGGGATGCCGAGAGGGATGTCAATCTCTCCTCGTACTCGTCAAGCTGAGCCTTCGTCTCTGCAAGTCTTCTCTCAATCACCTCACGCTCACTTTCCGTCTGAGTCAGCTTGCGGCTAGTCTGGCTGAGCTCAGACGATACCTCGTGCACTTGAGATTCGCACTTTTCCAACTCAAACTCTCTTTGCTGCAGTCTCTCTTTGAGATTGGCATTCTGCTGGCTGTGCTCCTGAAGCTCACCGTGAAGCCGAGTGGAATTTTCTTTGGAATCTTCCAGACTACGTCGAAGATCCTGTAGCTCATCTGAGCAGCGCTTGAGCTCCCCTCTCGTGATTTCCAATTGCTCCGAGCAAACCTCTGCTTCTGAAGACTTCACTTGGATTGCCTCTGCCAAGGTCTGGCGCTCGGACTTTTCCTCTTCTAAGCTGGAAGACAATCTGCCGATCTCCTGCTGCGCATCCTTCAACTGCCCCTCAGCAAGCTTCACCTGAGTCTCGCGCTACACTCAACCTGCAACGTGGTTCTGCAGAGCCCCAGGCACCTGCTCCTGCAACTTCTGCTGGCTGACCGAATCAGACAGGAGCATGGATGACATACTGGATGTCCTGCTCACTGGCTCAGCTCTTGCAGCTTCTGCATGTTACGAGCTAGCCGAACATGTATTCGCTGTCCTCCGCCGCTCCATCTCTAGCTCTTTCTTCACAGAGCCTAGCTCCTGCATCGTCCTTGTCGGATCTTGAAAGAGACAAGTAGTCGGCGAATCATGTCCCACAAGGTGTCCATGAATCCTACTTTGTCATTTTACTGATGTTGCCACAGTAAGAGAAGCCGGCGGTGCATATTGATATTTTCGCAGCAATTGCTGCCAAGGGGCTTTTCCAGCTGTTCCTCTACCAGCATCGCGTGAGAATCCCTCTCCCGAAGCTTGTGCCTGCAAGCTTCCTTGGCATGGCAACCCATGCACGGATGCGTCACGAAGAGCACCCCCATCTATGAATTCATCAGCTTAGCCGCATAACCGTCCCCACACACCCGCACAGGCAAACACAGGCTGAGTCCAGCCCTAGTCAGGTCAGGCAAGCGACGAGGCTTTTGCTCTTCGAGCGGATGTTCTTTTTCAGTCCACTCATCTCGGTCTCAACGTCGCCACAAGCAATGCCTCACAGTTTCGAAGGAAAAAACTTGAATCTTCGACCCTCCCACGACTCCGCATCACGATAATGCTCTCTCACCAAGGCACAATTCGCCAATGGCCTGACAAAGCGCTTCCAGCCGGTGGGCGAGGAATTCAATACAATCTCTCCTGCCATGAAGTGAGGTCGAGATAAACGGCGCCACATTCTGGCCCCACCTTCTCCGGAAGCATTCAGGAGCTCCGGCTCTGAATCATTATCGTTCTGATGTGTCTTGGCGGGCATCGGACACGCCTTCAAAACCTGAGTCAAGGCACAGCGAACTTTTAGTTTTAGATTCATTCATGCAGGACCACTCCAGCTGACCTGCCTAGATGGATAACCAGTGCATCTCAACTTTGCTGCATAAGGTGTCAGTGTTCTCAGAAGCGGAAACTCTCCGACTCACGTGCAGAACGCCGCCCTGGAGGCACGATCTCCTCCAAGGCGCATTCGGGGAGACACACTGCCGCGAGGTGGGACACTCGTCTGTGTCTTCCGTCTTGGATGCAACGTTGGCATCCTTGGCTAGCCGACAGCTGCATGGTAAGCAATCAACCTGCGGCTCCACCAAACCAACCGGCAGGCCAGGTGTCCACGTGCATGCCGTCGGTCGTCATGAAAGCTTGGGGTTTGTCAAGAGTTTCTGAGCTTGCATGGATCGGTTAGACTTAGACGGCTGGTTCGTCCTGGGGTCCAACAGCTATGCAGACGAAGCAGACTGGGCTTGGCTAGTTCTGGCTTCGGGGTTCTGGTTCTTGAGCCCAAGAGCTTCAGGAGCGAAGTTGAAATGCAAGGCTGCCTGTCTTGGGACAGCAGCGACAAGGAACCGGCGCCTCGAAGTGAGGCCAGTAGACGAACCAGGTGCCGTACCTAGCCTGCAATGCTAAGTGGAAGCTTGCACAAGTTGCAGTCCCTGACTCAGACCGCATCTCAAATCTGCCTCGATCGTCTGGAGGATTTCCGGCTTCATCCAGACTCGCAGGTGCTGACAGACCTGGAGCCGGAGCTGGTCGCGAATCGACGAATCGATGCCCGGGCTCCGCCAGGCCGGGGCTTCTGCCCAGTCGTGCAGCTTGAGCTCCTCTTGGTCGACCACCTGACTGCACGATGCTACGTTCATGTCTGCGCAGTTTGCAGATTTGCCGCCTTTCCGATTTGAAGGACGGGGACCGCTACCTCCGCAACACGTGTGAAGATGCCCGGATCCGAGAGAGTCAAGGCATCCTACCAGCACATCTAAGGCACACACCCCAGCTGGCAAGTAGAGCTTCTCTGCTCGCTCACCGCCCTGCCCAAAAGCCCAGTGGTCCACAGTACAAAGGTCTCTGACCATTGCCCGCAATTGCCTCTCTCAGTTCCCAAGAGAACTGCGCCGTCCTTGTTGCGAGGTTCCGCAGAGCTCGCATCGTCGATTTGGAATGCGAGAAGCTCTTCAGCCAAGCAACCGTTTGAGCCAAGTTCCTTTTCTTGAGACCAGCTTTCCCGGCTTGATCTGCCAATCACCGGCACAGATCACAGGCTTGCTTGCGTCAAACTGGTGCCATCTCGAACCTCCCAATCAGGAGCGTAGACATATCGCCTTACGAGGCAAGCTGACTGACATGTGTGGGAGAACCCTGATCGAGGCTGAAAGCAGTGCCTGGGCACAAGGCATCTCTGTTTGCAGCGTGGCCTCCAGTGATGCCAGCTCCTCACAGTCATCGAGAGCAGGGATGCCAAAGCTCGTCTCTGACGCGTTCAGGGCCTTGCCTGCCATGCGGAGTCCCACCTTCAGCAGGCTTCGGTCTTCGGACTGGCCCCGTCGGTTCACTGCCAGCCACTCAGGCAGAAGCCCTGGCTCGCATGGCTCTTCCCGGAAGGCCTGCAGAACCACTCCACGAGCAAAGCTTTGCTCCATGTGCACTCTATCGGCAAGAACTATGGAATCGCTTCATACCAACATCCCATCCAGCCTCACACCACGGATAAATGGGGATGGCTGATCAAGAGTATGAGACATGGATTTCTGAACTCGACATGGGAGCCGCAGCCACCTTGCACTACCGATCGAGGCCCCACGCCTCCTGTGCTTCTGCCACAAGGTTTTGCAAGTCCCTGAGCGCCTCGGTCGCGTCTTCAAGAACGCAACCACAAGGGTTCCCAATGTGTTCCGGCACGTTCCAACTTGCGAAAGCTGACCCATCCCAATGGCCTCTCGCATCTCCATCTCCTGGAGCTTCTCATGGCATGAGAAAGACAGTAGTGCGCAGCAGGGGGCCTCCAGTGCCCCACATTTCGGATCGGCCTCAGCCCTCCGCAAAGCATGCACTGGCTCCTCCGACAAAAGCACACACAGGGATCGGAGATCCTATCGTCCACCAGGGATTGCTAAACGGGCCTGAAAGCGCTTTCGGCAAGAGGAACTTGCCTCGGCTTCGGGAGGACACGAGGTGAGGATCAGAATGCTGGCTCTCCTTCTGGGGCACGGGCGGGCAGCAGCGTCCCAAAGTCTTTAGCCTGAAACCACCACTTGGAGGCACACGCGCCCGTTTGGTTCAACAGCCAGGCCTGCAGGAGACCCAGGAGCCGGAAGGTGTCCTGAGAATCGCTTGCAGCGTGCTTTCAGCTCGCTAGCTCTCTGCATTCCGAAAGCCAGGGAAGCAAGCTGCGGCTCTTTCTGTCTCTTTCCCACCGGCTCAGGCGACCAGGCATGCCCAGCATGCCTCACGATTTCCATCCGCTGTTTCCTTCGTCAAAGCAGAAAAACACTGGATTCTTAAAAGCTTCATCACTGCAGCGACTGCAGAAAAAGCTACACCAATCTAGGCACCTAAGAATGAAACTTGACTAAATGGCCGGCACAGAGAGGTGTTGGCTGACCCGCTTGCGTTCTGGCCAGTATCTCTTGCAGTCTATGCTTAAGCAAAGTACAGTAAGGTTTAGCAAGGCCCTCGTTGGCTTCCGGCAGAGAGCCCAGATGCCGGCACGACTTGCGCTTCCGACCGTATTCTGCAAGCCAAGGAGCGGCGTATCCGGGGCATAGCCAACGGAAAGCGACCCGATGGATCTTCAGCCACTGCCCAGTTCAGCACAGCACAGTTTCGTGCATCACACTCCACAGAGCACAGGGAAGCTCCGCACTCGCACACTTCGCAGGTCCACACCTCAGATAGTCTCCCACCTCTGGCGAAGGCAAAACTAGAGCAATGGACCCTCGCTGCCCCGCGTGACATGGGCATGACTGTGCCACGCCATGCAATCCCGTAAACTCCAGACCGGGCATACTGTTAAAGAACCGCACGTCGTGGCCCGTGGCCCAACAAAAAGCGGGCAAAACCTGACAACTACAACACGGCTTCCATGTTGGCCCAGCCACTGTCGGCCTCGCACCTGGCTGCCACGAGACTAGGAAGTCCAACCTTGTGACGGCAGGAGGCTCCGTTGTTTCAGTGCGGAACCAAGCCAGCCAGCGATCCACCAAGATGTCCTCGGGTGGGCCATTGAAGCTCGCATTAAAAAGGGTGAAGTGGTACGAAGTGTGGAAGGATTGAAGCCGAGGGGCCGCTTCCTGCTCCACCAACTCAACCATCTCACGGCTTCCCTCGAAAAGCTGCACAGCAGCCTCCCAGGTCGAACTCTGAAAAGAACAGGACAGAAAAACAGGCCCTGCCTGGTCCCGCGACAAAACTGTGGCCGAAGTCAGGCGAAAGTCCGTCACCTCAAGGACATCCTGGCCGATGCTGCTCAGAGCCGGGAAGCTTCATTGCCGTAGGCCCCCCTATTAAAACGGCCTGATGCTTGTGGTGGGAACCCGGAGACTTCATGGTCATCCACAGCCGCTCCCGGCAAAAAGCCCAATTGCCCGCTGCAGCATCATGGAAACACAGAACTCGATGCTCGCAGACTGCATCAGGAACAAGCACCTGGACCTTGGCCGACAATTCTGAAAGCTAGCAAGACACATTGTTGGACCAAATTGCTTCGCGCTGGCTGGGCTGATTACACCTGGTGGCCTCCCAATGCTTCCATACAATAGCAAGCCCCAGTTCCACACATCCTACAGTCCTACACATCAAAAGACCCCTGTCTCATGCAGGCATGCCGCAATGCAGCTCAATTGCTCATTGCCTCGTCCTTCCAGCAATCTGCGGAGGACATCTGCCAAATTCTTCGCTCCCACAAACGGGACCACGTCATCACCCTGCCAGCTGAAGCCCAGCTTCGCAACCCCACGAAAGCTCGACACATCGCTTGTGGAGCCGCTACCCCAGACATGATCTCGAAGCCGAACCAAGTCATCAATTGCTTGAGCCGCCACAGAGTGCGAATTCCGGCGGACATCAGCGTGATGAACCCGAACGGTTGGAGGGATCCTATAGTCCCTGTTCAAGCTCATCTGCGGAACCCACAGCTTTCCAGCGAGCTGCGCGTATAACATCTGAGGGTGCGGCCAGCCGCTGCGGAGGCCGACCCTCTCCATACGCTGCTGCAGATCGAAGAAATCCCGCTCCCTGACACATCCTGAAGAAATATTGGCATCTGCACTCTGACAGGGCCAAAGAAAGTACCACACGACTTGGTTCTGCCCTGCCAGGACTGCTTGGGCCCAGTGCTCGGACAGGATCTTCAGGTCCGCCGATGATCGCACAAAGGCAGTGTAAAGCTCAAACTCCCCCGCTAGAGAAGGAAAAATCCCACATTCCCCGTCTAGCAGATCTCGGAGCATTCCGTCGCTTGCAACAGCAAAGTCTGACCAGGTGGACAGGGCAAGATAGTCCCAGCAACGAATCAACAGTATGGACAACAATGGACGCTGTTGGGGCAGCAAGGAGCTGTTCACCGAAGTCGCTGCTCTTGCACTGCTGCTTGCACCAGGACATCCGACAGAATCGGCTGTCCTCACCAAAGCACAAGGCACCGAAATGTCCAGGGACTCTGCCGTGCCGCGCACTGGGTCTTGAAAGGGGCCAGCGAAGCGAACCAAGATCCGGCCGGAGCTATCGGCTTTCTGCAGTGTCTGTCCTCGCAGCCAGCCCGAGGAAAGGCCTAGCAACGGAGACTCGCGGTTGCGCGTGCAGACATGCACGAAGCGACTTCCCCGAGGGTGCAGGTTGGCATGATAGAAGGCAAAGACCTGGAGTCCCACATCTAGCTCCGCTCTGCCAGCTTTGGCCCCAGGTTGCTGAAACATGCCCGCTGCTCATCGTGGCCGCCATAAGCCACTGGCCATGGAGATCAAACCATCGCCAGCCGGCTACATGCTCTGGTACATAAGCAACCACCAATCATTTCTACAGCCCAGGGCCTAGGTGGAGCTTGAGCGCAAACGTGAACATTCCCATGTCCAAAGCTGCAAGAATGCAAGAAGCCGTGCAGTGACCCACGGCAGGCCTGGGGCGGCCAGACAGTGCCATGCATTGCACCCTCCATGACCTTGTCACAACAACCGAACAGAAGCAGAAAATAGTAGCATAGTGGCACTGCCTGTTAACTGAGGCAGTGACACCTAACAAGGCTGGCACCACGACGGCATCGTGGACAATATCATGTCGCGACGTAGCGTTCTCTCTGAGTTCCATGGTGTCCCTCTAGAGTGAATCTACGAAGATGCTAACATCTTTTGTTGAGGTGCTGCCTCCAACAAGTTGCTGAAGGGCAGTGCCACTTGCAACCGTCCAAAACAGTCTGGCGTGGGTGTCCTTGCTTTGTGCTGCTGCTTCATGTCCATTCGTCTATGTCTTGCTTGCGGAGTCGGCAAGACCGGACGCTTCTGAAAGTGGGGATTTGTTCGGGTTGTGCGGCAAGCTTCAAAATAGAGAGCGAGAAGATCTGCAGAACTATTTTCAAGTTCGTTTTTCTTCGCAGCACAGAAGACGGGTCAGATTTGGAGTTGGGTCTTGTGCCAGGATGCAGGACCTGTTAATGTCGAGCATTTTTTGGACAGACGTAGGAGAAAGTGTCGAACAACTTCGAACAGCAGGAGACATACTGTTTTACTCCTACGGAAACTACATATGTATTGAACAGGTATCTTTGTCTCCCTCTCTCTCTCTCTCGCTCCCTCTCTCTCTCACGCGGACTCAGTCACCTGTCAGCCGCGATGCAAGACACAGCGATTGCGCTATGTGCGTGTATCTGCAATGAAATGACATGCGAGAACTGGCCTTCATCTGGAATCTCTTCTATGCGAGTTGAGGTACAGTAGTTGTTGCGAGTTGTGCGTGTGTGTGCAGAATGGACCGCATGAGCGTTTCATGTAGTGATACGACAGCAGCGGGACACGACACTTGCACCACGAACCAGTCTCCATGTAGCATAAGATGATGTGGAAGAAACTCAGCCAAGACCGCATGCAATGCTCCACAAAAAGGGGCAACTCCAGCCAGCCATATGTCTCACACAATGAACAGGCTACAGCACGATTTGTGGTTTCGGCGCTCACACTCGGACAATCCAGGCGAGGCATATGGTTCGAGGTCTGTTGAGTGAAACTTGCCGGTGTGGGAGTGTTTAACCAGGTTGGTTCAGCACAAGCCCTTCACTCCCCTCTGTGCGTAGCTGGCACCACAAGAAAGCACTGGAGAGAACGCTTTTCTGCTCACGCCCGTAGCTATCAGAACTTGTGAACCTGGGACGACGTGTATCCCAACCTTAGCCGTGCAAAGAAGCCGTGCAGCAAGAAGTCGATTTCAAGTGGGAACTTACAGGCTTTTCACATGAGGCCCAGGCTCTGCCAGCAAGCCACCGAGCTTTCCCTGCTGCTTCCTCCAGTTTAGGGGGCAGACCCCCAAAAGTCGAGGCAGCAGGCTTGCCTCTTCTGACCATCCGGCATTTTGATGCGTTCGATCGGCCCGGCAATGCTGTCAACGAAGCCATCCGTGCCACAAACCAGAATCAAACAGCCTGGGTCAGATAATGCCATGTTGCACATGGCATCAGTTATCTGGACAGTTGTGAAGTTTGCGAAAGCCCAAGGCTCCAAAACACAAGCATACCGATTTTATACGCAAGCTTCGCCGGCTTAGGAATCTTGCACGGTCTGCACACATTGACGTCAGTGTCTTCTCCAGGTTTACCTCCTGCATCGAGCACACCAAAGCTGCAACGAGCTGCCACCTGCTGCCCCTCTCGCAGCATTCAATGGCTCTGCTGCAGGTGGTGACATCAGGAATGACGAGCTTCAATCTCATCAAGCTTAGAAGACTCCAAGCTCGCTGCCACTGGCCATCTGCTTGCAAAGTATTCATCACACTGTTGCATGTGCGTATGTTGGGAGCCAACTGGGTCTGTTGCATCCCCGATAAAAGACTCAAGGCCAGTTGCCAGAACCCAGTCTCCTCACAAGAGCTCAAAGCACTGTTGAAGGAGATCACATCCGGCAAAACCCCAAGCGCGGGCATCATGTTCAGCAAGTCTACCGCAACCAACCACTGCCCATGCAACTCGCATGAGCTGATCGCACTGTTGCAAGTAATATCATTTGGCGAAACGCGATGCTCATGCATAGCCTCGAGCAGTTGCACAGCTTGTTGCCATTCACCCTTCTTCTCGCATGCAGAAATCGCTGCACTGTAACTCACCACGTTTGGCCAGATGTGTTGCTCCTTCATCGTCTCAAGCAGAGCAAGAGCTCGCCCCCACTGCCCAACCTGTGCCGCTTTCCGAAACTTTACTGGGGATAGCAGCCTCTTCGGCTTAGGCTACGGCTACATAAGGAGCGGTTTGTAACCACTCCCACGCTGATCTTCAGCCCTGCTCGTAGCATCTCGTAGCTTGCCCTCCTCAACACTTGCAGGGCTTACACTACTAAAGTCCTCTCTTGTCATGAAGCTGTCCACAGTCTCCACCCAGGCAGGGCTCTAAGCTGAAAGCAGAGAACCATTCCAGAGAAAGATTACTGTGATTACGGCATTGCTACTCTTGGGGGCATTAAGGCACATCCGGCTACGATTGTAAAGCACAGAGAATATGAGCTTGCAGCATGGCAAACCCCCCTACTAAACTACTTGGCACAAAGCAAATTTGTCTGAAACCTTGGCCAAAGTGCCTTCTCACAGGCACTGATGGCCGAACTCATGCTGATCACGTCATGCTCGATTCTAGACAAAACCATGGAGCCCACCAAATCCAGAGCGAGCTGCCAGGCGCCTTGATTTTCACATGCTATGATGACACTGCTGTAGTGTATCACGTTCGTCTCTATACCACTGCTCCGCATAACCTGGAGCACTTGCCATGCGGTGTGTGCTCGTCTTGCTTGTCGCAGGCGCGTAAGCACGTGTGTGGCCATTGCTGGCTGGGTATGCCACTTCTTCAAAACAGGTGAGATGGTTTTCTCCACCGTGCCGACAGTCACATAACTTCTTAGCTTCAGCAATGTTGCCAGCTGCGCAGAGCCTGTAGCGGGACCACTCCCTGCACCTCCTCCTTGATGGACTGCGAACATCGCGGGCATATGTTGCCCGAAGAGACACCAACATGGTGCAGCAGGAAAGAAGTCCAACTTCAGTTTACTTGAAGGTGAAACTCAAACGTCGAGGTAAAGCAGCCAAGAGTCGGGCAAGAGGTGTGTGCTCGAGCTGCAAGGCCGCGCAGACACATTGGGTCGTGCCAGGGTCGTGTCTGTGCGACAGATTCGAAGACTTTGCGAACACGGATCACCTACGAGTATGCCATAGTATGTCAATGCGTGTCGCTGCATCGAGAACTTACACAGCCATCAACCTAATCGGGCTGAGGGCACTGCGAGAGTCTGGCGAAGGTAAACGTTGTTCCAGCACAGCTTTTGACAGGCGGCCACTGCAATCGGATGGCCTCACATCAGTCATCGCGGTTTATTTGGACTATCCCAAGCTGGCTGTACGTCTGGGAGCCGAACCATCCAGGTCCAGGTTTGCTCAGCTGGTACGAGATGCGGATTGCCGGATTCTGAACCAGCAGCTCAAGTTCCTGGCAGGCTGACTCAGCCACAGCTTCTGCAAACCGCCTGCCGTTTCCCTGCCTCACGCATGAGGATTTCGGCTTCGCTGCGGCAGGCTAAGACAAGTGAGAGTCCTGGGCTGGATCAACACAGCTGAGGGGCCCACGTCATGAAAGATGTGACTGCAAGACGGCGCTGGAAGATGGCGTTTGCCACATTTGCAGGCTAAGCGTCGGGTGGTGTCCCTCCATGAGAGCGCTTCCAGTGCCTAGAGCAGCGGCAGAAAAAGCAGAGATCCGTCAAGCGGTCTGTTTCATTGGGGCAGGGACGACCTGCAACAGCGGTGCCAGACCTGTGCCGGCTGCTATGAGACCTATCTGGTCCCAGCGGCCCGGCCGCAGCGGAGCACCGCAAAGGCTGCTGAAGCTTTCCTAAGCTCGCAGGCCCTACAGCCGTCTCGAAAAAACACTCTGCGCCTGCTCTCTCCGACAACACGCCGCCAAGCCTCGGGTTTCACTTTCCTGGGATGCGGGTCTCCGACATGCGGATATAAAAATATGAAAATACAAAGCAAGAGGTCGTTTGCAGGACGAGGCTCATGAGAGCACCCTGCCCTGGCTGCAAGCCACAGAGATATGCGCCAACCCCTCCCCCAGGTCTTGGAGGATAGGCACGCACCAGCAAGTCAAAGAACCCGACCTGCCAGGGCTCATGGCCCCCACACTTTGGGAGCCAACAGGTCTCAGGGCGCCTGAGACGGATGCGAGACCGGAGAATAGGACTTCTCCAAGCTCGAACCATCCCGGCCCGGCAACTGCACCTTGACTCCTCTCCAAGTCGCACACATCCAGCGCAACTCGTGCGAAGTCCCGAGAGGTCCTGTGGGAGCCGTCCGGTCATAGCCACCGAGGGGCTGCCCACCGGGAACGGCGAAGCGCAGGAGGCATGCCTGCGCGCCCCAACCAGCACTAATTAACGAAAGCCACAAAACGTGCGGCAGAAAACAGGTTCAGCTTTCAGTGAAGGCTCGGTTGGCGTGAGCTGCTTGCGCCGCAGCAATTCAAACCGCTGGAATGCACTGGCCATGCGACCATGCGTTCATCCGGAACGGTGCATGCATGAAACCGTGGCGGGCACAATCGCTTTCGGTATGAGTGATAGTGCCAGCCTGGGGGCCTTCTACGAGGTCGTGTCGGTCATGCATGCTTGAAAATATTTGCAAATTATGTTCCCTGACCTCGTGATACCTCGTGCAAGGGATCCAATTTCAAAAGCTTCGGCATGAAGCCTAATCGCCCATCAAGTTCCGGTGGAGCATCGGGTCTTTGCATCCTGCGGTTTTTTGCCAACACGGCTTCCGCCCCGCTGGCAGCAAGAAGGGCTCGCTTGGCATTCTCTGCGACCAAAGCCGAAGCAGCCTGCAGAATTTCCACCAGCCAGTTGCAAGAATAATCAGGACACACCCAGCTGCTGTTGCAACCCCTGGCCTGTGTGAGGTGAACACCATCCGAGACGAATGCTGCAATCGGATCGAGAACATCCCGCAGATTGACCAAGGGCCTGTCCAAGGGCACAGGCGTTGCAGAAAGAAGCGATAGACCCAACTGACCCAAGGGCATGGATTCCCCGAACACACGACTCGGGCCAGCACATCCCCATCTTTTGCGCAACCACTTCCACAGCCTCAGTGCTAAATTCTCCGTGCAACCGAGGGTTGTCGTGTTCTCGGGCATGTGCGTTTGCAAGGTCGTTGTCCGCGATGTCCACATCAATGCCCCAAGCGTTCGATGTGACTCTGCCAACGGATGCAGAAGCAGCAGTGTCACATTTGGAACGGTACAGCAAAAGCTGCACCCGAATTACTCTGCGGACATGCACATGCCAAGTACATCTGCAACATGCAGAGTTGCACTCTGCAATCCGCGCCGCAGCCGCCGCAGACCCCACCCCCCCACCGAGCAGGCCCTGTCGGACAGACGAACCGCCGCGGTTTCGGGACAACAACTGCAGCAAGTGGTAGAATAATCTCTCTCTCGCTCGCTCTCTCTTTGCTTTGTTTTGCTCTGTGGCATGGGAGGCAGGCAGTCCCTACCTTCCGCTCGTCGGAGCGGCTCCATCCCGTCCGTTGACGCTCTGAGGTCTGTGCTGTCTCTTTGCTTGCTTGCTTGCTTGCTTTCTAGTGGGTATGGGGCCCAAGGGGTACCCCTGGCCCGAAGGCCTACCCCACCTCGGTCGGTGTCAGCAAGGTTGGCTTCGCCCATTCCGGGGTTAAGGAACGTGTTCCTCCGAATGTGCTGGTAAACCCAGACCTCCCAAAACACCCCTCCTGAACCATGACCATAGAAAACCTTCCAGCGCTATTCGAGGCTACCGCAACCGCTTGTCCAACAAACCCACTCTCTCTCTCTCTTGCTTGCACGCAGCCAGAAGCAGGTCAGGTCAACCTACTCTCTCTCTCTCTCTCTCTCTCTCTCCTGGGCTCGGGGACTTGTCACAGCCCCCGGCTTAAAAGCCCACCCAATTCATTGATTGGGATAAAGGGGAGTGAAATGCGAACATAGCACATCAGGTAGCTCATAGCTTAAAGTGCACGATGACGAAGTTAGATGTGCGGATGTTCTCCTTGACATCAACTTCCCCCATCACTGTTCCAATCTGTTCCATGTATTTGAGGTCAGAGACAGGAAAACTCTCTCTTTCTCTCCCTCTGTCTCTCTTTCTTTCACCAGGCTTGAGGGCACACCCCCGTGGGGGACGGGCGTCTGTATGCAATGTTCTATTTTCTCTCCATCGAAAGCGTCGACACGCACCTCGGAGGCACCGCGATGAGCACCAACCGTCGGCTGCCCATAGCATCTGGTTCGAGCTCCAACCCTTCAAGTCTATGCAGAAGAGCACAGTACTCAAGCTGGAACGCCTGGCAAGCAAAAACCACTCACAAATTTGACTACAAGCAACATCACTGTCCGGAGGTGCCTCTGCATTCCAATGAGCCGACCGAGCATCGTTCGTGCCGAGCATGACAATAATCGCCTTGTTCGAGAAATCAATAGTTAAACAGCATGCCTCCCAGACCGGCACATTTAAAGCGAGTGACATCGGGAGGATTGCACCGCAATTCTGCATCCAGCCGAGCTAAGCTGGAATATGCGACACATGGTCCTCCAGCCATAGGCAAGACCGATGCGCCACGGACCCCAAAGTCTTTCCTTATTCGACATGAGAAAGAAGCCCTTAGATTCGGATGTGGTAAGGAGCTTTGTCCGATCTGGATATTCATGTGCCGAGCCACACAACGACTGGCAGGCTAGAATCCACGGAAAACAAGCCCTGGAGCAGCGCAGGATATCCACCGGCAGTCAGGGAGTCGCCGATGCAAAGGATGAAGCCTGGGCTTCCTCGCACGGCTTGTGAGCGCAAGACGCAAGGAGTCATGAAAATTGTATATTGTGATTCCCTTAGACCTGTTCACGCCTGCTACAGGGACAGCCTGAATCCGCTGATTCGGTGTGAGGTCCGGCTCGTTGGAAAATATTGCTAGCACCAGAAAATCTACCGAGCCCACCAAGAGTCCAAATGACCGAGTGCGCAGCTTAGTCGATGATACTACCTGGGCCATTGCCCGCGCTTCCGTCAGGTATCTGTGACAAGCGTGCAACTGCGAAATGAGGATTCGAAGGTTTGGTCAAGCAGCATCGACATGCCGCAAAAGCTGCTTGCTGCCGACTCGAAGGCTCACCCAACCATGATCAGGACCCTCGCCAGAAATTTTGACGTAGCGCCTGCCATGCTTGCACAGGGATCGCAGGGCTTGAGCTGAGCTGACAGCCGTGTAGAAACTTTTAAAATTTGCCGGAAAGCAGAAAAGAAAAAGCGACTTCTGACGTCCAGTGGCAAGCGCCCGTGGATGAGCGAAACCTGTTGCACTAGTGAACCTTGGCCCAGTCTGGAGTTGAGCAGCGTGCTCCCGAAGTCATGACCTCGTCGAACAACAAGGCCTCCGTGAACTGCACCACCAACCTCTATGCACATGTCAGTTCAATCCGGGAAAACGAGCACTGCTGAACACAAGTATGGCTTGAAAGGCCAAAGGGGCAACCTCCCAGATATCTCTTGCATCTGATGCCGCTGATTTGACAGCGTCTGACATGTGTGTCACATCATGGCTCCAGGTGCCAACACGGCCTGCGCCCTTCTCATATGACAGGACTACAGGCTTTCGCAAAATGCGCCGGAACAGCTTCTGAGCCTAGATGTCCCATACGCCGTGAATACGCTCGGGCTGCTAAGACATGCTTGGATGTGCGCACGGCACACTGGAGGTCCCCTGGGTCGCAACACACATCCGGTCTCGCAGCAACTTTCTTTCGAGGGTGCTGCTGCACCAAAGCCGTCTGTGATTCAGAAGGCGTGTTTCATGGTCCATTCGTGCGCTCTGCGATTGTACTCTTGTCTGTCACATATGTACCTGGACAAGCAGCTTCCAAACCGAATAAGCTTTCCGCGAGCATGAAGTTTGCCCTCTTGCCGCCTAACAATGTCCAACAGATGTTGCAAATCATGACCAGGGCACAATTGGCTTGCTTCTGCGACCAGGCCATCTTCAGGCACCGGTGCGGCAAACCTTCAGTCGAGAGCATTATTTTTTTCGCGATCCCCATGTGCCTGCTGCATGTTGCCGGTAAGTAGAACGGATCAGACCCGGGCAACGACAGCAGTGCCTGGAGCCATGCTTTGTGCGGTGAACCACTTGCCATGAAGGCTCTGTGAGAGTTAACACGGAGATGCCTGCACCAAACAAAGGGCTGAAATCCGTGTTGAACTGAGCTCCTCCCGAAGTCACGCTAAATGCTGCAATGACACACAACGCATCCGCTACCTCTGTCTCATGGGACGGCTTCAAACGTAAAAGGTCGTCTTCCAAGTCCAGGCCTTCAACAATGCGACTCAAGAGTGTCACCGTGCAACTCAAAGTCCTGTTCTGTCCTTCTCTTGCCCTGCTGCTCATGTCGGGTTCCCGGCAAACGGTCCCTTTTGCGTCAATGTTGCAGTGGTACCTGCACTGACGCCTATGGAATGGTCAACACACAATAGCTTCGCCGAAACCCGGCTCACACGGGCGTCAAGCACTTCAGCCGCGGCGGTTTCGTTGGATAGTCGGTGGGAAACCTGTCCCACAGTGCAACGTCATGACACCTGGCAGCCCTCAAAAAAAGCTGCCAGGGGTACCATATTTGGAATCTGAAGGTGCCACCTTTGTACCTGCATTCGGCAAGCCAACATCTGGAACATCGGCGGTGGGCAACAAGTTGCTTTCGCAGGCAAGCTGCGGGCTACCAATCGGTCCGGCCAAAGCTACCTGCCAGACATTGCATGGGTTTTTCATGGATCCATTCCGGCAGATGCCGCAGTGCTCCAACGGCCTCCCAGTGGAACAAATCGGAGTCCACCAACTCTACTTCGCACGTGCCCTGAGAGTCTGAAGCATCACATGATCACATGTTTGTACGGCAAGAAATGGGTACGGACGGCAAACATGGGCCTTGGGCAATTCAGCATCTATCAGCTTCAAGTCTGCCTCTCAATAACACGAATCATGTCAGGGACCGCAGCTTGGCGCCAGCCTTCAATTCTTCCATGCGACGACCCCGGATTCGGTGTTGCGTGTCTCGCTGGTCTGATTTTACTTACGGCTTCAAGCTGCTGGCATGACATGTGTTGACATTGTCTGCTTGGCTGCATATGCTCCACCTGCTTTGTGCATCGGATTTGGCGTCATAATTCTTGGACCGTCCATATAGATCAAGATATCAATATCAATAAAAGTGGAAATGTAGATACAAATAAAAATGGAAATAGAAATTGTGATGGAGATGCAAATGTAGATAGAGACGGAGATCCACATAGAAATTGAAATTTCTGACGGCAATGGAAATGGAAACAGAAACAAAGATGCAGACCGAGATGGAGATAGAAATTACACTCATAGAAGTAAAGTAGAAATGGATGCGAAACTTTCAATAAGATATAATAAGATTATAAACATACATGGAATAGAAATGGCAATAAAGCTTCAGATGAAAATGGAAATGGAGGGATGGCCAAATAGCGATAGTGATCTTTTGCCAAAGGCTATGAAACACCAACGTCCTTACCACCTTGTGGCACATTTCCTTGGGAACTGATGCGGAGTGCGGCCAATGGGTTTAAAGGTTGCATCTGCGTGGATCAATCGCCGAGGTGAACAACGATTCGCGGGGAGCGAGCTTGCACCGCTGGCGTTGTGCCACGACGCTCCTGCATGCACCAGTACGCGAGGTGTTGGCCGATGCTGCAGACTATGGCGCAACAGGCCGGTAGGCCGTTAGGGTGATTGCGTAGGCCGACGTCATGGAAAGGAAACTGTCAAGCGGACGGAAACAAGGTGGCAGAAAAAAAAATTAAAACCAACCAAAACGTTGGTGCTGCCGGCCCGCCCCCAACGGCCCCAACACTGCGCGAGCTCCTTGCGGATGCTCGCTCGGCTCCTCAACTCAGCCGCCCCCCTCGCCTCCCGGTGCTTAGAGCATGACACTTCGACTTGGGCCCTCCCTGACGCGCATGGAAGAAAACGCCCGCCCTGCATGCCGAACACACATATGGATTACCTGGCCTGAACACCTGCGTGGGCACGGAAGCTGCATGTCACGCGTATCGCCATGGACATGAACCCGTGCACCCCCGCAAACACCTCATGTATGGCAAACTACGGCGCATGCGCCTCTCACGGGGCTGCTCGGCAGCTATGGCAGCTTCCTCGATGCTGAGAGAACGAAAGAACGATACGCAGAAGCGATAGGAACAACAAAGCCCCGAACAGTTGGCCGAACCATACAAAATATTGCTTTGCTCTTCCATAAGCAATGGAATGTGATCGTCGAAGATGGCACAAGGCGACTCGGCCGGCTAGTCCGCCCCTGCAAGAGCGAGGACGTGGTCGACGGCCGGCTCGTGCCCCCTGCGTGCCCCGCAGCGCTGCAGCAACAACCATGGGCCCAGCGCCGCTCCGACGGCGTGCTGCACCGCGATCGATAGCATGCCTCACCACGGTCGTGCCCAGGCGTTCAAGGCAGCAGCACGCACGGCTGGCGGCGCACGAAGGACCCGGAGGCGAACCGATCGCACAAGACCGACAGCCGACAGCACCGCTTGTTGACAGCGAACAACGTCCCACCATCGTGAAGGATCCGGGGGCTTGCAAGAGCATGCAAAGCTGGCTCACTTGCCCAACGAGGGCAAGGACGTCGTGGTATCTTAACGCACGGAGATTTTGAAGAACAATTTTCCGAATGCAAACTCACAGAACAGCTCGGCATCAACATATTTTTCCTCGCACCTTTTTACCACGATCAAGATTCTTTTCTTCGCCACACACACCTCTTTGCTGTTCACGCGGTCCCACTCCGTAGCCTGGCCCTGGATGTGGGCGCCCAAGCAACAGAGGTCCCAGTGCAAATGGTGGGGAGCACGGCCGGTTAGGCAAGGTCCTCGGCGAGGAGTTCATGCAACTCGGGCTCTGGGCCGAGCTCGGCAGCGGGGGGGGAGCTCAAGGAGAGAGGCAGCGAAGGCGAGCTGGGCAGCGACAGCCAGGATGCCGGACCAGCGCGCGACCCAAGCGGTGATGGCTGATGGCCGCAACAGCTGTGGGACCGCAGCGGCTCGATAGCTGCCTGCACGGCCTCACCACCAAACCGGCCGCCGACCTCGATCCCGACGACCACAAGACGGCAGCGTCGGGCCAGGCCGAGTTGCTTGCGGTGTGCCGCATTCGTCACAGCAGAGCCCGGCTGGACGTCGGCGTGCGGGTGTGCTTCGCCTTGACGTACGGGGGAGACGACTGTGGCATCGATTGCGAGGATCCAAAGCGACAACCTCGATACGCCGCGCATCGCCCCGGCCTCGCGGCGCACGCGCGCGACAGTGTGCTCAAGCGGCAGGGACGCCAGAGGTGGCACACGCGGCGCGATGATCGCCGTACGGGTCTGTAGCTGTCCGTGCCATGGCAGCTGCATCTGCGCGGCACAGGCTGCAAGCGCCGCAGCAGTAGCACGCAGAACTGGGATGTTGACGTCGACACGGCCGGCAAAAGCCCCTGCTTGTCACAGCAGCAGCGCACGTGACGGACGAGAGGAGGGAGGTCAGGATGATGCGTCTCATACGCGCGCTCATCACAGGCGCGGGCGGCACGTCGTTGCCAGCCATTGAGGGACCGCGGCCCAACGGTTTCCTGAGGTCGGTGGGGGGAGGTTCGGGGGCTGGGGCCGGCAGCGACAGTAGCCCAATCGGGGGCGTCGAAGCCGGCGTGACGCAAGTGGCCTGCAAAAGAAAGGCTGTTGCCGTGGATGGCAGCGGCTTTTCGCCGCTGAGAGCCCGCAATATGCGGGTTGCGGCGGCAGGCCCGCGGGCGTTGGTGACCGGGAGTGTGTCGCAGCAAAATGCCCAGCCCAATGCGCGGCATTGCTGTCAAAATCTGTCAGACGAGGCCGAGCGACGCCCAAGTCCACCGAAGCGTTAAGGCAGCTCGGCGGCGCGAAGGCCAACTGCGGGCAGGGACGCGTCGCCGTGCTCAAGCAGCGCCGCGACAACCCGGCCAACCGCGGCATCATCATGCGCAACGGCGTAATGGGCCGTAAGGTGCGGGGGCAGGATGCGGAGCAGGTAGTTGGCGCGAGGCGCGGCACAAAACAGGAGCAGGAACCTCGCAGCCTGCAAGCTGTCGAGGGCGGGGATGTGCTGTGAGAGGCGATCCTGCTCCTCACGCTTCAAGCCGAGCTAGCGTGCTGCGAAGACGTCATGCCCCCAGGGAGAACCGACACCTTGAGCCCATGGCGCTGCGGGGGAAGTCACCAGTCGCCAACCCAGACGGGTTCGGAGTCGGCTGAGAGGTCGGCGATATTGGGTGGTTCCTCGCCGGCAGCGTTCCAGATCCTCGTCTTGGCTTCGTGCAGCCGGATACGCGCATGGGCCCAAAGCGCGGCGGCGAAATCCCCGTGTCTACACATCATCAGACCTACATGCCCCGATTTCAGCTGCTGAAATGGGGGGGTGCAGAGTTGAAATGGAGGGTGTAGGCCGATAACTTGATTTTGGAACAACGATACTTGAACATAC